AGACAGGTGGATGCCGGAAGTGGAGTGTTGGGGGGACAGCAGTCGAGGAAGAGGGGGTGTACCGCGATTGGCAATGAGCGTGAGTTGCGACTGATCAACGTGAGCGGCGCAAGGTTCGTCACACTGGCCAAGAGGACGATTTTCTCGATTAGCGCAAGGTTGATCTTCGCAGGGAACCCAGAAAGTTCCGTCAGACGCGTCCGGATTGTACCAGCGATCAAGAACGTCGTCCTTGTCGAATACGTGCGAAGCGTCTTTACAGGGGCGTTGTGGACTAGCACGACGCGGCGGCATACACCGGTAACCGAAATGAGAGACGAGGGAAGATCGAGAGTTGACAACGACAAAGTCAAAGCCTCTCGGGGCTCATAACCTCTAGAAACTCTTCGCAGTGAGTTTCTCACACGCAGGGCCCGGCTTCAACTGTCGGGCGCGCTTGAGGCTAGCAGAACGGACGCTCAGTCCGTAGCTCAGAAGAAGGGAAGTCTCTAAGATGTATTTACCTAGCAGAACGGACGCTCAGTCCGTACTGCAATACAGTCAGTACCCTACAGTGTCCATAATGAGAGGATATACGCACGCTCAGAAGAAGGGAAGTCTCTGAGCGTGCACGACAGGGAAAAGCAAGTAAATAAGGAAAGCGGCAGGTGCCTTAGCAACTGGTGAGTCAGGAACGAAATAACGAACGCGCTATCTAATAAAATACTGTCCAATAGGAATCTGAGTCATCCCGAGACATGTGCGTGCGAGCGCACGAGCCCAAAATCCAACAGTGCGAGCTTGAATGAGGCATGGCGTATAGCGGCTGGGTTCCTTGAGGACTGTCAATCAGAAGGTCTTGTAGACGCACCTCCAGGACATGTCAAGGTCTGTATAGTCCTGCAATTATTGCATTGCGGCAAGCTGCAAACTTGCTCACCGCGTCTGGGGGACAGTTAGGGTCTACAAGCCGTCCTCATCATCTGCAAACGCACCAAGAATAATTCCGTCCCACAACTCCGCCTCTGCTACTGGATCTAGGGCGTACGACTCGACGCTGATGTCGATGGAGACCAAACGTTACCATGTCTTGACTCAGATCTGAATAAGAACTGCCCTCGCCATCCGCGTTTTCGTTCGAGTACAGTGTCGTATTGGTAGCCCCTGATTGTACAGGCAAATAAACCACCCGATGGCGTTGCATGCCGCGAAAATCGCTCAGGAAGCATTACTATTAGCGATATCAGCCAAAACGCTCTGCAAGGCACCGACATCAATGGGCAAATGTGTCCTGAAGAGCCCGATGTTTAGTGCATGCTGGATGACGGATAGCAATGTGGCAGCGAGTTCACTGGCTTCAACGTGGTCGTCGTGGGAGATGGCAGAGTTGTAGATCTACTTGAGCGACTCAGACAACGCCGCAGACGAGCTGATGGATGCCATAGCGTCTATTTCCCGGACTTTCTGGCCTCGGTAGCCTGTTTGCGCGGCATTTAATGGGTAAACGTAAGAGAAGAGCGGAAGATATAAACGTACTCAAGCGAGGAGATTACGCAGGTCTATTTCCCGGAGCCTGGAATTAATTTTATCCTGTTCGCACAGTTTGACATACTCGCTTAAAGATGGCTAAGATACATATGATCGCACGCGAACACACCCACCTCAGACCTTCTGTCGTGAGCTCTAGCGGCCTAATCATCATCACGGTCGATGCAAGAAAAGTCTGCAGGGCATAGTAGTGTCGCGCTGGGCACGCAAGTAGGCGGCATCAACCTCATCGGAGAACTAGCATCGATCAGTTAGTATCCGCGCACGACATCAACCCAAACACACGCACCTTGACGCGCTCGGTATGCAGGAGGTTGCACTCATCGAACAGATTCTTGAGTGCTGACTTGATTTCGTCCGCGGCAGCCTCCGCCTGTTCAGCCTGCGCGTGTAGGTTCGAGCATCGATCCTCATCGCCCATGGAGTGCATCTTGCGGTTCGCGCTCACGAGGTTGTGCATGTGTTCGATCGAGCGCCCCGTGGCAACAATGCTATCCACAACCTTCTGCGCCCGTTCACCGAGGCCCGTGTCAGACTGCATCTTGGATGCACTCGCGCGCTCTTGCAGCTGGCCGACATACACCTCGGAGTCTTTCACGCTCGCCATGAGCTGTTGCACGCGCTTCGTCATCTCATAGAGCCACGTCTCGCCGAGACGCGTCGTCCAGGTGGGCTTCATGGGGGAAATGTAAACAAAACCACATATTCCAGAGATGAAACATCTACGCACAGCGAGACCGCGAAGCACGGTGTCGGCAGTTCCATAGAAGCCACCGAGGGCGCAACCGCCGAATGACCAAGTCATGGCAGCTGATGAGAGACTCTTGGTGCCGTACCAAGGGGACTGCCGACCTGTTTGTGCGATGATATGGCGTACTCGAAGACGAATTGCAGAACACACCTCGCGAGGTTGTGAAGCTGAGCCCTAAGAGCTGGTCGTCTTGAATGTTGTACGAGATCGTCGTGATATCTTCGGAATCGCCCAGATCGAAGGTATAGACTGTCCCGCTATTGCTACCGCGCCAACCAGCGGTGCTGTAATCAGTGAAATCGAGAACGAGGCCGACAGCCGCCCCAGAGTTCACGCAGACCTTCACTGACGTGATAGCCTTGCGGTCTGTGTTATTATCATAGTCTTCACACGTCACCGTATCAGACAAGCTTTGATTCAAGAGCAAGTAGCCAGAAATTATCTGAGAAGTAGTCGCCGATGACAGAACCGACGACATTGCTCGTGGAGCGGACGTCGCTAGAATCCTCAGAAGAGGACCGCTCCAACTCAAGCCGTGGCGTGGACCACACGCTTTGTGACAATTTCTCCGACGTTGGCGTCGGGCGGGTTATTCTCTCCACAAGGTTTTCCATGAGGGTTTGATACTTTTCTAAGTCACCGGTCCAAACGGTCAGGTCTAGATCAGAGACAATCCTACGGGCACCAGTCCGCGCAAGCCATGCGATGTACTTCATCGTGTCGTACGAGGCGGGTCTTGATGGACTAAGAGCTGAGATGTCGTGCATGTTGTCAAGCCATAGCTTGATGTATGAACTGAATTCGAAGAATTCAGAGCATATCGTTCCTCTGGGCTATATCACAAACATAACATTAACATACTATTAGTACGCAGTAGATATGTACAGAGCATAGGTAAATGAGACTACCACTTACTTGGAGGTATTCCCACATAATTATACCGATGTCCTGTATATAATCCTCCAGCCGCACCCGCCCATACAGTACGGTGATGATCCACATGGACATGGCTAATTGGGTACCTTGCACAAACTTCAATAGCTGTTCTTCCATCCCCGTGCTATACTTTGCCCGCGCGAGGTGCTGCCGCCTAGCCGTACGACAGGGCATACTCGAGATATGCAGGTGGGAGGCGCAGTTCGGACGGCCATGACGAAGATATCTCGACGGTGTTCGCCAAACTATTGAGGGAAATCACCGATAAACAAGCGGATGAGAGGTGAGCATGCCCTTCTGGAGAGTCGACGTGGTAGAGTGCGTCGTTACAGCGTTGTCGATCGACAAGGAACCCGCGGAAGGACGCACGAAGGGGCGCCACGAAGCCGTTTTTGTCAATCATAAAGACGGAGCGCAGACGACCCACCATATTAAAAACATCGTCCAGGAATAATACTTCGTGTCCGAGAAACGAAATGGTGTCGGGGGTCATAGGTTCAGGTACCAACGCGATGAGACGTAGAAATGACTGGAGGCGCCCGAGTTGGCGAGGTGATGCACGTAAGTCCTCCGGGGAGGATGCCGATCGTAGGACTTGCAAATAGAGTGCATCCAAAGGCTATAGCCCTGCACCTCCATCTGAGAAAAGAAGTTCGAATTGCTCCTCTAGATAATCGGGATAAGAGTCCAAAAAGTTCACCGAAATGCGGGCGAAGATGAACACGCCGGCCGCACGCGAGATGAGGCGGTTGAGGGCATCAGGGTGCTCTCGAAGGAAGCCAGCATAAGATGGCATTTTTGGCACAGTTCCCACCAGGTAACGCTCCACATCGCCAGCCCAATCCTCCAGTGTGTCATCCAGACTCCTATAGTGAACGATATCGGCTGAGTCGGGATGTGCGAGGACCGATAGAACATGAAATTCCGGCCGCGACGCAGCGAAGATGTATAGCCAGGGAATTTCGCGAACCAACCTGGGCAGAGATAGAAGCAATTCGGGAACTAGCGTCCTGCCAGTGTCTTTGCACTCATCTATCCCGTCGATGACGAGCAACGTCGGTGGCTGGTCGGATGCGGGAGCGGCAACGAGAGCCTTGCAAAGAAGTCCTTCGAATGCGTGTTGCATCTGCTGCTGGTCGCCGTATTTGAGGTACTCCCGTGCAGCGCTGATGATGTGTGGACGGAGCGTTGGCTGGGATAACGCGAGCTGGCGTGCAAGGGTAGGAAAGAATAGGCGAGCGTCCTCGAGGTCTCCGCCACTACGGACGAAGAAGAATGATGCGCCGAGCTTGAGTGAGAGCTGCTCCGCTGCACTGAAGAGAACACAGATTTGATGGGAAATCGTAGACTTTCCTAGACCCGCTCTGCCACTGAGGAAGTAGAATCGCTTCGGCTTGCCTTCGGGAAACCGACCAGCCCACCAGCCATCTAGCTCTGCGAAGAGCTTTTCCCGAGTACCTTCCATGAACCCACTCTTGAGTTCATCCACTGAGCGATAGCCTGCAGATGCGTGAAGGATAGAACCTAGAACTCACTGTTCCTCTTCAGAAGCGATGATTAGTATTCTATATCAAAACTTGCTAAGGACCGCACGTAGATAACTTACCAGCCTCCTGAAGCTGACGCAGAGCTTCCCGCATTTCGTGTTGGATTCCCTGTAAAGTAATGTCACGGATAGACCGCCTAAGATGGTTAGATCATACGGACTTTTGTAACTCGTGCGACCTCGTCGAGAATGCTCTCGACTGATATTGAACCACGAATCTGAAGGATTAATACGCGTGTGAGCGTGCGCATTGGAATTCAGAGAGGCCGGTTTACCTCAAACAACTTCAGGGCCCTTGTTATCTCTTCCTTCATCTCCGACAGGATGGTCTGGTTCCGAGATACATGGACAAACCCTTTGAGGAACCCGCAGAATCCTGCTCCACCCTTCAGTCCTGCTGCTCGCCGCCGAAGTTCATCAATCGAACTAGATCGGTTTCAGCATAGCTTTATACACCGTCCAATCCCCCAGCGTACCTAAGTAAGCCCTGCGTTCGCTCCTTGAGCTGATCAGAGCGCTTAATGCTCTCTGCCAACTTCTGCTTTTCGCGCTCGTCGCCATCATGGTCGGCTACCACATCCTCCGCTTTTGCTTTTGCTCTGACGATAACGGTGACTAGCTGCGCGACTTGAGCAAGAAAGGCACTACGCACTTCCTTGTTTTCTCGGACGGCCTGTGGTTGAAGAAGTGTCATAAGTGTCGTAAGATGTCGTCCAGTCGAAAATTAGGGCTATCCACGTACTTTGACCCTCTCGACAAGAAAACCTAGCTTCTCCTTGACGGGATACCGGACGGACGCGGCCCGACACGGATTAAAGGTTGCTCTTTCGCAATAGGAGGTAGGCCCGGAACAGGGGCAAGCTCGAGAGCGCTCTCCGCCAGCTCAAGGAAAGGAGGGGCAGCGTCGAGGACAGTGTTAATCATGCTGCCAGGAGACAATGTCGTTGGGAGTCAGCGAGCGAACTGGGGACGACACGGGTATGTACTAGGGTGCAGCAGGGAAGGAGCGCGAGCTCTATGCTCTGGCCTTGTGTATCGCCACGCGAGTCTGCACGAGTGTAGCGGTATGCTTCTTTCATCACGAGCATCCCAGATAACCAATTAGTTTCCCTTGAGCTTGATTACCAGAGACACCACGCGGGAGCCTTCTGACGATGGCTCGTATTCAATCAACTCGCCATCACTTATTTCCTCGCCTCAATAGAGCGAATTCACAGATGCGTCGTCAGATAAAATAGAGAAAGATTGGAATGTAGTACCTACGAAGCAGCCTGAGATCGAGTCTCAGATGGAGAGACTGCGGCTATCTCAGCCGGACGCACCAGCGGTCCAGCGAAGGCCGCAAACGAAAGCTGTTTGCCAGCGTCGGTTTGCTCACTCGTACATAACAACCCGTTTCCACGCTTTCTGCCTTCGTGGCGTTCGCCGTCCGGCACGAGCCAGCCTGTCAATCTATGTCTCGAACTCTCGTTACACCAATTTCGATTCTTCGCCGACCAGTCCCCGGCATTATCATCATCTGACACTGAGGTACCACGTTGTCAAATGACGCAAGGCCAGCTATGCCATACAATCTGATGAGTCATATCATAAAGTAGGGGTACCGAAGCTTGAGGTACTGATACTCACTCGTGAAGATCCAGTTCGTTGTCAGCCACCAGCACCCCGGATTCACTTCCATTCTATGAAGAGGCCGTATCAGAAGAAGGCGTCATGGGGCATATCGCAGGTATATCGCTTACCATCGTCTACGCTCCTTAGCGCGGATTGCAAAAGACAGGAGTTGAGCTGTTCTCACTGCCCAGCGTTCAGCATGCAGAAGGACTTGCTCGCCATGGCTGGGTTGTGAGCGGCGTTGGGCCGGCGTTGGCAATGTTTGGCTGCTGCTGTGTATGGCAGCTCACTCTCACGCTTTTGCCGCTGTGGCGTTCACTGCCTGTCCTCTGGGCCGACAGCCAACCTTAGGCCAATCTAGCCAACTCCGAGTCTTGCTTTACTGAACTCATCAGCGGGTATATTTCATGTTGATCGCTCAAGTTAGTTGCATGTTGGCAAGTTACATCGTAAAGCGCTGGTACTGACGCTGACACCTATTCACCGGGATCCAGATCATCGTCAACCACCAGCTCGGGCTTCTTCCGCCATACGGGTACTTTCTGAACACGAATACCGTTGATCCCGACCTGCATCATGTCTCTCCACTCCTGCACGATGCCAATAGGAAAGGCTGACTGGGAAATGAACTCTTCAACGTCGTTGGCTAGCTTCGACAGCATCTCCAGGTATCTGTCCTGCACCTTGTGGATATTTGCGCAAGGTTCGATAGCCTTGGAGAGCTTGTCTGCAGTCTTATTCAGCATACTATTGTAAAGCCGTCAGCGCATATCGCCACCTTGAGGAGTGTATCGGACATACTTCAGCGTGGTCATATCACCCATGAGTTCGTCCAGCTTCAAGTGACTCGTCTTCTGATCTACGAGCTGCTTTTTGACGGAGGTTTTCTGAGCGCGGAGAGACCGCAATATGCCTTTTAGGGCGGCAGCGATATGCGGGAACGCCCAGGAGAATGTTCTGGCGTGGAACTTGCTCTTCTGTCGGCTCATGTTCGCCGCTTCGGCTAGGTAGGCCTTGCATTCGCGAGCGAAGAGGATTGACGTTCTTCCGACATTCTTCTGGTGAGCCATGGACGATACACGGGCGTTTCGGTACACGACCAGTGCTCTGCGGACTTTCTCGAAGTCTTCTTCGGAGTAAGACGCAGCTCCCTTGCTTTGGACGTTGGTGAATGCAACAGGCTCGAGATCTTGTTGGTCGGTAGGATCGAGCAGGCTTTGTTCCCCGTTCTGATGCACATCAGGCTCGTGCTGGTCGGCAGCGTCCTCGATGTCATCTCTGGTCGCGCCGTCATTGAAAGTAGCCTGCGAGTCGGGCTGGCTGGCGAGAGTAGAAGAGCCACGGGATGTTGACGCCAGGTAGTCGCTCAAGAGACCAGGGATGTCGGAAAGTTTGTGATATTTGATGCGGTGAATAGATATGAGAGGAGGTGAAGCGTTTCTTGCCGCGTCCACAAGCTCGATGAGCTGATCACCGGCACCCCCCAATGCATTTTGCCGAACTGCGCGCTTCAGGTCTACCCAGTCTCGTGCAGTGGCATATCTTCGCTCTCATGTTAGCATCTACAGCTGGCGATGGGAAGCTGCTTACCTCCTGTAAGCGTGCGGGAACGTGTATCTGCCAGGAGCGAGTCGCAAGGACGTGACAACCTGCTGGATCTCGACCCGTAGCGCCTCGTCGTACAGATTGTAACCGACTATATAGGAGCGTTGTTAAATGGGAGAATTTAGTGTAACAAGCGGAGAACGACGCACGGTAGCAAACGTTCTGGCAGCTACGTGGCGTGAGCGTCATATTATAGAGCACGACATGGTCGGATGACTACTTACATCCGCGCGATGTACACGTCCCGCAGCACGAACGGAGGGCCTCCCGAGCCCAGGCGCAGGTATCCTATCCGAGATCCACCACGTCAGCTCATCGGCACGCATTGAAAGAAGGAAGTGTGCTGACCTGCTTGGTTGGATAGCTGCTCCAGCAGAAGCTTAACAGATTTCAGATACATCCAGCCAAGTCTGATATCATCTGGACAGGATCCATCGAAGACATCTTGCAGCCGCAGGAACCAGCTGCCGGGGAACGTCAGAGTATGGACGCTGGCTCCTTGCTTGAGGCGCCTCGCAACGACGAGCATGCCGCACAAGGTATCTAAGAGATCGCAGAGAAGCCCGACCTCTATTGGCAGCTCCTTCTCAATAATATGCCTGGAAAACATCGATCAAGAAGTATTAGATACATAAAAAATTAAATGTACTTACTTCATCATGAGAATGGCGCTACTCAAAGCAAGTGGCGCCTTCGTGAAGAACCGCAACGCGTCCTGCACGATGTCAACTTGTTCTTTTCCGCGCAGCAACCAGCTGCCTGTCGCATTAGCGATGCACGGAGCGCGATGGATGTAGTCCGGGGCGTAACTTCCAGCAAGTGACTTTGCCAATGCAGAGAAGCGGAAAAAATCGTTCAAGAAATATGGTGGATTCCGCTTTGACGCAAACAGGCCATCGGAAAGCCAGGCTGAGATGACTTGGCAGGCTTCTGGTGATATTGTTCTATCGTCGGTGTTGAGGAGGCTTCCTAACTTCGTTATGGGAGGATGCAGAGACTCCTTGAGGCGAATTAGCCAATACCTACGTAGCACGTATATGAGTTAAAGGTTCCCAGGTGTATAACAAGAAGCGCAACATACCTCTGCTGTTCTTGACGCGTTGGCCATTCCTCGATGCCATTCAGAGTCTGATAAATGCGGATGACCGTGGTATGCAAGGAGACCCGAAGCTGGTAAGCCTGGTGATCATACGCCGTGAGATGTGTCCGGGCGCAGACGGTACTAGAATTGCACTGGCCCTCCATGGCGTGTTGCAAGCAGACAGTGAAGGCCTTGCACACTTTGCAAACTTCCATCGCTCGCCTAACGCGATCCAGTAGGCGGGTCTTGAGTACAGCCTGAAGCAGACGTTCCAGGTCCCAGCGCGGAACGTTCACAAAGGCAGCATTCCCTTCACGTCGAGCAAGAGTCTGGATCGTGAACGTCTTGTACAGAAGCGAGTCGCTGCGGACTTGATACTTGCCATCATCTGCAGGGCGAAAACCCAGGAGTTTGTGGAGGATGACATTATTGGCGGGATCCGGCGCAAAGATGAGAGCCTCGAGCGCTTTGATGTACGGGAAGAATCGATTCAAATGGCTTTGAACTGTAGATGGAGACGCCGTCTCGATCTGTAATGATCCCAGGAATGCTTGGTCCAGGCACATGAAAGCAGCCGCGCGAAAGTTAGCGTGAAGCAGGTTGAGGCCGAGCTGTGCCAGTCGGGCCTTGTCGCCAGAAGCTAGAGCCGGTAGCAGTGAGAGCTAGATACATGATCAGAAGCACGTAGTGATGATCAGGATGGATGCGAACCTCCATCCGCTGCTCAGCATGAACGCAGCCCTCGAGTAGTTTTGAGATCAAGGAGTTCAATGTCTTGAACCGTGCATGTTCTGCATCAAAAGGACCATCGACCAAGGCCGCAAAGTTCCAGAACTCGTCCATGAGACGCGCCGCGACTCGCTCAACGCATTCTCGATCTAGTGGCGCATGTAAACACAGACGAACAGCGTTGGGCAGGTCACTGTTCTCCAAATGCAAAGCAGAGGCCTCGGCGTACTGTCCGCACTGCTCAAGCAGCGCCGCCTTCGCAACGTCCATACCGTACATGTCGGCATGGTCCAAGACTTCTTCAGTGGAGCCCAACAACTCCGTTGCTTTGCTACATTTGAAGTCAACCATCTAGCCCTCACTGACTCGAATATAAACTTACGATAATTGACCACCTTTCATGTAGAACAGTGCGGAAACATCGACGATGTTCTGGGCCACGGATGACTCCACCTCGAAGGTCTTGACAACCCTGACGGCATCGTCAAAGGACCCAGCTAGACGATGGTATTTGGCCGCGACCGTGTAGAGCTCGGCTAACTCGCAGCATGCGGCCGCACTGGCGTTGTCATTAGCGCGGGCGTAGCATTGAGCCGCCCTTCGATGATACTTCTTGTGATCCGTCTTGACGTTCTCGGCGACGCGATGGAATGCCTTCGCTGCCCTTGTGAAGGCTGCCACGGAGTCCGATTCTTTCTTGTGAGGGCTGACCGCCTGCTTCTGCGCCATCTCTCTGAGATAGAATGCCTCTGCTATAGCGTGCGGGACCAAAAAATCGTGGCCGGCCCGTCCATAGGCCAGCATAGATTCTTTGTAGTGCTTCTTATGGAAGAGACTTTCTGCCGTAATTGCCCACTCCTCCTGAGAGGAGGACTGCGATAAGCGGGGAACCTCAGTGCCGGGAATCCAGATGTCAATCTGCTGCTTGTGCGACCAGAGAAGCTAGAATTATTGTCAGCTGGAGTCCGTATTGCAAGTGCACAAGCCGCTGCTCACATGCATCGACTCCCCCTTATCTGAATAGTCGACTATCCACAAGTTGGATCGCGCACGTGTTATTGCGACATACAGATACTTCAGCTACCATGAGTGACAAATGCTTCAGTAGAGTAATTCAGGTTAATATCGGCTGAGCACGTACCTCAAAACACACTCCACGATGTTTCATTTCATCATATGCCGGACAGGCTTGACTTGGGAGACATCTCAGGAGGACTCGCCATTGGGAGGCGCTGATTGTGGAGTCGGCAAAGAAATTGTAAAGCAGGACCTATAAATATTCGTTCAGGGAGACTACGGGATGCGAGCATCTAAAGGACTTACGTCCTCGAACTCTAGTCCCTTGCTTTCGTGGATCGTGCTGCGAGGTGCAGATTATTTTCAGAAACGTAGAGAGCGGATGAGAAGGGGACTTACAGCACGATTCCGACATCGCCGAACGCATTGCGGAGCTGCTCGCGTGCTGCATCAGTCCGCACCAGAACGCCTGGAAGAGACCTCAATTAGCTCGCAGGTCCATACTAATAAAGTTTATTCACATTGCTGGTGCCCGAACTCAATTGCGGTGTTGCTACAGGGGACATGAGTTCGTGCTGTGATACAACCCATGAAGTAACTCACTCGGCATCATGCATAAACTGCTCGAAGTGCGGTGCCTTGAGATTACCGACCCCTCCAATGAAGAGGGGCTTTGGGCCTTCAATCATACCCTTCTCTTCCTCGAGTATGTCGATCGTGTGTGGCCAGAGCTGCGAGATAGGTTCAAGGACGGTCTGCGCAGCTTGCACGATGCCGGAGTGGGATCGGAAGTTGCGGCTCAACTGGGAGTACATAGGATTATGGACGTTTGTCTCATTCTAAAAATGGGAAAATGAAGCAAGCTGAAATACCGGTGTCTGCACACATACCTCAAGTCGGAATTGGAAGGCCTTCAGCTCATTGAACTGGAAGGAACTTCCTGCGCTGATGGTTTGAGCCGTATCGCCAGCCCAAAACATCCCCTCCGGACGCCTGCATATGGTACGCAGTACTGGTTGTGGCGGTGAGCTGTAAAAGAATGGAACGAGATGTATGGCACTCACTCTTGGTATCGATCAGCAAGTTGTCTTGCACTTCGTCGACATATCTGCGCAACGCAGCATGAGCACAAATGCAACTTCAGCTGCCTTCCAGCTCTGCTTACACGTAGTCGAGTTTCGTACCAGGCACGCCGTCTTTTCTTAAGCTTTGCAGTATGGCTCGGGTTCTATCACGAATGAGAAATGTCTATCAATTAGGGCAAGGCACGCACCGGTCAGCTGCATCGTATTCCGATCTTGACGTCTTCTTCCTCGTGTACAACTCAAATAGATTGTAGATGGCATCCCTAGAGCTGTCCGGCGATCCACCAGTGTATGTGATTCGGTCAAGGCAGCCACTCTTGTTTCTCAGAGCTTGCTCTGAGCCCTTTATGACACCTGCAATAATGTCGATAAGCGCAGCTGTCTAAAAGCGACCATACAACCCACCCATGAAGTCCGCGAAAATTGAGAAGGGATCTAAAAAGGGGTCAAGTCATGTATGAAGCTGCAGATATAAATTGCATACCGAGCTTCTTTGTAAGCCCCTCGGGGAAGTGCTTCCAATACGACTCGAGAAAAGTGGCGTAGGAGACGAACGATTTACGTTGTTGCTGCATGTAGTCATTGGATGTTGCCTGGTCATCACCGCCATCTCCGTAAGTTGCACGCGTCCGTCGGCGGATGTCCCTGTCGTCCTCGGCCAGATCTTCTTCGAGCAGGCGACAAAGCTATAGCAATTCCGATCACGTCAGATTACACCTGCGCTGAGTCAAAGACGTACGTACCCGATGATATGTGACGAAGAGCGGGAAATGCTTATCTTTCAGCTCCGAGAACTTCTTTGGCAGATCCTCGCGGTATTCATCTTCTTCGTCGCGGTCGTACAACCCCGACGGCTGGTTCTTTCCGTAAGTCGACAACACCTTCTCGGAGCCTTCGGATACGACGTCTCTGGCTTCAAAGAAAGCGGTCAGCTTTCGGTAGTATTCCTGTACCTTTTCTGCCAAAATGGCTGATTGGGTCAGGAAAACCTGCCGAGGGCGAGACATTGCTCCAGTATGCTGGTGGCTGCGCCACATGCGTTCGTTGCCGACCATTTTGATTATCATTGTCGTCGTCTTTCTGTATCGCCAAACTTTGTAAGCTATTACAAGTCGTCAGGAGAACTAGTCGTCACTGACCCTGTCCCGCTCCGGCCGAGAACAAAGCATGACCCTGGATGTAAAACAATAGCCTGTTCTTCTTGTCTGTAAACATCAGCGACCCATACCGTTGACCAAGGTGCCCAGAAAGATAGCAGAGAGTAAGCTCACGATAGCTGGAACAGGGGGGCCGCGTCTTCGTCGTGGATGATGGCTGGCCAAGCACATGAGTGAAAGCTACATCGAAGCACGAGGCGACCTACTGAGTAGGAGGTTTTGTGTGAAGGCTGCAAATTTTCTTGAACTGTAGCCGATGGTGGTAAGTTTCGGGACAATCTGCTGAAGCCTCCGTAGCATCATGGCAGAAGACTTACACCAGCAGAGCCTGCAGCTATGATGGTAATGAACATTTGTTTTAGACGATATTAATGCGCCATTCGTAACTTACCTCCTCTTTGTCCTTGACGCTCAAATCCGGGAGGTCGACATGCTCGCTCTTGGCCGTCTCCTTGGTAGGAGGCCATGACATTGGCATGACAGCGGAGCCACCATAGCCTCGGCGTGGCTTACACCTACATCGTTGTTCTAGATACGCATGAAAAATGGCTGAATTTGACAACGTACCTCTGTCGGTATTCGCTGCCAGCGCCAGAGACCTTCCGAGACATTGTGTCCCAGAAGCGGCGGCCGCGAAGTTGTGTATGCGTGTATACCCCGTATACCCAAAGGACTACCGAGCAGGTTAGATACAGCGTATAACTATGCTTCGCCTGGAATACCTTGTGTTTCAACCTTAAACTCACACGTGAGAAAGTACGCAAGGACCGCTTTGCTTTAGTACATACCTCTGACTCAATCTCTTGCACGCAAGCTATCCGGTACTAGCGAGGCGCTGCGTAAGATGTCTGTCATTCCGCGAATGAACGTCCTTACAACAAGCCTTGTGTCGCTGGTCATTTTTGCCTCGTAAATGGGCATATCGCACTCAGACCCGTCCAAACGCTTCTGGTTATCGGGGGAGAAGAGCCCACAAGAGAGCTCCCTAGTCGTGAGTCAGCAATGAGCAATGTACGAGACCAAAGCTCCACGACTGTACATTAATTTCTTCATAACGACGTCGTGCAATAGTGGGTTCCTCCTCCCGTTAATCCTCAGGTATTTCTCAACATCTTGTGATATGAACACGCGCCATGGTCCAAATCCATCAGCGCTTTCGAGACTGAGAGCATCTCTCATCGCCGCTGTAGCTTCGAAAGTATGAGCATGTAATACCGTCGCCTGGCCCAGTCCATTTCCCGAAGTAGCATCAGGAATAGCAGGGACTTCCTGGACATATGAGTTCTTGATGATTGCGGCGAATGCCGGCTTCCGGAGGGTCTCCAGATAAAACTAGAACATTATAATAAAGTGTAAGCTCTCTGGAGACCAGCCGAGGGACCATGGATTCGGACCTTGAGAGTGTTCTGTTGCTCTTCAAGGATTTCCCGCACGAGAGCCTGGGCTTCTTCCTTGTCGTTTGGTACGTCCCTACCAATCTTGGCGAAGGCCGTCTCGTCCACAGCGGGTATTCGGGCGGCGGCCTTCACTTTCTTTCTCGCACTATGTGACATGCGTCTCGCCTTGCCCTTGGCCTTCGCGTCATTCGGCTCGGCCGCCACGGACTTCAAGGCGTTATATCGAATTGCGAGTGACTCCAAGACCTGCGCTGCAGATTCGACGGCGCGCCCACGTTCGTCCATGTCGGGTAACAGCGAAAGGGCACCGAAGTAGTTCGAGAGGCGCTTCAACAGAGTGTATGCGAAAGATCTCTCAAACTCCTTCGCAGCCGTGGGGACGGTGGCGAGGGCCGTTTCTGCCAGGCGACGGTAGGACGGTTCGGATAATACTGTGGTGCAAGGGGAAAGTACTGAGTCAATGCCAAGTACGTAACCAAGACAGAGCACACCTGAGGTAAGGTATTCGAACATTCCTCTCTGATCAAGGAATTGAACCAACATATGCTGCTTGTCGACCGCTGCAGAGGCGAGATGGGACTCGACAATGCCAGTGGCAATATCGAGATTCATCTCGTCTGAGAGAACAGCGGCATTAAAGATGTTCGGGTCGAGTTTGATGCGCTTCATTTGCTTCATCTTTGTGTTGGAGTCGTCCACGGGGATTCGAGGGGCTCGAGGGTTCGAGATGGGGGTTCCCAAGCCTCTGCCCCTTCCTTATATCTCTGTTGCCTCGTGGCTGATGGTGTTAGGTAAGGGCGTAGAATTGTCGTGTCCATTGCTATACGAAGAACTATATAAGGTTCAGAAACGACAAGAATGATCATCTGCGCTAGAATTTGCTCGAAATAAACGCGTCAAAATTCAAGGAAAAGTGAGTAGTCGTGAAATGCCACCAAATTCTGCATATAGTACCGTGTGGTAAGTCATACCGTTAATTCTCATCGAGCTGCAGACGGTCAAGGGCAACAGCACGGGAAAGCTCAAGCGCGCTCGGCGACGTCACACAGTCACCGCGGTCACAATGCGGGGCACGTGATGGCGCTTGTTGCCCCCACGTACGACCGGCCTGTGTCCCTCTCGCCTTCTCCACCTGCATTACCGGCCATTCCCCGCCCTTGACGACTACCTCGCATCCGGTTAGGAGACTCGACTCTCCACCCCCAGGACCGTGCTGAATTATTTACTGAATTTTTGCTAAGCTACAGGACATGCCGCCGCCTCACTACGACTTCTTGATCAAGGTAAGCACCACTTGTGCGCCCCCTGCCTGTAGGCTGTTACATTGACCGCCTATTCCTAGCTCTTGCTTATCGGTGATTCTGGTGAGGTCCGGACGCTGCTCCCCGACCAGTGTGCTGCTCACCTCGGCTCTCGTGTCACGCAGGTGTCGGAAAGTCATGTCTGCTGCTGCGCTTCTGTGACGACGCATGGACGCCCTCTTTCATTACAACCATTGGCATTGATTTCAAGATTCGGACAATTGAACTCGATGGCAAGCGTATCAAGCTCCAAATTGTGTGTAACGCACTGTATAGATGACACTCTGGAACTCGCCTGACTGACGCCCTATCGCAGTGGGATACTGCAGGACAGGAACGGTTCAGGACGATCACAACGGCATATTACCGCGGTGCTATGGGAATTCTCCTGGTGTACGACGTGACAGATGAGCGATCATTCAATAGTGCGCCCACCGTCTCTGCTCCCTCTCGCGAATATTGACTCCCTTGGGCCACCAGACATCAAGACATGGCACGCCAATATCGAGCAGCACGCCTCGGAAGGCGTCAACAAGATCCTCATCGGCAACAAGTCGGATTGGTCGGACAAGCGCGCGGTGACGGAAGAGCAGGGCCGAGACCTCGCGGATGAGCTGGGCATCAAGTTCATGGAGACGTCCGCCAAGGTCAATGATGGTGTCGAGGACGCGTTCTTCACATTGGCAAGGTGCGTACTTGATAGACGCGCATTTCCGCAGTCAGATTAAGACGCATATGCGCTCTAGGGACATCAAGACGCGGCTCATCGACTCACAAGCAGACGCAGCTGTAGGCGGCCCCGCAGGCAGCACGTCTGGCGGCAGCTCGGTGCAAGTCAGCCAGCCTGCGACCCAGCCAGCCAGTAGCTGCTGTTAATAGACCTACTCATGGACCGCGTGTTCTCCCTGTTTGTGTGTTTTGTACGGATGATTCCCTGGTGTCTATCTTGCCAGCAGCCGGTCTTCTCTCAATGTACTTCACTCTAACCTATTACTTTACACAAGAGATCGCTCTCTTATCCTGAACAAGATGCTCTCTCCCTGTGAGATGAACCAGCCGAAATAGAAGAACTGCTTTACATCTGCACCGACGAATTCCAATTACCTCCCCACCACCGCTTGATCCGCTCGCCGCCCCACTCTTCATACTCGGCCTTCGTCACACTGACCTTTGAGAACTCATCCGTTTTAGCAAAGTCGGCCATGCCCCTCCAGGCATCGTTGAATGGGTCCGCCGCGCGGACGATCTGCAAGGGCATCTCAGGCGGGAGGATCGGCCTGAGGGACGAGTGCAGGCGCGAGGTCAGGCCCTTGAGCTGCGATGGCCCGCCCGTGACGAATACATTCTAGAGCGGCGCACGTCAGTCAGATGGATGCGCCAGAGTCGGCGGAACATACGCTAACGAGCCGCCCCTTCTCTGCATCGGAGAAGCGCCCGAGGATGTTCTGCAGGACTTCGCCGAGGCCGGCACAGTCGACGCCCGCCATGCTGGGTGAGAACCATGCCTCGCAGACTCGCCAGCGCTCGACATTGAGGTGGATGCGAGATTTGCCTGAAGGGCATTTTGAGCGCTTGGAATGACGTAGCTGGAACTGAGAGCTTACCTTCGACGTTGCCCTCGTCGTATTGCGGCCTGAACGCTTGCATGAGGGCAGATCGCTGCGACGTTAATGATGCATGGGTGTGCTCCAGTGTGAACGTCGGGTCGTAGGCGAGCAGCTTCTGCTCGACTGTTTGGAGGCTAACGAGATCTTCTTCCTCGTCCGACGACTCGGCGGCAATGTTCTCAAATCCCTATCAGCCTAGCACAGTAATTACGATTCTTGGGACACTCACGATCTTGCGATAGATAGCCCAGTCAGCATCGTCCGCGCCAAACATATCCTCTGCGTCCCTAGTTAATCGTACGCCCATACCAAGACAACAACAAAACGGACCTGTGCCCATCTTTCGCTTCCTCTTCGGCACACGCTCGTCCGCGGCCAGGTTCGCGATGCTCTTCATACGCGCCTGCGCCGCGGCGCTCTTGCGGTCGCTCAGCTCGGCCCTGCGGCGGCCGCGCTCCTTGATCTTTGTTATGATCGCTTCGTGCTCCCTGCGCAACTTGTTCGCCCAGCCCCCGAGGTCCTGCTCGCGCGCTTCCTCTTCCTTGCGCTCCCCCGCCTCACGCTCTTCACGCTCGCGCTCCTTCTCCTTTCGCGCGCGTTCGCGGGCGTCATAGCCAGCTTTCATGAGGCGCTGTTTCTTCTTCTCTTTGAGGCCTTCCTCGTCGAGCTATTCGCCGAGGTCAGCCACGTATATGATATCCGACATATGTGACGAACCTCATCATCGGGAACGTCCACGAGCGGGAAGCTGGGCGGCTCCTCCTGCATCTCGTCGCCATCTGTGTCTTTCTTGCGCGCCTTCTTGACGTGTCCTTCAAGTTTTTTGATCGCGCCGTCGAGGGCGGCATCGTTGTCGAAACCTTCCTCTCGCAAAGTGTTCTAGAGATAGAACTGTCAGCATGTATGCGTTCAAAACCACTCATGTGCGTACAGCCCAGTCCTTCTTATTCTCCTCTTCACGTCTCTCCCTGAGGGTGGTCAGGTATTGCAGGTCTGACTCCTTCTTTTGAAACTGTGAAACCCGGGCAAGTCAGCCATCGATCCGTCTGGAGTTCAAGTCCACTTGCCTTCTCCTCTCGCGCCTTTGCCGCCAGTTCCTGTAACTTCCTGCCCTGCTCTCTCCTGCGTTCAGCGATCCGTTGAATCTCTTCCTCAGTCTTCTCTTCTGTGGTGGGAGCAGAGAAGGGGAACTGTAAGATCTTCTCGTGTGCGCGCATCTGCGCTGGGTCTTTGAGTGTCCGAAGGAGACCTGTGTAGTCTACAGAAAATTCGCAGAGATTCTGGAACAACCACTATGCGTCGATGAGTATGTATAAGAGATAGTGTGAAGGACAGCAAACGTACGTTGGTTTGGGCAGTGGTGACGCGAGTGGGGAAGGTCGGATATTTGAGCTGTATGAGCTTGAGGAGGTACTCATTCGCCTGAGTTGCACCCCAAGGTATCCTTCACCGAGAAGTCATAAGTTTGAGCTCCGGCAGAAACAGGCAGACTGCTTGACACGTACCGCTTCGCATGGCTCATCAAACCTTTGCCGGCCAGTATTGGAATGATAGATGTAGATGCGGTGTTGAATGATACAACAATACCGTCGGTCGTGAATGGTACAGGAGGCGAAGGGAGGTTATTGTGATAGAAGGACATCGCCGAGTCGACGCCGTATGCCAACGATGGGACAGAATAGAGCTCGAAGAGCAGTTCGGATGTTACTGAAATAATGCATGAGCAATTAGCATGCAGAGCATGCAGAGATGAAAGAGCTTACATGCGCGAGAGTGAAGCGGGGAAGCCAGTCGCTCTGTCATGAACACGGGGTGCTCGATGATGGGCGTATCGATGCCGAGGTGAATGAATGCGTAGTCCAATGCGTTTTCCTATGTCCCCGCATGATCACTAGTTATTCTGTTGTCACTTCCTGGCACACAAAGCGATATGCAAGATGATCTACAGTGAACAGGCACGCTTCACGAGGGAGAATACGGAGACGCCACATATGATTCCATGCTGAATGTAGGGGAAACTGCAGCCAAGCCAAGCAGAGTACGTACTCACCAACGCGTCAAAGTTAAGTAGCACATCACCCTCCCAAGGATATCTCGCCTGGCTCCTTGCTCCGCTCTCGACGTCCACCGCCTCACCCATCAGGATTAGCGGCCGGTTCTGCCTCCTCTCTTTGAACTTGGCAATGACATTTGGCATGCTCACGGGGCTGCTCGAGGTCGCAAAACCAAAGCGCAGGTTTGTCGAGCCGTTGTCAATGATCAGGGGTGTTTCCTTGCCGCGAAAGTCATCGTAGGACGTGGGTTGGCGGACGGTGGGCAGTGGCAGATTTGGAATGCGGATGGGCTCAGGTGTGGGTGTGTGCGACATGCCGGTTTGAGTATTACAGAATTAAAGGAAGGGAAGGCCTGAGACGAAGCGGGTCCCGGTAAGTTGCTGCAGACTGGCGTAAACAGCGAGGATGGAATGAAGCTGGACCTTGGACAATTGCACCTCCATACTCATCATCCGTGGGAAATCTCTGCCTTTCTCGACGGACGAGCGCCATCACGTGGCAGACGGGTCGCGCCCGCGAACAGTCCTGGGACGCGTCTGGAGGCGATGAAACTCGTAGCTGAAGGAACGTGCATGCAAGAAATATCGAGGTGATTTTATTTAGTCTATGCGCTGCACACCCAGGTCTCGGCGACATGTGCATTTACTTGCGTATTAATCGCTGGCAGATGCCCGCCTCATACCCAATGTTTTCGTCATATACACCTTCGCTGACTCTTGTGCAGGCCGTAGATAGTGATTTAGCGTGTCATATGAGGCCTATATGAGCTAGGACGCGTCCCCGGTGGTTTCGATTGTGAGGCAGTTTAGCGCGACAAATGGCTGCCCCTCGGACTGCGCGCAGCTGAGCTCCCCCTGAAAGCTACCACCACCATGCGTCCGACCCATGGTCCACCCCCCAAGCAAGCCACTCGCGACAAGCAGATTCATGTGAAGCTGGATATGGATTTGCTTGATCCAGAGAGTATGCGAGACAAGGTGTCATTTGAGGGCGCCATAGGTCTCCTCGAGAGCCACCTCGTGAATCCCGCCATCGATACGCAAAAGTTGCTGCAAGACATCTTGGCTGTGCCTCGACTTCTTGAATTGTTCATATCTTGTAAGCTGTAATATTTCCAGTGTATATCGATACCATGCTCATCGCGCCACCAAGCCATGTCGGCCGAATCTTACAATGTGCTCCTAGCTTGGTTGGAAGATATATTCCCCTCTACCGCAGCGGAATTCGACCTATCGTTTCCCTCGACTCTGCTGCAGGAGCTGTCATTTTTCTGCGGTTCTCTGCAGGATCCTGCTCTTGATCATTGTCAGCGCACAATGAAGCTGGCGCGTCCTGTTCTTAGTGCGCTAGCAACGATCTGCTCTCTCGAAGATATCAAAGAGGAAGCTGAACCGCCCCAGGGCGCGCGCAGGCAGAAGCGTATCTCGCAAAAGCAAGCGAAGAAGGTCAAGCGTGCTGAACGTCGACCAAGCATCGATGCCGGACCATTCCTCAAGCTAGGGGTCAGTGTTCCTGCGAACAAGGGAGACGCCTTGACTTTATCACAAGAAGTTCTGCGATCTCAGAAAGCTGCTCTCATGGTGCGTCGCGTGTGACATGAATGCGGCTTCTTCTCATTATCACCCCGCCGACCCCGCCTCAGGCCTATCTTGAGGTCCTACGAAAGCCTGAGCTTATGAAACATATCCACGACTGCTACATTCCGACCATCGCACCTCCCGAAGAGCCGGCAATCCCCACAGAAACCCAGTCCTCGATGGATATTGAGACTACCTTCGCTACCATCAAAGCGGAACCCGATCTCCTCTCTGCCTACCCAACGATGCAGCTGTTAAGGGCCGCGCTCGACCTCGACTTCCCGAACGATTTCGGACTATGGAAACTCTTCACATCCCACGCGCCAAGAAGGACTTGCGCGACTCACGGAAGAAGGATCCCAAACTGCTCGATATCATCATTAAAAAGCTGGGGTGCGCATAGATCCCGCGCATTGTCGTTTTTGTCTAATGAGGCGTCAATAGAGAGCTCTCACATGGTCATTTCTCTGCGAACAACCAGAAGTGTCTCGTTGGGTCTGGCAGTGGTATCCCTATTTTTGAGGCAAAGATGACGGGCGACACTCGGCTTGTGGTCAGTTCTTTTGCCTCGCCGCACCGTCATATGACTGATATACTGCAGTATCGTGTGGATTGCGAGTATGGATCTGATGTGAGCAAAAGTCTGCCCATCTTCTGTCATAGCTTTCTGAAGGCTAGTTACTGCAGGCTGTCAGGCAAGGTAAACTGTGAGCCAACGTTCGCCCAATAGTTACTCATCAATTACAGTCCTCCGTATCTATGGTATATACACCCACGCCCAAATGCATGGCCGTCGATTCTGGGATGCGGTCTCACGCTCGGGCAGGGGCAGTAAGGAGCACCGCAAACGGTATTCCCTCCTTTTCTCTTCTATGTGAGGGCGCACAGTGACTGACTCCGTACAGATGTGTATACCGCAATACTCCCCGGACACCGGGCAGCAACGTTACACCACCTGCAACGTGGCCTCCCCTGGAGGACAACGAGGACGAAAAGGGCGAGCTGCAACTCCCTGATTTCAACGTCGAGGACGAACACGAGGTACGCCGTTAGTCCTATCGATATGGATATGTGCGTGATTCAACGTGGTACCCGTAGCTAAATGATCTGCTATGGTAAGACTGTTTGTGGCTCGGACTCAAGCGGAGTGCTAACATTGGACGCTCAGTTCTGAGAAGTTTGTTCCGTTCTCTCAGGTGCGGCACAATGGTTGTTCTCGACCTCGTGTTGATCCAAATGCCTCCCTTTTTTTGGTAGGCTTTCCTGAACGGTACGTCATGCCCTTTCGTTAGCGAAATAGTATTTGACACAGGTGAGCAGGTACATTCTCGGACAAAGAAGTTCATCGCCCGTTCCACATGTCGTACGTTGGCTCCTGCGATCCTGCTCTTTTTGGGACGATGACTTATTTCAACTCATACGCAGAGTACAAGAACAAGCTATCACTGAACATCCTGGCTCCTGCTTTGTCCTTGGTCGTAGCGGTACAGGGTACGAAACATACTATTCATTCTTACGAAATTCATCATTCTGACGGCCGTTGCTACGACAGCAAGACAACAACGATAGTTTTCAAGATGATTAACATGGAGCGCGCGTGGTGCAACCTCAAAGAAGACCTCGCCGAGGCAACACCGCAGCTTCGGCAGCTGTTCCTCACCCAGTCGCGCGTCCTGGCCGAGAAGGTCGAGGAGTTTTTCAAGAAAATGATGCCCCGTGAGGAAGTCGAGGGCCAAGCCATGCCGCCATCTCCCCAGATAGACATACGCTCTTCCGGAGGCGTCGACTTTGAGATGGTCGACAAGGACGAGGAAGATCGGCATCGTAGCTTGCTGCCGCAGAAGTTCTCTGATCTGACCGACGACGATTTCCCACTTTTCCTGACGTCAGATCAGGTGAGTTCGTTTTCATGAAGCGCAAGAGATCCAAGTCTTGATGTCCGCGAAGCTCTATCGACTTCTCGCTGCCGACTTCAATGAGCTAGTCGATGCACAAGAGCGCGCCAAGAGAGAAAGACCGTCGAGAGAACATCTAGAGCTGCCGGCGCAGGGCGATCTGCATCGTGTCCCCAATCATGCCATCTCGTACTGGTGGAAATTCCAGCAGGGGCTTACCAAAGGATTAGGCGCGTATGAGCTGTGTACTTAATATCGCAGATTGGCATTAATCATCACATGCAGAGCCGTCGTCCGTATATGCTGAATTCATAGGTAAGCCTCGGATCTCGGCTATGGATTGCCATGTGTTCTACTGATATCTTATCAGGTGTCATCGAGGGATCTGAGCGAGCTATGAACAGTGTGGGCGACGTGCTCGACAGACAAAGCTACTGCGACACCAGCGAACGTGGGGCGGCCTTTAGCGGGCGGAGAGAGGACGTATACAGTCTCTTCGAAGCCTATTTGAAGGAGAAGAGAAAAGACGGACAAGCGGACAGTGCTGATAGGTGCTTTCTGTCATGTTTCTTATATTCGTGGATGACGGCTAATTGACCATGCGACAGAACGCACGCCATCATCCACAACCTCCTGCAGTACGGTATCCCTGGGCAGAAAGTAGACTTTGTGTGAGTTAACTTCTTAGGATTCATCCAGTACACTACCAGATAACGCGCCCAGTTACATCGACGAGGTTCAGGATAATCTCCTGGTCTATACATTCAGTGAATGGGCATGTCATCTCGCGCCGAACAATACTGACGAATATTCTAGTCCTGCGGCTCATTTGTCGATGTCCGGACGGCGTGTTTTGGGCGGGCGATACCGCTCAGACAATAAGTGCAGGAAGCTCTTTCCGTTTCAATGAGCTCAAGGCGTTCATGTACCGCTTGGAGGTACGGTTAAACCAGTGTCTGACTAACTATGCCGGCTGACATGCCGCGTTTGGGCGGCTAACAGAAAGGAAGCAAAGCATCAAACTACCGCACCTTTCAGCTCACAAAGAACTACCGATCCCACGGCGATATTTTCAAGTGCGCGAACACGGTGGTTCGGCTTATAACCAAATTTTGGCCATACACTATCGACTTCTTGGAGGAAGATAAGAGTACAATTGACGGTCTTAAGCCTACGTTCTTCGGTGGTGGCAGTGGTGAGGCTCCTGAGTTTGGAGAGTTTTTGTCTGACGAGGGGTAAGTTTAAATCATTGCTATCGAAGCCATTTGCTTCTGACATATACATGCAGTGGCTGTACCATCGAGTTTGGTGCGAGGCAGTGTATGTGGCATATTTACATGCCCGCAATTAGATTGGCACGCTGATTTTGTCCAGGTGTCAACGTCCGAGACCCTGCCGCTCGCGACCGGTTGCGCTCAGAATAGGGGACGTCGGCATTATCCTGTGAGTGCCTCCTCCTGGTCAAGACTCGTGATGGACTCAAGCGTACACGCAGGACTCTGAACGAGAGCAAAGGGTTAGAATTCGAGGATGTAAGTCTCCATGTATCCTGAGAACTGTCTATCTCAGTTATCGCAGGTTGTTTTGTACAACTTTTTCGCAGACTCTACGGTCGGCGCCTCGCAGTGGCGGCTCGTTCTGGCTGAGCTTTCGGACTCGGAGGGTCTCACCGTCAAAAGTCCTGTATTCGACGAGATCAAACATCATGGCCTTTGTCGCGAAGTGCGTCAAGTAACACAAGAATTCCTGCTTACATTGCTAATGTGTAGTCGTCCTTGGCGCAGCTCAAGTCTCTCTATGTGGCAATTACTAGAGCCCGCTTGAACCTTTGGATCGTCGACTACTCCGATCAGGGCGAACCTATGCGTGTAAGACACTTAATGCCTCTACGGAACGATCTTCACTAAACACTCTTACCATCAGATTTTGTGGCAGCATAAAGGTCAAATATCCACCTGGGTTCCAGGATCACCTGTTCCTCGTCTTGCTACAGCCTCGTATCTGCAAGTTTAATGCAGCACGAGCTGCCCAGCGTTGAGCGAGACCAGGTGTGATATCACTTACCGTGTTAATATTTGTACTTGTACTGATGTCCGCTGACAGTTAACCATGTTCGAGGTTATCGTTTCTGATCATCAACAAAATCTTTTAATTCTCGGACGCAAATTTAGTCAGTTACATCCCGCCAGCACCATTCGTTGTTTGGACCACGTCTTCTCTGCCGAAGCAATATCATCTGGATTCAAGTCGGATGATCCCGCGAAGATCTGGTCCATGCTCGAGGCCTTCTCGGTGTACACTCGCGCCCTGCGATCCATGGCGTATTCGCACCAGTCATGTGATAATCCCGACCTACAGAGGTTACTGTCGTTCTCAGTGACTGTACAAGGTGAACAGTACCAAGTCCACCCCGGTACCTTGCTTGCACAGGAGTTGGTACGGGTGGGCCATGCCCATGCCGGCGTCCCGGAGACTGGCATCCAAGTGCCTCGTTACATCATGCAGCATGCCATTCGTCGGTTTCTGCAACAGCGCCTTCTCGACCGTGTTCGGATGGAGAATGATGCCTGCCGATCCTCGTCGATGTGGTCACAACCATGCCTTTACTTTGCTGTCGACAGACGCTGTCCTAGAGATTTCAGACAGCGTCAACGGCCACATATACTTTGGGATAATCTTTCGGCGCACTACCAGCAGCTCTCGTCATTGGTGCTGATACAGATGCGGATCTACGAGGACGCGAGCAATGTTGAGCGATGGACAGAACGCTGAGATCAGCACAGGTGAGCCCCAAGTTCTCAAGAATAAAACATCATCTTATAATCCACTGTGGCAGATGGTGGTTATCTCGCTTGTACCAGGTCTGGAAGCCATGGTTCGGGAAGCTGAATACCACGTTGGATCCTGCAGTGGACAACTTCGTCGTCGGGAAATGGCTGTATGAAGCATTCTTTGATCATTCCCCGGATCCGACAATCGGCTTCGTACCTGACGGGTTCTTGACCGGACTCCTACGTTACATGATGCTGCACAGAATCGCTATGCGGACTGATAGCCCTCCCTACGCACACAGGATTCCTTGTATCGCAGGTCCGCTCCCAGCCTGGTTACATCGACAAGCCGATGGCGTTCACATCACGTATGACCTATTATCTTTCTTCAACGGCCACCGTAGAGGCGTGCCAATCTGTACCAGACTCCTCAAGTGAGTATAGCACAAGAGCTTGTGATGAATTACGTTGATTTGTGTTCTCCGCTAGGCATATTCTGTGGTGGCGGCTTCCCGTAGATGTTGCGATACTTTGCGACTTCCTAGACACCGTATCCTCGGCTCTCGTCGTCATATATCGGGCTCGCACGTCGTTTGGGGTCCACAATGTTGTTCTTCCTTGCAAGTGGTTGCTAAGTGTCGCCGGATTGTTTCTCGACGAATTCTTATCGCAGAAAGAAGTAGGCCTGGTATCTGACTACGTGCGAACCATGGAAATTCTTTTACGTCTTTATACCAGGAACGAGATAGGTAAGTTGTTCTACTCTGAGCTACTATCGGTTCTGACATCTCGTAGGTCATTTATTCCCCACTTCTAACCCAGTATCTCTGACCAGAAATATCTACATCGCTCGAATGTGAGTATCGCTTAATTTTTATATTTATATGCCAATCATTTAATCCGGATTTCTCTTCGTCCTCCAGCTGCCAGAACTTGGCCATAGGTCTGTCTTCGGTTCTCTTCTCGATTTTAAAGGGCTTATACGGAGCGTAGTGGGATGCAATATCCAGAATCCGGACATCAAGGCTGAAATCTATCGCATTCTTCGGTCACTCGGTACATCTAACGAGATGATCAGCCCGCACTGGTTGTACGAAAAGCTGGTTGCCGCAGTCCAATGGGAAGAAATCATAGACGTTGTTCGAAATAACTCCTTCGAGCTCGCCATCGACGATATGATACAACTCGCAGACCGTAGCAGGGTTGCGAACATACCTCTTCCAGCTGGGAACCTCCGACGCGTAGTTTACGACCGTCCAGCCAATATTCCCAGCTTGCTCGCATCTGATGTAACAGGCCCGAGCTGGCCGAACCCTGTCGGATTCCGTGCAGCGGTGCAACCGGCGCCGATTACTGTTGCTCTCGGTGCGGGTTCAGAAACCGCTTTACCAGCTGCGACGATAGGGTCTACGATTCTACCAGCCCCTGCCGAAGAAACCCCTGCAGTTACATCTCTGGATGGCGAAAATGGCGGTAGAGCAACGGAAGGTCCTGATGAGGCGCCGGCCCAGTTTGCCTCTTACGCCGAGAAGGAGCTGGTGATCGTGCGCAAGGCCGCCTTGGTATACCTCGAAAGGACGCGACGACGGCTGCGAATGAGCGCGTTTGGACCTCCGAGCGCGCTCGGCCTTCTCCGCGTGCGGCACTTCAACGAATTTTTGGCGCAGTTGGCGCAGATGCCCTGGTCGGGACCACTCCACACCTTCTACCGCAAGCTGTATCTTGGGCCTGTCCCGCACATTATGGTCGCCTTGGACTGCGTCCTGGAGTACTTGCACGGGCGGAAGAGGAAGGAGACGATGCGGCTTGGCGACAAGGGCGGTGACCATCTCGAGCTGGACGCTATCCAAGCCGAGGTCAAACGGTGGGAGTAAGTGGACTCAGCCGCCGATTGTCTTGTGCGTCTAACAACACTCATGCAGCGAACTCTGTCGTACGGCGATGCCTTTCAAGAATTCTCTCGGCCCACAGTCCGAAATACACAGAGAAGCGGACCGTCAACAGCTCGAACAGCTCGTTTCTGACGTCCAAAGTTTTATATTCACCATACCTGGAGATTCTGACAAGAGCTGGAAGGATGACCTGGGCATCGCCGTGAAAGGTATTTTGATGAGGAAGAAGGCGGTTGCACCCACCCAGCAACGTAAGTCGGAGTTGCGGGTGGAGGATGACCTCAATTATGTCTACATGCGCAATTAGATCTACATAATTTATCGACATCTCTGATTGCTTCGTTATTTGTATATCTACTCACTAGTGATAGACTACTCGATGCATGTTAACATCGAACTGGAAGCTCCGTTCAGGCGTTCATCAACACCAGCACTACTGTACGAATCTGCCTGATATAGATTAGATGGCGTACGACGAATTCCCAGATATATGCGATGCACAGCGAGGGCCCAGGAGGTCCTTCCAATTGCAAAACCGCAATCTTGGACCTCCGATGGACGAGACGCCGCCTTTCTCGAATAGTCCACGTCCCGCTCTCTATGCGATGCTTGGCAAATTGCAGCTGATGGCTTCTTGAGCTTCTCAGATGGATCCTCTGCTGGCACAGCCTATGCGCATATGGCTCGTAATTGTGCGCTACGGTATAGTCGGCACCTTTAGAAGCCCCGCACTTGTTGCTTGAATTTCCTTCTGTGCTAGCCGCGTAGTGTGGTAGGAAGAGCTGTGTCGCATAGCCATTCACCAGCGTGGTGCAGGATCGATAGAGAGTTAGATATCGCAGGTCGCCTGGTCTTCCGGCGCTCCGAATAACTGCGGTATGCACAGCTTTGATATTCTCCCTCTCTGCGCTTCAGCTGTGCATTGATCCGAGCCCCACGAAGCCGCGAGAGCAACGCGGGAACCCACCTCATTGGAAAACAAAACCGGCCCGCCCAATCAATTGATCAGATCTCGCGCAGTTCTGCGACCTCTCTGAGATGACGCTGACACGAGCCCACAATCCAGCAGGCGGAGGTGGTCAGCCTCGGCATACATGTAAGCGACCGTAGTATAGCCGATACAGTTGTTCACAGTGCATACAAACCTCCTCGTGAAGTTACAGGGGTAGAAACATACAAGCCGACTGGATGCTATCCATGCTTACGCGCAGGCCGAACTGCGCCACGTTCGGGATCCGAGTCACCCATCATACTAGGTAAGTATCTCGCTTGGCTTGTCATCTAACTAACTGACGGATATCAGATGCGGAGATGAAGGCCCTGGGATCGCGAAAATTCTCTGCTTCGTGTATGTAGATGTCTCAAACCTTATCTTATGGGCGATATATCGCTGATGCTTAACACCGAGCTTGTTTATAAGTACGTACGCCGGAGCGCTACATCGATGCTCACTCGCCACCGACCCCTAGCTTCTAGTAATGGTCCAAATATCGCCTCCAGCTGCCGAGCTCCTCGGAGTGGTAATTGGGACACTAGTGTATGGTGCGTTTGTGACTCCTACTTGCACCAATCGAGTGCTTAGCGAAGGGCAAACTTAGGCATGTATGTCGTACTCTTCGCCATATCGATGTATTACCTGGTAGGGAGAAAGGAACGGAAACAGAAATATAGCTCAATGAAGACGACGACCCTTCTCATTATCTCTGGCAGTATACTTCTCTTTTCCAGCGTCACCACTGTGAGTGCTCTATAGGCCTGCGAACATGGATTGAGCTGAAGTATGATATTAGCAATGGGTTATCGAAATTGTCCGACTCTTCAAAGGTTTTATAGACCATGGAAATGAACCCGACGGGCCTTTGCTGTACTTTACTTTGTTGTCCGATGGTCTAGATGTCGCTCGCCTGAGTATATACATAGTTGAAGTGGGCATATGCGACTTTATAATGGTATGCTCCTCGACTCGAAGATCAACTTCGGCGACGCTTATCTTTGCACGCAGGTATATCGGCTCTGGCAAGTGTGGCACCGCAGCTGGCCGATTGCAATGCCACCTAGCTGCACATATATCGCTAGCATGGGTGCGTCTGCTTAATATATCTTCTTTCTGTGTTCTTACAAGTGGCTTAGTCTGCGGGGCATTATTCATATATAACAAGCACAAATTGGCCCCGAACGAGAATTTCTTCACATCTTCTTGCGGTATGCACCAGATATCATTAGCAGATGAATTGTATTCAACGGACTCGGACTTACAGCGCCTTGGATCGCCGCTACTCTGACGTGCACTGTAGCGTATGTCTTGTTCATTTCAAGCCAAGAATTCACGGCTGGTGCTGACGTTCTACTTTTAAGCACGAACATATACTGCTCAGGTGCGTCTTCCCGAGGACTACCCTGCTGGACTGAGAAGGCTCACCCGTCCATAGCTCTGCTGTCATACAAGGTGTGGAGTACGCAGCAAGCAGTGCGGCACGCAACAAAGTACTTACGCTCTACGGTGGCTTCCGTATGTGCCTGAATCCCCTCACTCCCCAGGCTGACTGGACACATCACAGAAAGTTGTGGCTATCATTATTGAGAGCGCTTTACTCTTCACGTAAGTCTACTATGCTAATATCCCGACCAGCACGTTCACAATGCAATTTGCACCAGGGTGTCGAATGTAATAATGATGATAACCTACTTTGGCCAATCCTTTGCAATAATCACTTCCATAACTTTCGTACGTCGTCCGCACTTCTATGCCTGCCTGCGCATCTGACCTGTGGAAAGGCGGCGCCGCTCTCGGGCATTGCATACTGCCTTATCATCGTTCGCTTCGGCATGGGTGGAGCCTTCGAGACCAACGGACCCGCTCTGTCCACCTTTAATCTCCCGTCCCTGCATTCATCGCGCCCCAGTGCCAATCTGGGGGTCGCGGTAAAGCCTGTGGCTATAAACATTACGCACGAGTTGGAGACTGATGGGACAGATGACGATCTTGCTGCAAAGACATCCCAGACGGACGCACTTCATGGTCTTGGCCAGAACTATGCTGGTTCCCAAGTTTGACATATTATTGATTCACCTGCTGAGATTTATATAAATATATGTGAAATATAATTGCCGTGCCTTTTATAGATTCTCACAGCTCGAGAGCTCGAACGACATGAGGATTTGACCTGATTTCTGGTTGTTTTCAGAAATCTGAAGATGCAAGACGTCATGCATTCGTTGAACTTGAACTTGAAGTTGCTCTGGCGGCGCCATATATGGTGTCTGATGTTGGCGCTGCCGTTGCTGCAATTCGGTATCATTTGGCCGTGAATAATCATCGTAACGTATCCCCCGTGCTGTTTTTTGACACTCGAGGACCATGCCCGTGCGGGTCCATGCTGCGTGGTTTCGGTCTTCGCTGCTCGCATCCTGATCCTGCTAGGGTTTCCCAGTCTCGTTCTATCCGCTCTAACTCCGACGTTATCGGCTGACAGCTGGTGCGTCGGAGTTTGGAACTCAAGTGCACCGAGCCTGGGGACGAGGCTGGGAATTTCCGCGCCTTCGTGGCGCTTGGCTCGGCCCCTAAGGTGCAAAAAATGGAACTAGGTTCTCAACTTGTTCCACAGCTTCGATTCCCATCTCATCGACATCGCTGATGCAGCGCCCAGTTTTGTGGCTATGGGCCTGGGAGCTACTCCTTCAAAACTCTACCGTACGGTACACACCAGAGTTCAGCATCATACTCTTTCTCTGCTCTGAGTAGTATGGCAATGAAAGTAGCCATCTGGTAAGCTACACTCTTCTCTACTATAACCTGCTAGCCCTGAATTTAGCTGGAAGCGGCGGAGGTATCGGTGGCCTCACGCTGGCCCTAGTCCTCAAGAAGTTCATGACGTCTTCGACATTCACCGTCGATTTGTACGAGGCGGAGCCGTCTTTTACTGAGATAGGTGCCGGGATAACTGTGTGGCAGCGGACACGGAGTGTCTTTGCTTCCCTCGGATTACAAGCAACCCTGGAAAACCGAGCGCTCTCTCCTCCGATGACACTGAGGAAAAGCGACACGAAGGAGCCTTTTGTGTTCCATACACTCGTTATTCCTCGTGAGTTTCTCGAACTTAATGAGTACTTGTCTGACCTGACCTCAGATGGCTGTATCGCGCTTCCTCGAGCGGACATGGTTCAGCTCCTCGTCGAAAGCTTGTATGCAGACTCCACGTCGTTCCTCACCATCCACTTCTCCAAGAAGCTGGAAGTATACGACCAAGATGGGTACGGCATCACCCTTCGTTTTGCTGATGGATCTTCGTCTCGTGCAGATGTTCTCGTGGGTGCAGATGGCATAGGCTCGCCCACTCGCAAGACGATGTACGCCGGGATCGCAGAGCACATCGCTCAGGGCGACCCAGAGAAGGCAACTTCGATCCTGCAGAGCGCACGACCGACATGGACAGGGACTCATGCATACCGGACGCTTCTGGATAGGGAGAAACTGAAAACAATCTCTCCGCAAAATGTCATGCTGGGCGGCGGTCTTTTGGTGCGTCTAACCCGCGCTGGCTCTCATGAGGCGCTACTGACTTTCCAGTAGTGGTGCGGTTCAGGAAAGGTATTATGCTACTGTACATAGCATGTATAACTCTAATATAACGTGTTTTATAGCATGTCGTCTCGTATCCAATCTCTCCTACCTTAATCAATATCCTCTTTTTCGACACCATTCCCGACGGCCTCGGGAAGCCACTTTCTGGACCGTCGGTTGTCGCCGCATCCAAGGACGAAATCGTAGAATTGTATAAAGATTGGGAGGATGATCTTCGGATTGCCGCAGAGGTGAGTCGACTATCATGGCTCGTGGACGTCGGAAGCCTTACCGACGTTGGTCGGCTTGTAGAATATCGGAGATGTGTCGAAATGGGCCATCAGCCACATGCGCGATCTGCCCCAATACGCCGACGGGCGGGTGGTGCTGATAGGCGACTCCGTAAGCCCATGTGTATTTCTTTCGTCTTATTCACTGTGACGTCGAGGCATAGGCCCATTCCATGAGTACCCATTTCGGAGCGGGCGCTGGCCAGGCAATAGACGTAGGCCCTCCATCATTCACAAGTCACCTATTCGCTCACGCGCTAGCAGGACGCCTACGTTCTCGGGCGCATCCTCGCACACCCGAAAGTCACAGCGAACAACATAGCCGAAGCGCTCAAAGTGTACGACGCAGTTCGCAGGCCGGTCGCTAGCACCGCTCTCGAGTACTCTCTGAGGACCGGCTTCCTGTACGAGTTCCACCCCGACTACCTTCCCGTGGGCACCGACATCGAGAAGCTCCGCGCGGGAGATCGCGCCGAACTGAAGAAGGTCTCTGACGACCTCCAGGACATGGTGCGTTTCCATTGGGCTGAGCTTCCCGAGAAAGAGTGGGACCGGGCGCGCGAGGCTCTGGAGAGGTTGTAAAGATTAACTTGGTTGATGGGATGCGCTTTCTTCAACGCCCATGTGTATACGCGTATGCCGTAGACTTCATCCTTTCCCGTGGAATTATGTCTAGATTTATACAGAGCTCACGTCATGTGTAAAATCTGCTCGCCTTGGACTACTACGGTACAGCATTTACGGCTTCCTTCCAGTACGCGTATCGCTAGAATCCCTGTGCATGCATACTAGAGTCAGCATGCGACTGGCGGTAAAGCGAGCCCATATTGTGGCCTGAAGAAGTTTAGCCAGATTTCCGCCACTTGACTGCAGCAAAACCTGTGGCCGTTAATGTCGACGCGTGAGCCGGAGATCACTGAGGTGGCAGGACTGTTGCAACGAGACACAAACAGAGAGCTCGGATGTTACTGACATGGTGCATAAGTGATTAGCATGCAGAGCATGCAGGGACGGAAGAGCTCACATACACGAGAGTGAAGCGGGAAAGCCAATCGCCCTGTCATGAATACAAGGTAGGCATATCGATGCCGAAGTGAAAGCATAGTCCAATACGTTCTCCTATGCTCTCGCATGGTCACCAGTTATTCCACCGCCGCCTCCCGGCCCACAAAGCGACGTGCAAGGAAGTCAACAGGGAATAAGCACGCTCACGAAGGGGGGATACGGCGACGCGACGTAATATGCAACCTGGTGCCAAATGCGGGGGAAGCTGCAGCCAAGCCAAGCAGAGCACGGACTTGCCAACGCGCCAAAATCGAGTAGCACGTTACCCTCCCAAGGATATCTCGCCTGGCTCCTTGCTCCGCTCTCGACGTTCGCCGCCTCACACATGGGAATTAACGGCCGATTCTGCCCCTCTCCTTGAAATTTGCAATGGCATTTGGCATGCTTATGAGACTGCTCGAGGTCGCAAAGCCGAAGCGCAGGGTTATCGAGCCGTTGCCAGGGGTACTTCCTTGCCGCGAAAGTCGTAGCAAGACGCAAGCTGGCAGACGGCGGGCAGTGCCAGCGGCGAATTTGGGACGCGGATGGGCTCAGGTGGGTGTGTACGACATGCCGGGCAGAGTATCACAGAGCTTCAAAGGAAAGGAGCGTGTGAGACGACACAGGTCGTTCGCAAACTGACGGAAACAGAGAGGATGAATTTAAGTTGGACCTTGGATCCATACTCACTGGCTGTGGGAAATGCTTGCCTTTGCTGAAGAGCGAGCGCCTCGCGTAGCAGAGATCGCGCCCGCGAACAGCCCGCGGAGTGGAATTCGACCCCCACGTCGCGTCCAGATGCGATGAAGTTCTTAGCTCGTAGCTGAGAAATTGCACATGCACGAGACATCGTAATTCCCTTCAGTTTTTGCACTACAGCCCACGTTTTCGGCGACCCGTGAGCTTGGTTGCATAATCTCTGGCAGATGCCCTGCTTCGTGTCTGGCGTTTCCATCATCTACACCTTTGAACCTTATACAGGCCTCAGATAGCGATTCAGCATGCCATATGAGGCCTTGAGGATGCATTCCCTGCGTTTTCGAACATGAGGCGGTCCCGTGCGATAAATGGCCGCCCCTCAGACTGGCGCGCAGCCGAGCCCCCTGAAAGCTACCATCACCATGCGTCCAACCCTCAAGCAAGCCGCTCATAACAAGCATATCCATGTAAAGCTGAACTTAGATTTGCTTGATCCGGAGAGTATGCGAGACGAGGTGTCATTTGAGGGCGCCATAGGTCTCCTCGAGAGCCACCTCGTGAATCCCACCATCGATACGCAAAAGTTGCTGCAAGACATCTTGGCTGTGCCTCGACTTCTTGAATTGTTCATATCTTGTAAGCTGTAATATTTCCAGTGTATATCGACACCATGCTCATCGCGCCACCAAGCCATGTCGGCCGAATCTTACAATGTGCTCCTAGCTTGGTTGGAAGATATATTCCCCTCTACCGCAGCGGAATTCGACCTATCGTTTCCCTCGACTCTGCTGCAGGAGCTGTCATTTTACTGCGGTTCTCTGCAGGATCCTGCTCTTGATCATTGTCAGCGCACAATGAAGCTGGCGCGTCCTGTTCTCAGTGCGCTAGCAACGATCTGCTCTCTCGAAGATCTCGAAGAAAAACCCGAATCGCCTCAGGACACGCGTAAGCCGAGGCGTGTCTCGCAAAAGCAAGCGAAGAAGGCCAAGCGTGCTGAACGTCGACTAAACATTGATGAAGGGCCATTCATCAGGCTCGGGGCTAGCGTTCCTGCGAGCAAGGAAGACGCTTTGACCTTGTCTCAAGATACTCTGAAAGCCCAGTATGCTATCCTCACAGTACGTCACATGCGACATGAGTATGAGCTCCCCTCATCACGACTCTGCCTTAGACTTATCTTGAGGTCCTACGAAAGCCCGAGCTCGCGGAGCACATCCACAGCTGCTACATGCCGATCATCGCACCTCCGGAAGAGTCGTCAATTCTCGCAGATACCCAGGACCCGGCAGAAATCGAGACCACCTTCACCACTATCGAAGTGGAGCCCGACCTCCCGTCTGCCTACCCAGCGGTGCAGCCGCTGAGGGCCGCGCTCTACTTCGACAGTCCGAACGGCTTCGGACTCTGGAGGCTCATCATGCCTCAACGCGCTGAGAAGGACTTGCGCGACGCGCGGAAGAAGGATCCCAAGCTGTTCGATATTATCATCAAGAAGCTGAAGTGCGCATATATCCCATTGATTGTCGTTTTTCGTCTAATGAGGCATCATTAGAGAGCTCTCACATGGTCATTTCTCTGCGGACAACCAGAAGCGTCTCGTCGGATCTGACAACGGTCTCCCTATCTTCGAGGCCAAGATGACAGGCGATACTCGGCTCGTGGTCAGTTCTTCTGCCTCGCAGTACCGTCACCCCACTAATCCGTTGCAGTATCGCGTGGATTGCGAACAAGAATACGGATCTGATGTAAGCACATGTCTGATCCTTTTCTGTCAAAGCTTTCTGAAGACCGGGCGCTACAGGTTGTCACGCAAGGTAAAATATAAGTCAACATTCGCCTAATAGCTACTCATCGATCATAGTACTCCGTATCTATGGTATATACACCCACGCCCAAATGCATGGTCGTCGATTCTGGGACGCGGTCTCGCGCATGGGCGGGGGCGGCAAGGAACACCGCAAACGGTATGCCTCACTTTCCCTCTTCTGTACTAGGGCGCACAATAACTGACGTCGTACAGATGTATATATCGCAGTGCGCCCCGGACACCGGGTAGCAACGTCATCCCACCTGCAATGTGGCCTCCGCCGGAGGATAACGAGGACGAAGAGGACGGACTGCAGCTCCCTGATCTCAGCGTCGAGGACAAACAGGAGGTATGCTATTAGCTTTGTCGATATGTACGTCGCTGACCTTGTCTCCGTAGCTACAAAATCTGCTACGGTGAGGCTGTTTTTAGCCGGGACTTATGCGGAGTGCTCACATTGGACGCCAAGCTCTGAGAAGTTTGTTCCGTTCTCACAAGTATGTTACAACACTCGTTCTCCACACTCATATCAATCTAAATGATCTATCGGCAGGCTTTCCTGAATGGCACGTCTTGCTCTTTCGTTGGTGGGGTGGTGTTTGACGCATGTGGGCAGGTATAATATCGGACAAAGACGTTAACCACCCGTTTTATATGTCGTGCGTTGGCTCCTGAAATTTTTCTCATAGTAGGATGCTGACTTACTTCAATGCATGTGCAGAGCACAGGAACAAGCCATCGTTCTCCACCCTGGCTCCTGCTTCGTCCTTGGTCGTAGCGGTACAGGGTACGGAGCATACTATCAAAAGCTACGGAATTCGTCGTACTAACATCCGTCACCATAACAGCAAGACGACAACGATGGTTTTCAAGATGATTGGCATCGAGCGCATGTGGCGTAGCCTTGAAGAAGGACTCACCGAGGCAACACCGCGGCCCCGGCAGCTGTTCGTCACTCAATCGCGCGTCCTGGCCGAGAAGGTCGAGGAGTACTTCAGAAAAATGATGCTCGCCGTGGACGTCGAGGGCCAAGCCATGCCACTATCTCCCCGGGTTGACACACGCTCTTCCGGAGGCATCGATTTCGGTATGGTCGACAAGGACGAGGAAGATCGACATCGTAGCGTGCTACCGCAGAAGTTCTCCGACCTATCTGACGACAATTTTCCGCTCTTCCTAACATCCGATCAGGTAGGTTTATTACTCCAAGTGCGTCGGAAATACGATATTTAGTACTTTGTAGCTTTGTCGACTTCTGGCTGCTGACTTCAACGAGCTGGTCGATGCACAAAAACGTGTCAGGGAAGGAAGGCCACTCAAGGAAGACTTTGACTTATCGACACAGGGTGATTTGCGCCGTGTCCCACACAATGTCATCTCGTACTACACGTTCCTTACTTTGTACTGGCGGAGATTCCCCCAGGGGCTTACCAAAGGATTAGGCATGTGTCGATTATGTAGCCTGCATTACATGCTAATGCCAGCGATTTTACATGTAGAACCGTCGTCGGTATATGCTGAATTCATCGGTGAGCGTCGGACTTGCTCGTGGACTTCTAGCTATTTCACTCACTATACACCAGGAATCATAAAGGGCTCCGAGCGAGCATTGTGCAGTGCGGACGGCATACTCGACAGGCAAAGCTACTGTGACACCAGCGAGCGAGTGGCAGCCTTTAGCGGACAGAGAGACAACCTATACAGTCTCTTTGAAGCCTATTTGAAGGCGAAAAGAAGAGATGGACAAGCGGATAGTGCTGATAGGTACTTTGTATCAGATCATCAATATGCGCTGTAATATCTAATTCACAATACAACAGAACACACACTATAATCCACAATTTCCTGCAGTACGGTGTCCCGGGCCAGAGGGTGGATTATATGTAAGTTAACTTCTCATAAAAAGATGGTGCGCTGATAGATAACACGCGCCCAGTTATGTCGACGAGGTTCAGGATAACCTTCTGGTTGATACTTTCAGTGAGCTCCTGCGTTATCTTGCAGTGAGCGGCTTTAACGAAAACTCCAGTCCTGCGATTCATCTGTCGGAGACCGGACGGTGTATTCTGGGCAGGCGATACCGCTCAGACAATAAGTGCAGGAAGCTCTTTCCGCTTCAACGAGCTCAAGGCGTTTATGTATCGACTGGAGGTACGGTAAAGGAGTGTCTAGGTGGCCATGGCAACTGACAAGCCGCGTTTGGGCGGCCAACAGAATGGAAGCAAGACATCGAACTCCCGCACCTTCCAGCTCACGAAGAATTACCGGTCACACGGCGGTATCGTCAAGTGCGCGAACGCGGTCGTTCGACTCATAACCAAATTTTGGCCATACACTATCGACTTCCTGGAGGAAGAGAAGGGCACGATTGATGGTCTTAAGCCTACGTTTTTCAGTGGCGGCAGTGGTGAGGCTCCTGAGTTTGGAGAGTTTCTGTCTGATGAAGGGTAAGTTAAAATCATTGTTATCGAAGTGATTTGATCCCTATTTCTGACGTATCCGTTCAGTGGCTGCACCATCGAGTTTGGCGCGAAGCAATGTATGCTGCACAATCGTATACTCGCAATCTGACCGGCTTGCTGATTGTGTCCAGGTGTCATCGTCCGAGACGCTACCACTCGCGACCAGCTGTACTCGGAATTAGGGGACGTCGGCATCATCCTGTGAGTGACTTGTAGCAGAGGCTGATCGTGAACTCACACATGCACGCAGGACTCTATACGAGAGCAAAGGGCTAGAATTTGAGGATGTAAGTCTCCATATATTCCAAGGACTATCTATCTCAATCATCGCAGGTTGTTCTGTACAACTTTTTCGCAGACTCTACGGTCGGCGCCTCACAGTGGCGGCTCGTTTTGTCTGAGCTTTCGGACTCAGAGGGTCTCGCCGTCAAGAGTCCTATATTCGACGAGATCAAACATCATGGCCTTTGTCGCGAAGTGCGTCAAGCAATCCTCGTCATCTCAGCATACGTTGCTAACACGTAATCGCCCTTGGCACAGCTCAAGTCTCTCTATGTGGCGATTACTAGAGCACGCTTGAACCTTTGGATCATCGACTACTCCAATAAGGGAGAGCCTATGCGTGTAAGCTGCTTAAAGCCTTTGCAGAACGATTCTTACTCAACGCTCTCACCATCAGATTTTGTGGCAGCATAAAGGTCAAATATCCACCTGGGTTCCAGGATCACCTGTTCCTCGTCTTGCTACAACCTCGTCTCGCGCAGAATGGGGGACCGCTGCCAAGAGCCTCTTCAGCAACAGGAACTACATGCAAGCAATGTACGCGTATCAAAGGGCTGGCATGACACGAGAGAAAACCATCGCAGAAGCTTACCACCTACGAGCAGTTGCGGAGCAGAAAGCGGAGACCAGTTCACTCGGAGACTCAGAGATGGTCAGCGCGTTCGTGCAGGCTGCGCATGCGTTCAGGACGGCTGCGGATGCTGCCGATAGTCCGCAGCTCCGGCGGACGTACTATCGTATCTGTGCTGAATGTTTCGTAACCGCGGGTGACGATGTCAGCGCGGCGAAGTTCTTCGAAGGGGCGGCCGAGTACGACCTCTCCGCTAAGCACTATCGCAAGGCAGGCTCTTTCGATGACGCTGTCAGACTGACGAAGACGTACGAATCTGAAATGGAGCAGACAGTCCTGGAAAGCATCATCGACGTGTCGAAGCTGTACTATCTCAAATCGGGAGACATCGGGTGAGCATGACTGTCTCAATTCCTGTTTAAGCGACTAACGTTGTCAACAGCAAAGCGCAAGAACTCTTTGGTTCTGTCGAAGAGGTCGTCGATTATACTGACCTCTACGGCCTCGATGCCGCACGTGCAGCCCTTTACGAGAGTAACTGCCGCTATGCTGATGCCGCTTCAGCCCATCTCCAATCGGGAAATGTCGACGAAGCTGTTCGACTCTTCCTTCGAGCTTCAACAGAGGACATAACGAACGTACGCCGAGCATGCGACTGTATCCTCGACGAGCTGTGGAAGACCTTGCCTCTGGACGTCGAGCTGTCATCTCATAATCCGCGAATTAGGAAGCTGCTGGACTTATCTGCAAGTTTAATGCAGCATGAGCTGCCCAGCATTGAGCGAGACCAGGTGTGATATCACTTACTGTGTTAATCTTTGCACTTGTACTGATATCTACTGATAGCTAACCATGTTCGAGGCTATCGTTTCTGGTCATCAACAAAATCTTATAGCTCTCGGACGCAAATTTAGTCAGTTACATCCCGCCAGCACCATTCGTTGTTTGGACCACGTCTTCTCTGCCGAAGCAATATCATCTGGATTCAAGTCGGATGATCTCGCGAAGACCTGGTCCATGCTCGAGGCCTTCTCGGTGTACACTCGCGCCCTGCGATCCATGGCGTATTCGCACCAATCATGTGATAATCCCGACCTACAGAGATTACTCTCGTTCTCAGTGACTGTACAAGGTGAACAGTACCAAGTCCACCCCGGTACCTTGCTTGCGCAGGAATTGGTACGGGTGGGCCATGCCCATGTCGGCGTCCCGGAGACTGGCATCCAAGTGCCTCGTTACATTATGCCGCGTGTCATTCGTCGGTTTTTGCAACAACGCCTTCTCGACCGTGTTCGGATGGAGAATGATGCCTGCCGATCCTCGTCGATGTGGTCACAACCATGCCTCAATTTCGCCGTCGATGAACACTGCCCAAGGGATGCCAACCAATGTCAACGGCCGCATATACTTTGGGATAATCTTCCTGCGCACTCCCAGCAGCTCTCGCCATTGATACTGACACAGATGCGGATTTACGAGGACGCAAGCAATGTTGAGCGGTGGACGGAGCGCTGGGATCAGCACAGGTGGGCCTCAAGTTCCCAAGAATAAAACATTATGTTATAATTCACTGTGGCAGATGGTGGCTGTCTCGCTTGTACCAGACTTGGCAACCGTGGTTCGGGAAGTTGACTACCACGTTGGATCCTGCAGTGGACAACTTCGTCGTCGGGAAATGGCTTTATGAAGCATTCTTTGATCATTCCCTGGATCCGACAATCGGCTTCGTACCTGACGGGTTCTTGACCGGACTCCTACGTTACATGATGCTGCACAGAATCGCTATGCGGACCGATAGCCCTCCCTACGCACACAGGATTCCTTGTATCACAGGCCCGTTCCCAGCCTGGTTACGGCGACACACCGATGGCGTTCACATCACACATGATTTATTGCTTTTCTTCAACGGACATCCTAGAGGCATTCCGATCTGTACCAGATTTCTGAGGCGAGTATGGCGCGGGAACTTATGGTGAAACGCGCTGATATATTTTCTGCTAGGCATATCATGGGGTGGCGTCTCCCGATAGACGGCGCAGTCCTTTGCGATTTCCTCGACGTTATATCCTCAGCTCTCGTCGTCATATGTCGGGCTCGCACATTTTCTGGGGTTCATAATGTTGTTCTTCCCCGCAGGTGGTTGCTGAGTGTCGCTGGATTGTTTCTCGATGGATTCACTTCTCAGAAAGAAGTGGGTTTGATTGCTGACTACGTGAAGGTCGTGGGATTCCTCTTGCGACGTCTCTATACTGGTAACGATATAGGTAGGCTCTCCACCTCGGAGGTGTTATCGATCCTCACATCTTGCAGGCCATTTATTTCCGACATCTAATCCAGCATATCTGACTAGAAGTATCTACATTGCTCGAATGTGAGTACTGGTCGATCTATCCTTTTTGACCAGCCATTAAATACAAATTTCCCTCCGCCGCTCAGCTGCCAGAACTTGTCCATAGGTCTGTCTCTGGTTCTCTTGTAGATACACAAGGCTTATGCGGAACGTAGTGGGACACAATATTCAGAATCTGGACATCAAGACCGAGATCCATCGTATGCTTCGGTCGCTTGGCACATCTGACGAGGCGATCAATCCGCATTGGCTGTATGAAAGACTGGTCGCCGCGGTTCATTGGGAGCAAATCGCAGATATTGTTCGAAATAACTCCTTCGAGCTCGCCATCGACGATATGATACAACTCGCAGACCGTAGCAGGGTTGCGAACATGCCCCTTCCAGCTGGGAACCTCCGACGCGTGGTTTACGATCGTCCAGCCAATATTCCCAGCCTACTCGTATCCGATGTAACAGGCCCAGCCTGGCCGAATCTTGTCAGGACCCATGCAGCGGTGCAGCCGGCGCCGATTACCGTCGCTTCAAGTGCGGGTCCAGAGGTTGCGTTACCAGCTGCGACGATAGGGCTCATGATTACACCAACTCCTGCTGAGGAATCCCCTGTAGCCGTGTCTCCGGATGACGAAGTTGACGGCGAGGCGACGGAAGATCTTGACGAGGCGCCGGCCCAGTTTGCGTCCTACATAGAGAAGGAGCTGGCAATTGTGCGCAGAGCCACCTTGATATACCTCGAAAGGACACGACGACGGCTGCGAATGAGCGCGTTTGGGCCTCCGAGCGCGCTCGGCCTTCTCCGCGTGCGGCACTTCAACGAATTTTTGGCGCAGTCGGCGCAGATGCCCTGGTCGGGACCACTCCACACCTTCTACCGCAAGCTGTATCTTGGGCCTGTCCCGCACATTATGGTCGCCTTGGACTGTGTCCTGGAGTACTTGCACGGGCGGAAGAGGAAGGAGACGATGCGGCTTGGCGACAAGGGCGGTGACCATCTCGAGCTGGACGCTATCCAAGCCGAGGTCAAACGATGGGAGTAAGTAGACTCAGCTTTTGACTGCATTTACGCTTTCTGACGCTCTATGCAGCGAGTTCTGTCGTGCAGCGATGCGTCTCAAAAGGTCTCTTCGCCCACAGTCCGACATACACCGAGAAGCTGATCGCGAACGACTTGAACAGCTCGTATCCGAGGTTCGGAGATTTATCCTCGCCATACCTGAGAACCCCGATAGGAGCTGGGAGGATGACTTGAGTATTGCCGTCAAAGGTATCTTGGTGAGGAAGAAGGCAGTTGCGTCCATTCAGCAACGGAAGCCGGAGCTGCAGGTAGAAGACGACCTCGATTATTCCTACATGTGCGACTAGAGCTATGCACTTTACCAACATCTATAGTTACTTCATTGCCTGTGTGTGTATTCGCACTAGTAATAGACTAAAATATGACGAATGTCATCTAATTGACAGCTCCGCCACAATCGATTATTGACACCCCGGTGTACAGTTTGCAAGACACTAGTAGGTACATGAAGGTTAATTTCCCAGTCTTCCGTTTCTATAGGAAGAGGGCCGCTTAGCGATCCTCCTTTCTTGCCGTGGTCTATTTGTAAGTTCTTCAAATTTCTCGTAGTTCTCTTTCGCACGGTGCCTGCGGCTGCCGCAAGCCAAATCAAAGCGGTCCGCTTTGACAAATATCCTAACTTCAAAGTCCTAACTAGGAGCTGCGTCTGTGAGGCCCCAAACAGCTCTCTTCCATGCCATATCACTGTACCACACTATGAACTTACAAGTATGCTTGACGTTCAAATATTCAAAGTTGATGCGAATGCTTACATCATATGCCATTATATCCGCCGAAGGGTTTCAGGAGAGCCACGTAACACGGGAAAAATAGAGCACAGCAGCGCGCACCAACCTTGCGCGGAAACGAACGTGCGCAATGTCAACAAGAGCCAGCTAACTACCTCTACGCGGATGCATATGTGGATCCGTAAACACTGCAGTCGAGGTCCTGCACGCGCCCAGTCTCCAGCTCGTACATCCACCCATGCACGCCGATGAGTCTTCCCCTGCCGGTGCCCGCCCAATGATCCTTCACAACCTCTGTCTGCACGGCGTTCAGAACTTGTTGCTTGACATTTATCTGAACAAGCTCGAGCACCGTCGGCGGCTGTGGCTGCGACTCCGCCAGCTCGCGGAGCGGAGTGAGCCAGACGTCAAGGGGCGATGGTGGCGGCCACGACGCCGTCTCCTTGGGCTCTTTCGGGCTGTATGACTCCTTGACGGAGTTGAACGCGAGGGCCTTGTCGGGCGCATGGTCGACGCAGACTGCGACACCGCCGCAGCGGGTGTGTCCGGCCACGATAATGTGCTCGACGCCGAGCTCAGCGATGGCGTATGTGAGTGCGGATATGCCGTTGGGGTCATCGAGCTGGACCTGGCTGTGCGGCGAAGCAAGGTTAACGCGTCTTGCGAAGTCAGAACGGATCAGCAGCATACTTAGCGATGTTCCGGTGTGTGAAAATCTGGCCTGGCATGCATCCGAGGATGACCGACTCAGGAACTCTGGAGTCACAACACCCAATCCATAGGACCTATTAATTGTTCAAGCGGGTCAGCGCAAGGACTTTGGGTGTTACTCGCATAAGCGTACCTTAGGATCTTGAACTTCCGCGGTGCGCTGGAAGAAGGTCGGGTCGCTCTCGTCGACTACTTTCGCCCATACTTGATTCTGGTTCAACAGCTGTTCCAGGATAGGATATGGCCCTGACATGATGATCCGTCGGCTCTCTTCCAAGCGATTGTACTCAAGGGCGAGGTGTACACAGAGTATAGAGTCGACTGACCTTTCATGCCTCTATATATGAGAGTTTCAACCGCAGGCTAGTTCTAGCCTTGGTTCATAGAAGTGCCACTGATTTCCATCTTTCAGCGCGGCGCTGAAAACATGGGCCCACTTGGCTGTGGGTCAGTGCCAGTGCAGGCCACTCTGGGACGATCTCAAGCATTTGTTGAGAGTGGCAGCACGGACAAAGAAAATGAATCTTGAGCCTTAGGAGACGCGATTCCGGACGGTAACTATGATAGAAATATCACGTGCATTCACCGCCATCTACGCGCAGACTTGCGCCGCTGCTCCGGTATCCTTGCTCGCTGACTGTTAAGTCGGCATTTGAGCCCGTCATGAACAGCTTGATTTCTTCTGGTTTGGACCATGATAATTAAGGTATACCATGCACTTCGAGGATCATAAATGAACAAGGTAAGTATAGTACTAGTACAGGACCATTCCTTGGGACACCCCATCAATATTCATTTCCCATTCGTACGTCTCTCACATATGAATGATACAAGTTTCAGATTATATTAATTTAATATCTGAAGTTCCTTCTTGCGAAGCTGTAAAGCGAAAAGACCAAGTTTGAGGTCAAGGGGAAGGACACAAAACTGAGGTAGTCCACGACAGCGGCCACTAGTTCTGACGCGGTGACTGATGTGACAAAAATGACATGGTCTTCGCTGGCGCGGCAGTCACGCCGCGATCAGATCTGTCACAGCTCTGTCACGCCTAAGCTGGGTAGAATCGTGTTCGATGCATTCTAGCTTGACACCTGACATTCGAGCACCATATGCATTTTTAACATAAATCAAGTATACCGCTGAGTGTTACTGAATATTTATGTGAATTTTAAGCTCACTGCGCGACACCAGTGATCGTCTTAGCATCGCTCAAACCGGCGCGCTTGAAGTTTTTTTTTTTTTTCGAGGCTTTTTGCTCCCCCGCCTATGCTACAATCACCGCAGGGCTCTGATTAATTAATATCACATAGATGGAGATGCATTATATACAGAAAACCGGTAGCGACAGGCTTGACAGGATGTGCGAGGGCAGGAAGTGGCGTGTCCCCAGGTGAAGGAGCGGTGCTGTCCCAAGGGCCAAGGAGTGGTCCTACACTGTGGGCAGTCGACAACAACATGAAACATAAATAAAACACAGCAATCAAGGCGGCCACGACAGCTAGTCAAAAGCCAAGAGCCTACAGCTCAGGGGGCCACTGATAACCGGGGTTATCGGGCTGAGGGCCCACGGGGTACGGGGCTGCAGGCGGGTAGCCCTGCTGCATCACCGGGGTCGCAGCGGCGCCCTTGTACTCCGCGGTGTCAGAGGCGAAGTCAGCCCCCTTTATGCTTGTGTACCACATGCGGCACGAGCCCTTCGTGGCAGAGATGAGGGCCATGATAAGGAGCACGATCCAGTACGCGAGCACTGGAGATGGCGCAAAAGCCGTTAGGCTGAGGTGTGTGGATGGGGCAGCGCGCGGACGGGACACTTACAGGCGATCCAGGTGAGGAAGGCGAAGGCAGCGGTGGCTTGTGCCTCAGTGCAGGTGGTCGTCAACCAATTGGGGGCGAAGTAAATGCCGCAGCTGCCGTCGGGCCTGAGCTGACTTGCGATCCAAGACCCAATCGCGAGCCAGAGGATCCAGAGGATGCCTGGCGACGCAAGCTGATTCAGTTTGGCGGCCTAGACACGGGAACTTATTAAGTTACACCAGACTAGCCACTCAGAAGTGCCCATGAGTGGCTAAGACACTGAAAAGCCCAAAAAATGGCATGGGCAGGAATCTAACCCACAGCCTGAAAGTAACCACGGCACACTATACCACTAAGGCATAAGACCTTGCAAACATTGGGTTGGAATTGGCCTATAATACCACTTTTTCACCTTAGTCTTAGCTGCCCAAAGTCATATTAGCCAATTATTAGGTATCAAAGCAATGGAATGTAATTGTACAAAGGTGTATTCTGATGTTATGGCTAAGACACTGGTCTGGCTAAGACACCAGCATGGCTAAGACATTGAGATATTAAATATCTGCTATTGATTCTGCTTATTGTACATATGTATATTCTAATGGCATGGTTAAAGCACCAGTGTGGCTCAGACACCTGAGTAGATGAATTATACTCAAGTAGAATCAATGGCAAATATTCAATGTCTCAATGTCTTAGCCACACTGGTGTCTTAGCCACATCAGTGTCTTAGCTGCCCAAAGTCCTATATTTTAGCCAATTATTATGTATTAAAGCAATGGAATGTAATTGTACAAAGGCATATTCTGATGTTATGGCTAAGACTTTAAGGTGGAAAAGTGGTATTATAGGCCAATTCCAACCCAATGTTTGCAAGGTCTTATGCCTTAATAGTATAGTGTGCCATGGTTACTTTCAGGCTGCGGGTTTGATTCCTGCCCATGCCATTTTTTGGGCTTTTCAGTGTCTTAGCCACTCATGGGCGCTTCTGAGTGGCTAGTCCGGTGTAACTTAATAAGTTCCTGTGTCTAGGCCACCAAACTGAAACTCTTGGCGATGCATGGCGTCAATGTCATGGCGATAATCTCACCCTAGTTGCCTACGGAGCCAAACAATCTCGACCAGGATCATAGAGGTGACTGCGCCACGCCGGAAGAAGTCTATGATCAGCCTAAAGCGAAAGGCAATTTCAGTGAACGATCTCAATTTTCGGGCAACACGTACATCACAGGCAATGTTATAATGGTGAGCACGGCGGCAGCGACAGCCAGAGGAGCAAAGGAATAATATCCATCAAATTCGTCTTTGGTGATTGTAATCAAGCCGGCGGCGAGCCTGAGGACAATAACGGCGAAGACTGAGACAGCAGCTGGGTGGCTTAGTGTCAGGAGACAGCGAGCGAGTCACGAGGCGAAGCGCATACAAAACACTCCAAGGCGAACCCGCCCAATCCAGTGTGCAGGCATTTCGCGCGCACTTGGGGTGAATCAGGAACTTGGAGTAAAGTACAGGGGCAAAAAAGAAAAAGAATCCTACCTCTCAAACTTCTGATACCAGGTATCCTTATATCGATTCGGGGCTTATATCAGGGTAGCTCGACAGCTGCTGTGTCGAACAATGATGCCTTCCCACCTACTTGGCTGACGACAGACCTCTAGAAATCATAAATCACCTCACCTCAAGTTTGCTCCCATGCCCTGTCTGGTGACATATGGAGCTGATCGCACGTTCTCGCCGCTCCGAGACGCTGCTTTTCCCCGAGGAATCACTTTGTTGTCAAGCAGACAAGGATGGGTCGCATGCTAAACCCCACACGCTCTGCCACGAAAGGCGGTGCTATTGGGAAAATGGGACAATAGAGTTCCTATTGCACGAATCTTGTTTACCTGGTCATGGCTTGACGTGCAGGATGACCTTACAAACTGCCCCGCCTGGGACAGAGATGGCTCAACAAGTTCACACCAGGAGCAAAGTGGGTGTCAACCTTTTTGCTCCGGGGCGAGGTGAAGCTGCATCAACTGATCTGTCAAGTCACTGAGGTTGACAAGAGACTTGACACAGTGTCACCCCGCCCTCACAGCACGCGCGCTACACCATCAGCATTAGTAAAAGGCAGTTACAAGGCGAATGAGCGTCGCAACATTCCACAGCACCTGGAGGCCCATGGCCTCCCGTTTCCCTGTTCACAGAAGGATGGATCTGATGGCGGACGAACCTGGACCTGCTTACAGAACGTTCATGAGCCTCGTGCTCTAGATCTGGGTCGCGGTCAGCGAAATCCGCGCTTGGAAATACTGATCGGAGATCAAAAGGTGACACTGCCGACAGGAGGCGGCGCTTTAAATCTGCTCTGCACCTGCTACTCTGCCATGTCTCCCTCCTTTCCCTTTGCTAGATTGCGCCAACCTAAGTATCTCTCGGCTCTCAGCTCTCCACGCACTCAAGATATCTCAAAGTAGCAACCGGCACAAACGCTTTATACCTACTGAATAATTTGTGTGATAGTGATAGTACAGTATCTAGAGCCCTCCTTGTGGGGTGTTTCAAGTTCAAGCTGTCATATAAACGCTTAACACACTATAAGCTGTCGATTGCAAAGGTAAGACCTTGTCCGGGCACAATATGTCCGTCATTCAATCAAAACGCCGCTTTCCCCAGCAGTTCTGTGCCTACTCCCTGTTTAACATCGGCGGCTGACAGCACTTAATGCTTCTCAGATAGAAATTTTGGCTGGCATAGCCTACTCCTCGGCCATCGTGCGCTCCGGCAAGCCTTGCATCTTCCCATCTGCCACATCTCTCGGCCAACTGTCAGTCTTCAGATGCGCTGTGGCGGAGGAATTATCAACTCAAAGTTGAAAGTCCTCGTCCAGTGCTGCGGTTGCCTCATCATGATAATGCTTCAGCGTACATGATAGTTCAACTCAGATTTCTATCAGGATGCCGGGCAAGCCATCAGATCATCAAGGAGGTTCTATTCACTACTGCGTTGCCATCTCGGAGTGATTGTAGTGTTGCGAGTCCTTTCCCAATGCTTGAGAAGAGAGGAAAGGCATGAGCAGGCGGCTCAAGTTTATCGGGCCGTCTTCGCAGTTACTGTAAACTGAGGACGCTCCGAATCTACCGAGCTGTCGCATTATGCCTTCTCGCACCTCTAAGCCCGGTATGTATGGCGCTCTCCATCTTGACTGTGGATTAAACAAGCCCAGTCCCTGAATCAGGTCGTCTCCTAACCGATGAAGCTGATAAAAATTAAGGCTATGTGACCGGTGGTCACACTAATCCCCAGATACACAGACATCCGATGTCTGAAGTGAATTGATAGTTAGCTATGGACTTCTGTGTTCTGAACGACTTCTTCAGTGCAATTAATCAGGTTCTGTTCTACCAGAACATTAGCTCACTTTCAGTAGAGATAAGAATCTCTGATCTCATCATTGTGGCTTTTATGGTATAAAGTGTGTCAGAATCCCTTTGGCAGAAGTCGCTCGCTCCCAATAATGCCCCAAGCTTCGCCTCCCACTGCCGAGCTTCTCGGATTGGTGCTTCAGACGCTCTTGTATGGTGCGCTTGTAGTCCTACTTGAAACTGAAGAGAAACTAACAGGAGAATGCATCAAGGCATGTATGTTGTGCTCTTCGTCCTGTCAATGTATTTCCTGGTAGAACGCGAGGGCTGGAAGCGAAGTGTCCAGACAAATCGGATGAAGACGTCAAAAATTCTTGTTACCGTCGCCAACCTCCTTCTGTTCGCCAATATCACTGCTGCAAGTACCGCAGGAACTTCCGTACTTGGCTTATGCTGATATACGGCACTAGCACTGGGTTATTGAAATTGTCCGGGTCTTCAAAGGATTCATCAGTCATAGCAGTGAACCTGACGGACCTCTACTTTACTTCATATTGCTATCTGATGGCATGAATATCGCCCGCCTGGGCATGTACGTATCTGAGTTGGCCATATGTGACTTTATATTGGTATGCTTCTCCTGGTCGGCTCCTGCAATGCTTAATTTTAGCACGTAGGTATACCGGCTGTGGCAAGTATGGCACTGCAGCTGGATAGTCGCAGCACTGCCTACCTGCACGTATCTCGTTAGCATGGGTATACCAAAAATTTCTATCTCTCGTCCGTGTGCTCAGAAGTGCTCCAGTCAGCGGAGCACTATATACCTACCAGATGCACACATTACCCCCGAGCGAAGATTTCCTTAAGCAATCCTGTGGTGCGGCTCATATTTTACTGACAAATGAGTAGTTCTCAAGAGATATGCAGCGCCTTGGCTTGCTGCTACTCTGGCGTGCACTGTCACGTATGTCTCATTCATTTGCTGCTGTATCCGCCCCAAACTTCGTATCAAGCACTGACATCACATTTTAAAGCACAAATGTATACTGTTCAGGTGTGTTTTCTTGGTGAAGACAGTATCACAAGTATCTCACTCGACAATAGCGTTACTGTCGTACAAAATCTGGAGTATACAACGGGCCGTAAAGTGCGTCAGTGCAGTGTGCCTGCGCTCTACTATAGCTTCGGTATGCATTCCGATCTCTCTAGTCCCTATGCTGATTTGGCATTTCGCAGAGTTTTGTAGCAATTATTATCGAGAGTGCTTTGCTGTTCACGTGCGTCTCTACCTTGTTCGTATCTACGGTGACAGGTTCATAATGTGATCCATGCTAGCACATCAAATATAACAATCATGGTCACCTACTTCGGCCGCTCGTTTGCGACGTTCACCTGCGTGAGCTTCGTACGTCTCCCATGCCTCTACACTGACATGAACTAACTTTTATAAAGGCCGCCCCACTCTCTGGTTGCGCGTATTGCCTTATCATGGTGCGGTTCGGCCTAGGCGGAGTCTTCAGGACCAATGGTCAAGGGCTGCCCATCGTGACTCCCCCTGCGCCATCTTCGCCACGCGCAGATGGTAGCTGTGTGGCTAATACGGTGACAATCAACGTAGTGCGTGAGTCGGAGACTATCGAGATGGACGACACCGAGCCCATCGCAAAGGTACAGGCAGGGGCGCTTCATTGCGTTCAGACTTACTCATATGACCATGCTTGAAGCTTGTTGTTGTACTACACTGCTGCAATATGTGTAAGCTTTTCAAGAATTCGTGCAATATGTGGGCTTTCGGGACTGCCAAACTGGTGCGATGGTTCGGGCCTGGCCCAGGAGGCACACGTCATGTCGCTCCTGCTTAACACCCGGTGTATACCGTCTCATAACTCTGTGCTTCCCCACATTAGCTTGCAACAAACAACGATCAGCGAGCTGGGCGCAGTACACGCGCGTATTATCTCCCGGAATCGCGCGCAGACTTCTTCTTTCGTGCGCAGGCCCTGATCATGTCAACAGCGAAGTCGTGAAGATCATACCAAGATGTCTCTGTGGGCCGGCATTTCACATGAGGTGGACTTTGTACACTGCGGACGATCATTAGCCCCGAAGGGCATGCACCGCGGTCAGGCAAGTTAGCTTTCACAGCCTTTCTTCCAGCATGTCGAGCGCTCGCTCCCACTCCCGCCCAGGCAGCTCAGCCCAGTGGATGTACGACATGTCTTGGAGCTCATCGGCGACATTTTTCAGCTCGCCACGGTCGCCCGCGTGGAGCTTCTCGACGTCGGTACCCGTGGGAAGGTAGTCAGGGTGGAACTCGTACAGGAAGCCTGTCCTCAGAGAGCACTCGAGAGCTTCGCTGGCGACTGGTCTGCGAATCGCGTCGTACACCTTGAACGCCTCTGCGACGTTCTCTGTCGTGACCTTCGGGTGTGCGAGGATGCGTCCAAGGACGTATGAGTCCTGATGGAATATGAGCGACTGAGCGACTTGCAAGCGACGGAGGGCTTACGTCTATTGCTTGGCCGGCGCCAGCTCCCTTATGTGTGCTCATGGCGTGCGCCTATACCACGATATTAAAACAAGCCAGATAGAAAAGATTCGTGAGCTTACGGAGTCACCTATCAGCACCACTCTCCCATCGGCATATTGAGGCAGACTACGTATGTGCCTGATGGCCCATTTCGACACATTCCCGATATTCTAGAAGCCGGCCAACGTCTATGAGATTCCCAGCATTCGTTGGTCATTGCGAACGGCCTACCTCTGCGACGACACGGAGATCTTCCTCCCAATCCTTGTATAATTCTACAACCTCGTCCTTGGATGCGGCGACGACCGATGGCCCGGGAAGTGGCTTGCCGAGGCCGCCGGGTATCGAGTCGAAGAAGAGAATGTTGATTAAGGTGGAAGAGACCGGGTACGAGACGACGTGCTATAAATTCTGTTGAGTTAGAATATTACACAAGTTGCGCAAGGCGGCATAGTACCTTCCCTGAACCGCACCACTGCTTCTGAGTCAACAATGACATAGCGAATATGATGCGAATGAAACGCACAAGGTAACCACCGCCGAGCATGACATTCTGCGGAGATACTGTCTCCAGTTTCTCCCTATCAAGAAGCGTCCGGTAGGTGTAAGTCCCTGTCCACGTTGGTTGTGCGCTCTGCAGGATCGAGTCCGCCTTCGCTGGGTCGTTCTGCGCGACACGCTCTGCGAGGTCGGCATACATTGTCCTGCGAGTAGACGATCCTATGCCATCCGCGCCCACGAGAACGTCCGAACGAGACGAAGATCCATCAGCGAAGTGAAGGGTGACGCCATCCGCAGCTTGGTCGTAAGAAACCAATTTCTTGGAGAAGTGGATGGTGAGGAACGGCATGGGATCTATTTGCAGGCTCTCGACAAGCAATTGGACCAGGTCGACTCGAGGGAGTGCGATACAGCCATCTGAAACCATATAAGTCGAATGTTAAAGCAAGACAAGCGACGCATATCGAGGGACTCACGAGGAGTGACAAGTGCGCCAAATACAAAAGGCTCCTTTGTGTCACTTTTTCTCAGTGTCATAGGTGGAGAGAGAGCACGGTTTTCAAGGGCCGCTTGCAACCCGAGGGAAGCAAAGACGCTCCGCGTCCGATGCCATACAGTGATCCCGGCACCTATCTCGGTGAAGGTTGGCTCTGCTTCGTACAAGTCGACGGAGAGTTTTGAGGGCGCCATGAATTTCTTAAGCACAAGGGCCAGCGAAAGACCGCTGATGCCTCCGCCGCTGTAGAGCACAGTCAGGGATTGCAGCCCGAGGCTGGACAGAAGAATGCAGCTTACCAGATAGCTATTTTCAGTGTCATCTTACCCAGGCTGAGGACATGAGGGCGCAGGCAGACCACAACACCAGGGTCTGGTACACCACACAGGACAGTTTAAGATGCGTGTACTACTGTAGTGGCCCTGCCATGGGAATCGAAGCGGTGGGAAGCCTGAAACGGTGAGAACACGGATTATTTCTCGCGCCTCGCCGTGGCGCAGAGATAGATTACTGTGCTTAGGCATCCTGCTGAGCTAGGCACAACCTATCGAGAATTAAAGCACTGGAAACAGAAATCTTGCGATAGCTTGAAGCTTGAAGCTTTGAAACGTCACTTTAGTACGGAAACAAAACCCACCTGCCTTTTTGGAACAGTGCAGGCGCCCTCGCTCTGTCATCGCCTCTGAGTAAGCCGCCCGGTGTGCTGCCCTATAACACTCGGGATATCAAGCCCTCCAAACGCGGATACCTCGCCATACGCGGGCCCTGTGTCTTGAATCGGGATTCGCTTGCCACATCAGGGCCAGTACGGACGCCACATAGGAAGGAGACTCAGTTCGCCGCATCCATAGAGCCAGAACGTATATGCAGGGAGGGCGGCGCGCATGTCAGGATGGATGTGCTTCGGACTGAATTGGGTGCATTTTCAGGTCGTACATGGCCTTAAGTCGTCGATGCACTTCCAAAGGACGCGAAGATGCTTGGTGTTTAGACCCCGAGCTGGCCAGCGTAATTGCTTCATCTCACGGGACATCGCCGCGCCTCTCCTTCCACTCTACGTGGTATAGCGGCAGGGTGAGTCAATTTGTTCTTTCAGCTGGCGACTTCATCGTTGTGATAATCAGCGATTCGCTAGATTTTTCAGCATGGGCGGCCTCCGAGTCACCGAACCATTTTGTGCATTGCACAGCTACGCAGTGGTCACTCGGACTCAGCGGACTCGCTACCCTCACAGAAGCGCAATCTCTTCGGTGCACAGCTGGTTCTCTCGAGGGGCAAGCTGAGAACGTGGAGAGTTCTGCAGGGTCATAATTACATGTATGTAGGCCGACGCTACACTGGCATGCGCTCAACATCAAAATTCGAGATGGAAGGGTGATTCACATGGTGTTATTTGCGCTTATTCCAATCCCTCTTGGGGAAGCTGGACAGAAGTGTCCTCCGAGGCTTGACATCTGCCGCAACCAGATCGACGTCAGGTGCGGACATAACTGTCTGTGGAAGCTCAACACCTGCTGCAGTCATGCCAGAGTCCTAGCCTGGACGAAACCATTTGTGAAGGCTCGGCATCCGCGGTGGCCAAAACAATGTGTGGCACCTCTAGATCCAAGGTGTTGACAAGTGCGATAAGCTTTTGAGGGTTTAGCCCGGTTTGAGCATGTGGGTTTCGGCTGTGTTCGTCCACGAGCACCTCGCGAACCCGCTTCGCTGTGGTACTTTGCGAGTCGTACCACTCGATAAGTCGTTTTACCACGTCACTGTCCTTTGTGCGCAGTAAGAATATGTGCTTCATGATGATTACGCTATCTGCGTGAACTTAGGTTGATACCAAGACATAACCACGAGAAACTAAGGAAATAGCGTACCTATAACCAGTTGCTCGAGCTGAGCACACATCCGAAGTTGTTCATTCCATTGCAGGATGTGTTCCAAGTCCTGCGATTTAGGATGCCCGACGATACGCGGGCTAAAATCGACATGCTGATGCAGTTGACTATCGAGCTGGTGCGCATGGGCGTGGTCAGCAAGTTGCTAGAGTCTGCAAAATGATTGAAGTCTTACCAAGGCGAACGCCCTAGGATTGCAACTTGAACAACCGATATTCCAAAAATCTATCATCTCCTTCCTGTCAATGGGGCGTCTCCATAGCGCGCCGTAACCCCCTGTGTAGAAGAGTCGTGATTATTGGGGTAATCACTGGGATAGGAGCGGGGTAACTGACTATCCATACATGCTCTGTGGCAGGAGAAAACTGAGTGAACTCCTGATGTGGATGCGGATGACACGACGCACGCTATTGCGAACTCAACCTTCAATTGAATGTCCGCCACCTGGGCGGTCACAAAGAGGTCTCTGAGCTCGCGTTGCTCTTTACGCCTCTCGGGCGATATTGCCGGGTCGTCGTTGGGAGAGCTTAATGCTGTTGTTGTTTGGAGAAGAAGCTCGCTCAGACGAGAATCCTCTGGCCTCGACACATGAGCTGCATGACACGGACATATTTCTCAGCGATAGTAGAGCGAAGCATATGACCACTGACTGCGCGAGAGGGTAACAATTGCCTTCGGAGGAAATGGCAAAGCTTCAAGCTGTGCACGATGATTTCCGTTGAAGCGAGATTCAGCGGTCTTCGCTGCTTGTATCTCCAGTTCGTCATCTTGCTCCTCCTCGTCTGTCGCTTCTTCCAGCTCCTGGAGAACGTCCTGGACAAATATCTCAAACTTCGTGAATACGGCGATGACAGGGACTGCATAGCTTGTGAACGTAGATTCAAAGCTTCTTCAGGGACAACAGACCTTGCTTCTGATTTGAGAAGAATTCGCGTTCCGCGTGCTGTATTGGTCGCGACTTGGTTTCCATGCAATACCTACGGTAAACATAGCAATGCACGTCGCATAAGCACTTGAGACAGCGTACTAAGAAAGATCAAAATGCATACCATATCATATGCAATCGCTGGTTGATGTCCTCCATCGCTGATCTACGCTCGATGAAGTCGGATACTATATTGACTTCATGTTTTTTTCCGGCCTCGAACCCTTCGGAGTCATGCACAATCAGCTTATTGTTATCACGAAACACGAGCTCTCGCTCTATATCATGCACACCGCGCTGCATATATAGCATATCATCAGCGGGTCTTTGAGACGACAGTCGTGACAATCATTGACCTACCGCCTCGCTGGGTCGATCGGCCTGCGCTGACGTGAGATAACGTTTCGCATACAAGCCCCCTTCGACAGCGTACCACGTCTTCGCCGCATACCTGACAAGAGATCTATACACGATTCAGTACACAATATTCGGGGTACCGCGCACTTTAGTGAGGATCGTCGTCTTTCCACACCCTGTCTTGCCGATGATAAGCAGGCGGAATCGCTTAATCTTTGACATCACGACTCGACCACAAGAATTAGAATTAGAATGGACCGCAAGAGTGGAAGATAAGTGTGAACAAAGCCGAGCGTCAACCACACAAAACCTGTTCCCAGGCGAATATTCATTATATGCTATCGCCTAAATTATGTATAATACGTACGAAAATCCACAAGACCACAGCAAGATAGAGAGTTGACGAGTAAAAGGGCCTAAAATCCGGCATAATGGAACGCGTGGGCAAGGCTTAAGTGCTTGAGCAGTGGAACTGCTATTCTTGGTGATGGTGGTAGGATTCTATCGTGAGATTAATTCCAAATTTAAGCATGCGAGCTTGCTTCTAATGCAAAGATTGACGGCAAGTTATGTATCACACTCTCGCAGGAAGTCATCCTGCTCTCAATGAGTTGAACAGCTTCAAGCTCGAGCATCATGTCTAGGATCGAGTGTCAGCGCCGCAGCCGGAATGACCTATCTCATGCACCAGCGCTGCACGCCATTAGCCCACGTGCGGTGGCAAAGGTGAAGGTTGCGGTGCGCTTGTAGAGCTTAACTGTATTGGCAGCTGCAGGTAGGGCTATGGAGCCTCTGTGTCGTCCTGTGCCGTCCGCCCTGCCACCTCTCCGGCTCCCCGTGCTGCATTGGACGCTCTCTAATCCAGACACAAAACCTTGCAAACGCACCTGGAAGGGCATGAACAAATCATGATAATGAAGCGTCCGCCGCCAGGCCGTACACCTATGACGAAGACGTTGATAGTGTCACGCACGTCAACGGACCAGACGCGTGGTCGTTCAAGTTTTGGCCCAGTGAGGTACGGTAATGTCAGCGCAAATAAATGCATCAGGACTCCTCGCAGTACCAAATCATGGTGCTGCCATGATAATTTGAGTAACGAGGGTTAGTATCGACAACAAATAGTGCTATGCACCTTACCGTCTTTTTTCTCCCTCGCGTCGGTGGGGCGAGTGCTGATGCCAGAGCATACTCGATGAAATACCGATCAGTGAGGATGTCCTGGGATTTGAATCTGCCGAAGAGTACTCAGTTCTCTAAGCCCTTATGGGCTACAATCTGGGGCAACTCAGGATGTCATGTTGACGGTTGCAGATGCGGGCGCCTAGATAAGATCTCGTACGGCGTGCTGATCTGCACTAGATCCGGCGGCTCGGAAGATTAGAGCGTGAGGCTTACAACCTGCTATCGGATCCGATAGCAGGCTGTAAGCCTCACACAGGGTGGTAAGCGCAGTTTTTTTCTTGAGAAAACTCAGGCAAAAGCGGCTAAACAAGGCCCAGTTATTCCTCGAATCTACGCCGATGCAAACTGAGGAGAAACTGGTGCAAAACCAGCCAAAATGGTCTAAAACACAGTAAAACTGGCGGAAAACTGAGTTTTGCCTTCGGTTTCTTTCAAGTGAAAACCGGAGAAAGTTGGGGCCTTGTTCAATCAGTTTTTGGCCAATTTTACACCGGAAAAAATCGCTCTTACCACCCAGTGGGATGCGCTGGCGAGAAAGAGGCATGAAAACACAGCTTATGGAGCATCGCCTGAGTAGCAGCCTTGAATTGTAAGAAAAATGTGTGTCACTTGGAGATGTTACTCAAGATACCACTTAACCAGCGACATAGGCTGAGATCAAACCGCAGCTCCTGTGATGAATAGCGCAACTCATAGAAGCACGCCAGATAAGGTACCGCTCCCACGACATCAGCTAGCCTACACAGCCTGCAATGAAATGGCAGGTTTTCTACCGCCTCCATCGCACTTGATGTAGATCAACCATGTTCCGTAACAAAGCCACTGACGACGCCAACATGCCATTCCTCGAACTAGCGGAATCTGAGCTTAAGCGTGCAGCCGTGCCAGATCTGCTTCTCATTGCAAAAGCGCTGAAGCTTCTTATCGAAAAGGTAATGGTGAGTGAACCGTAGCCGTCGAATAAATGGCGTTCGATATGAACTATCCCTTGCTTATAGGTTATTCGAGATAGCATGGAACGTCGCGACTTCCTTGCCAGCGTCAAGGAGCTGGAGGTGGCCATGAGATACACAATGAAGATGGCAGAAGCTGTAGTACGGGAGTATGATGGCACATGGGGTGATCTGAGCGAGCTGAAAGGGATGATCAGGCAGTCCGGCAAACTTCGAGAGCAAACACAAGGTTTACTCAGGTACGATAAGGATCATAATTTGCATCGACGCTGATGTTGAGGCGGATACAGCACAATTGGCGAGCTCCAGGAGCTTGCGGGGGGGTTGACAGGTGAGGCAGAACTCCACGGATTTGTCAAGAGCGTTGCCTACGACAATCAAAATCAAGCCATCTTGGTAGACATGAAGAAGGCGATGGTGAGAGCTATGGAATCATCCAAGGTACGTTTATCAAGCGGATTTTCAATGCGCGCCCACGTACATATACGATCAATTCAGTGTTGTGATCTGGTCAGTGGTCAGAGCATCTTCGATGATATTAAGGCTGCGAAGGTTTGTGTCAATTTTACTATCTCAAGCCGCCCGCCGGTGACACTGCTCTGTAGGAAATGCAGCGTCAGTTCAGAGAAGCTAGTGAGTCTGCCGGCAGGCTATTCTCATGCACAGTTCAACGCGAATTACTAATCTTCGCTTTCGAAGAGGACCAGAGGATCATTGACTCCATCCCCAGAGCAGACGCGGGCTACCGCTCAGTAGACGCATTCACGGGCGATATTATGCAAGGCCCCCGTGAACAGCTCTTAGAGCTAGATCTCTGGACGGCGGGCCGATATCGATTCCGCGGAAACGAGCTCAAGCAAGTCTGTCTCCTCAGTGGCGGAGCAGGCCTGGGAAAATCTTCAATCGTCCACCAATTCTGCGCCCGCCTCGATGCAACTCGTGCAGCAGTGAAGTTCTCGCCCCGGCTAGGCGCATCATTTTTCTTCGCCCGTGGCGGCGGCGACCTCGAAGACGCCCACCTATTCTTTCCGACCCTTACCTATCAGCTCGCGCTGTCTCGTCGAACACTTCGCCCTCACATTGCCCATGCCGCACAAGAGTATCTCCAACCCGACGGCGAACGGCAGATGCACCACGCGTTCGAACGTCTTCAGAGCGCTCTCAGAGCCGCTCTCACAATTGATCAGCCGCCGACATTCCTTGTCGTCGACGGGATTGACGAGTGCAGGGACACGCACTTAGTTCCTGACCTGCTCCAATATCTACTCGTGCTGGTCCGTCAGCTACCCTGGCTCTACGTTCTCGTCGCGTCGCGTCCAGAACCTCGTATTCTGTCAGTGCTCGCATCATCCAGCTCGGCCAATGTTGTTCACCACATCCGTCTGGAGGACATGCTGGAGGATTAGGCCAGCGCTGTTACCTCGACGAGACTGCGACAAAGGTATCTCTGTATGGCAATCTCTTTCGTCGAACACCCTCTGTCCTTCGATATCGTGTAGAATTTGCCAGCATCTTCGTTTGCATCACGGTATATCATTTGGGTACACATCAAAATTGTCTAGAGGAATTGTTTGGGTTTACTCATCAACGCACTGTATTTGTAGATTTTATTTCCGCATTTCCGCTGCAAAACTTGCACGCCTCGTTTTCCAGATGAAATCATCAGCTTTACTTCCTACACCCCACTATGGTGATCCATCGTGGCCAGATCCCCGATTAGTGTTCTGCTGACGTTCACCTCCCGCACGACGCGAGATCCGCGGAGTGTGCAGTTGCAGCCGCAGCGCTGCCTCCGAGTACCGCGTAGGCATTCGAATCGGCCAGACCGACATTGGTCACTGTAAGCTCCTTCACTTCGATCTTCATGTCGCTGCTGAACACGAATAGTTGCAGGAGCACGATCCCGTCTGCAGTGCTGGTGCTATTGGGGGGATGGCTGAGATAGAGGAGACGATGAAGAGGGCTCGTGGCTGTCAAGCCGCACGCGGCCACAGACGGTACAGCGTCGTCACATTGCCGTAGTGCTCTTCGGTCGCTGCAGACGTGCGACTGTTCACCGCGGCTCCTGACGTTATCGGCGTTCAAGGAACGAAGTTGCATCACAGAGGCGGCTTCAGCTGACTGCCCTCTCTTGGTCAACACTTCTCCATGGGTGCAACCGTTTCATGTTATATTGACCCACTTGTTTGTCAGTTCTGTGAACTTGCGCGGAGTGCGAATCATACACGACACGGTCAGACAACACAGGTAGCACGTGTGTGAGCTGCCGCTGTAGACAGACGAGATGGGCGATGATGGGCTGATGCGCGCTCGGACCCTAAGGGACCAACCTAAGATAATAGAATCAAGATAAAATAACATGGTAGAGGTGGTGGGGGAGATCCGAGAGCACGCGAGAGCTCGGGAAGTAGTCGCGAAGTGGCTTCGGGGACCGGCAAGGACGCCGCACGCCACGCGTCGAGAGGAGGGCGCGGGAACTCAGAACATGGAGTAAACACAGGGGAATCTCATCACATATCTTGTCCTCTCTTTAGGTACGCCACCACATGCACCATATACTGTGGAGCGAAAAGGTACAGAAAGGTAAGAAAAACACAAAACAGATGAATGTGCCGTGTCCATGTGCCAAGGGGGTTGGCGTTGTGCTCTGATACAACAGGAGGGAGTCAGGGTGCGGAGTCCGGACTTGTAGCGAGACTTTATGGCGGTGTGGCGGTTGCTGGCGCGAGCGGTCGCGCGATAGGGCGCTGATTGCACGCGTAGGGCGCCGCGGGGCGCGCCAGCAACAGGCCCTCCAAGTGCAAATGTGAAGAGCATGACGAGCACAGCTGCTTGTCATGCGGCAGGGAGAGGAGGCAGAGATGAGTGTAGAGAACTCACTGTGCGTGAATCGACCTGCTCTGGCTTCCTGGCGGACGAGCGAAGCTTCCGTCTGGCACTATCGGCCGCGGTCTTACAGCTGCTGCGCTTAAGCTTCATTCAGGGTGGTAAAGTGAAGCGTTTGCAGGGTGAGTACACGGCCTTGGAGTCGTTTTTAAATTTATTGATTTGCTGTCTGTGCTCTTGCAGGGCCGAAAGTGGTAGGCCTCGGGCCTTGTTTTCTTTCAACGCGACTTTGCTGGGGTAGGATCACGCGCTGCTGGCAGGCCAAGCGGGCTGTTCAGATGGCATTTGAGGTGAAGAAGCAGAGTAGAAAAGCGAAATAAAGTAACCAGTAGAGGGCAAAGTGAAAGAATAGCTGAGTGTACAGAGTATGAGCGAAAAAGTTGTTCGTTCATCGCGGGCGGCGCCGGCGCTCCCTCCGGACTCGCTCGTTTCTGATGGGCTGTGATGCGCCCGCGCGCCGCAAGCAAGTGAGCGGAATTAGACTGAGCCGAGTATTCTGGGAAAAATAGCGACTCCAAAAAGACTGAACGAGTTATTTCAGCTGTTAACACAGGTATGACTAGTTTTTGGACGACAAGGGCGACGACGGCCACAAGAGCGAGCGCGCGTCTACCGACGAGTGCGGGAGGCGGGCGCACGCCGATCCCGATCTTGCGGGCTCGACAACTCCAGCGGTAACCGGTCGCTGACTACAGCGGTCAGACCAGGGTACCCCGGTATGTTCTCACTGTGCAATATTGTTCTCATCATGTTCTCATCTCGATTTCACATGGATCACTGCTGGTTGGCTGCCCGGCAGAGCAACTTCCGGATGCAATGCAAACCGGGTGGAGAATTGAAAAGGATCTTCGTCGCTCACTCACCGCGAACACGTCAGACTGTCGGGATGACTGCTAAGCTCTCGTTCTGAGGCCCGGCGGAACCAGCCCCTGTCCGCCCATATAAACTAGTGCGGTAATATACGCAGCCGCCTCATCTTCTCGCATCTATCCTCCCTGCACACTTTGACCATTGCGAACATGGCTCTTCCTCCTGGACTGCTCTACCTGCTGCCAATAATTCCGCAGCTCCTTGCACCTCCCGCGGCCGCGTGTCTTCTTGCGTACGTTGCCCGTGTGTACGTTAGCTATGACGTACCTGCGTGGGCCCTCGCGGCGGCGTGCGTCCTGTCCTGGCCTGCCGCGCTCACGGTGCTCGTGCAATGGTACGACCGCAAAGTCGACCGCGAGGCTGCCGCGCGCGGTGTAAAACTGCCTCGCGCGGTGAAGAGCGAATATCCCGGAGGCGTGGACCTCCTGATGATGAACAACAAGGAAATCGAAGAACACATTCTTGGTCAGCAACCCGTCCCCTAGGTCGCAGCGACACATTGCTTACTACGGTTGCAGGTTATCGTTTGTCTTCGTGGGCTCAAGAATATGGCTGGACATTCAATTTCCGCCTGCTCTTCCAGAATAGGGTGTGTTGCCCTGCCTTCTATGTAAATTTCTCATCACCAAAGTCCGGCAGATCTTCACCGCCGAGCCTGAGTACATCAAGGTCTGTTCGCTTGGAATGCATACCATGGATGTAGATGATGTTTAACAACCGTACTATCCTAGAGGATTCTCGCTACAGATTTCCAGGGCTATGAAAAGGGTCCTGTACCCCGCTTCCAGATGAAGTCACTGTTGGGTTCTGGAGTATTCAATGCGGATGGCGACCTCTGGAAGTAAGTTCCATGCCGCTTGCACCTCTCGACGTAGACGACAGCTGTTTCGCAGGTTCCACCGCGCGATGACCCGCCCGTTCTTTAGCCGTGATCGCATCTCGCACTTTGATGTCTTCGACAGGTAAGCGGCTCTCCCGATGAGGGAAACATGCTTTACTTAGCCTGTGTCCGCGGCGATCATCAGACACGCAGAAGAGGCCTTGAACCACGCGAAGGCTCGGGTGTCGGAGGGCGTCCCCTTCGACTGGCAGGTGCGCTCGCTCCTTTCGTTGCCTGCGCAGGAATACTGATAGAGCTGCGCTCCCTAGGATCTCGTCTCACGCTTCACGCTCGACTCTGCAACCGAGTTTCTCTTCGGCAAGGACGTGCGCTCGCTCTCTGCCCCACTCCCCTATCCGCCAACGTCCCCGCAGGCCCAGCACGACACCAGCGCCTCGCATCCTGCGAATCGCTTCGCGCGCGCCTTCCTCGAGGCCCAGCTCGCATCGGCGAAGCGCTCGCGCTACACCACCGCGTGGCCGCTGTGGGAGTTCTGGAAGAGCAAAGTCGACGGACACATCGAGGTCATGGAGGAGTTTATACAGCCGTTACTCCACGACGCGCTGGCTAGGAAGGCTGAGTCTCCCGAGTTGAAGGTCGAGGAGGCCGTAGAGGATGACGCGACGCTACTCGAACATCTCGTCAAACTCACTGACGGTCGGTATGACGACATTGCAACGCAACCCTGTTCTGATCCCTCACTGTAGATCCGCAGATCATCAGAGACGAGACAGTTAATATCCTGCTTGCTGGACGCGATACGGTATGCACACTAATCGGTTCCGGTGTCGAGCGTTAGTGACGCGCTGCCTAGACTGCCTCCACACTTACCATGGCCGGATACATGCTTGCGGAACACCCAGACATCCTACAGCGCCTGCGCAAGGAGATCCTTGACATTGTCGGCACCCGGCGGCCCACATATGACGATATCCGTGATATGAAGTACCTGCGTGCGTTCATCAATGGTAAGCTCTGCCGTGTTCTGATGCATACGGGATATTGACATCTTTGCAGAGGTCTTGCGCATGTACCCACCTGTGTAAGTCCGCAATCTATTGGCCTTCACGACCATGCTGACACACCTCTTTGCAGCCCCTTCAATGTCCGCCATAGCGCCGCACCCACGGTCTGGCCGTCGCCCGAAGGTGACCACTACATCCCCGGGAGCACCAGGTGCTTGTACTCTGTGTTCGTCATGCAGCGCCGCAAGGACTTGTGGGGCCCAGATGGTAACTGCTCCAGCTTACTTGTGCAAAAATGCATCTGACCCGAGTGTAGCCGACAAGTTCGACCCAGACCGTTTCCTGGACGAGCGCCTTGGGAAGTACTTGACGCCGAATCCGTTCATCTTCCTGCCGTTCAATGCTGGTCCGCGTATCTGCCTGGGACAACAAGTGAGCAAATGATCCCTATCTTCGTTTCTGCAAGTAGGCTTACGATCTTGGTACAGTTCGCGTACAACGAGGTTTCGTTCATGCTTATCCGCTTGCTGCAACATGTGTCGAACATCGAGCTCCGTCTGGACGCGAGTCCGAAGTCGGCTGCTCCCCCGGGCTGGGGCGTTTCGCCAATCTCGGATGGCCAAGACAAGGTGATCTTTAAGTCGCATTTGACGATGTACGTGGTGGGCGGCCTGTGGGTTACCATGCGGTTCAAGGACCCCGAAGATCATTGAAGGAAAGTCTCAGTCAGTATTTATTGCGCATAAGAGCGAGCTTTAAAAGTAAAGGACTTGTCGGGGGCTATCTATATATCTATGACTTTCTCGAATATAAACAGTAGTCTGTCAAGTTTGGATTGGTCGTTACTCTGTTTTTATAGGATATTAGTCTGGTTTCACACCATAGTCTCTATTTAGTTAAATTCGAAGTCAATCTTCACGAATTCGACCTTGTCACGTATCTTATCTCGTCGACGTTTTCTGTGAAGTGAGAGCTGGCGTCTAAAAAGAGCTTTGTGGCGCCAAGTAGCGCAGCTCACGTGACACTGCACTGCCTCCTTGGCTTGGCCTCTGCCGCCACCACCACTGCTGCTGCTGGATATGTCATCCCGAGGCACACCATCCCAGGACGCTGGAGTACGTTCACCTAAATATTTTTTTGACCAGGGCTATTCCAATCTGAATTTGAGGCACTGTACACTAGGGCGACAAAGGCGGAGCTCAGCGGAGACTTCAGCTTGGCTTTCAAGCTATACCTCAAGTCGGCTGAAGAGTTCTTGCACCTCAGTCGCACAGTCCCGGACCCCGTAATCCGTGGCAAGTGGAAAGCTGAGGCAGCGAAGGCTCTCGGACGTGCAGAGAAGATCAAAGCGAAGAAGGAAGTTGCTCCCGTCATAAGCGATCCTTTCTCTGAACGTGCGCCTGTGCATCGGCCAGCACGAAGTCAATGCTTATACCATTTTGTTTAGGGGAGCAGCATCTCGTACTCCACAAGTCATCTGTAGTAAATGGAAGGACGTATCCTGTCTGGTCCGAGTATGGGCTGTCGCAGTTGTGGGTAGTCAAAGCATGTCTTAGTAGCCAGCAGTTCTCACTTGCGTTCAGGGTAGACTTGGCCCAGCCCGATCTGTCAGACGAACAGATCAGGCAATCAGCATCATGGCGGAACCCTGCGGCTGAGGGTGACGCGATCTGCACTTCCGCAGATTTCCTGCTTCCTGAGGACGTCTCGCAGCATACCGTATCCGATTGTTCGGTCTGCGCGTCGATAGTTGTATGCATTGCTCATAACAGAGCATTCAGCACGAAGGTATGTTTGTAAGCGTAGACTCCGAAACACTCGTTCATCCTTCTCTGAATAGCTCGGACTTTCCTCTTTGTACCCTCAAGATAACGCCGGGCTACCAGTGGCAACAAGGGAAGGCACCCATGCCGTCCGGATTTTGTTTAACGGGATATTCCGGCGAGTTGGTGCGTTGCATGTCAGATATTCCGTGAGCTGTACTGCATGATGTACTCTCAGACATCGACTCCAGCCTCCCTTGCCACTCGGACGGTCCGATGTGCATATCCACTGGACAAAAACGCGAAATATGGCCGGCACTTCTTGAAAAAGCTGTGCGTCTTAAAATGATGCTTGGTAATGGAAGGCCTGACGACTTTGTAGTACATGAAGCTCATGGGGGGCTATGAGTTTCCAGGATCGTGCGTTCTCCCCTATTCCTACATTACAAACTCTGACACACAGATTAGACTCTCAAGCACAGATCTATAGTGAGCCTCGCCATTCAAATCCTGCGTGTACGTGCATTGATGGAGCATCGGTTAGTACACTGGTTGGATGGATACCCGAACACGTAGATATCGCAAGGTAAAAGTCATTCGTCCTGGTGTCAGACGGCTAGTTTTCAAAAAGAGACAGCCCTCACTTCGAGCGGGAGAAGACATGGAGCAGACTATCCAGTGCATTTCTAGAAGGTATTCAATCATTGCAGGCCATGCGCAGGAGCTCATCGAGTCCCAGGACGGTGCATGCTCACTCTTGGTACCGGGTCAGAACTCCGTAACGGTGCTGTCGAGACTATGGCATTGCTCCCTGCGCACTCGTATGCTGTCATAGGTAATAGTGCGAACGTTATCTTCAGATAAGGACAATTCTGATTTTTACCCCTAGATATTACGGACAATGAGGATGACCGCACGCTGGTTATCCTTGATCCATGGAAGGACTCTGCCGCGCCTCCCGACATAGATACCCAGACTGCACAGGAAATGATCAAGCTTTCGCTCGACGACAGCGGCAACGACACTTCACGTAAGCGGTAACGGTCTACGACCATCGTATTATCCGCTGACACCTCGCTTATAGGCATCTTCCGAGTCCCATGGGACACAGTCTGCACCGTATTTGACGGCGTTTATCTCAGCTGGGACCCCAAGATATTCTCTCATCAACTCAGTTTTCACGGGTACGCACTTCGCGTCGAAGCTCCGCGCTCGATTCTAACACTTCTTGCAGGGCCTGGAGGAAAGATGCGTCGACGCAGGGAGCGCTTCGTATGCATACGCGTTCCACAGTTGACATAATCCTGACCTCAGCTCTAGCTTCGCATATTCAGCTAGGCCTCCGCGTCTCCAGAGATGAGCTGGGGACCAGAGAAACGGAGGTATGGCTCTTACTCACTCGCCATGTCGTCGATACGAAGCGAAGTGGGGAGTTTATCTCGTTTTCTGTCCATGACCAAGGAAGTACGAGCTTGGAAGTCCTGAAGGTACGAGTATGTCTCGAATTCCCTTTCCACGAGCCTGACTAACTCCTACTAGGGCGAATATACGAACAACACTCAGGTGTTGGTACGTGTATGTACTTCACTCTGCAGGCTGGTTATCCTAAGACCGACTCTAGGTTCGTGTGCTGGTATCAGACCCTAGTCTGTCTCTTGTAGCCTCGTATGACGGCCCATACGACGACGTTGGATTCACCGTCATGGTGTATTCCTCTTTTCCTGTTTCCTGGAATACCGAGATGAATGTCCTTGCGTATAGTGAGAAGGTACGCGCCGCATGTGTGACGTATTCACCTTTCTGACATCTGATAAGGTAGCTGGTGCCTTCACGAGCAAGAATGCAGGCGGAAATCCTTCGCTCCCATCTTTCATGGTCAACCCGCAGTACCATCTGCGGATACATGCGGATTATACTGCGCCAAGAGCTGGAAGAGGCAAGAAGGTGCAGATCAAGCTGTCGCTCCAAGGAGAGAGGCGCATCCCGTTGAATATCCTGGCCATATGGTCTCAAGGTCAACGGGTTACTGAGTAATTTAACCGTTGTACCTGTGCAATCTGAGCCTGATGGCTGTATAGTTTCGCTCAGAGCGACGTCGCTATCAGCTCTGGGGCTTACACCTATGGTCATGCGTTTGCGACGAAAGAGGTTCTAGGTCGGTAGCTTCGCGTCAGACCTGCGAGCGGCAACTAACATGGTATAGCCGGAGACTATACCATGGTCGTCTCTGCATTTGATAATCGACACCTAGGCACATTTGCGTTCAACATCGACTGCAGTACTCGGTTTGATTTAAAGCCAATACCACAAGAGGGCGCGGGCATGTTCAGCAAGGTGATACGCGGAGAATGGTGCGTACACTACCGTGATGCTGGCTGACAGACCTAACCTCTTGCTACCGCTAGGACGACAGAAACAGCCGCAGGCGCGCCGAAATTTGAACGCTACAAGCATAACCCCATCCATGAACTGAAGCTCCCCTCTCAGTCTCAGGTGCTGTACGTACCGTCTGACTCTTTCAGCCGCTCCTTGAGCCAAATATTCCGTAGCATTCGACTGCAGCTAGCCAATCCCGGGATCATTATCTCGCTCAATGTGACGCTATTCCTGTTAACCAGCGCAAAGTCCCTCGGATCGCTGGTGGCAACGTCGGGTCCGTACGCCGACTCGGTCTGCGGGGTCGTACTTGGCCCGATCACCGCTCAAGCTGGCTCGTATGCAATCGTGCCGTCCACATTCAACCCAGGTGTTTGCACGTCATTCAGGCTGCTTGTATTCACCTCGTCGTCTGGCACCAGTATTGCTTCCGTCACGGTGTGTAGGTAGCATACATTATTGTACGGTACCAACGGTGCAATGTACATGGTGAATCGGCTTCTCCTGCTTTTAAGAGATGCATGTCATGCTGGCATACTATTAAGTCAGTGTTCCTACGAGAACTCACTAGAGCAGAATCCGCATTCTCGGCATGCGAACATCACGTGCTCAATTGAAGTGGCTAATCTTATCTTATCTTATCTATTTTTTTCGAAGCGCTGTCGCACGCCCAAGTCAGCCGCGGGCGTCTGATGAGACGTATACCACCCACCTCTTGCGAGGCCGAGTGGGCACACTCAGAGTGATACCAGCAATATCTTCTACAAGCAGATTAATTCAGCCACGTACCATCCTCGTGGTTTTTGCCTTCATCACCTGGGAACTTGAACATTCTGCACTGACATCCGAGATCATCATCTGTGCCGCAATGGCGATGCAGACTTGGTCATACCTGTATAGCATTAATGACTTCGTCATCTAATCCTCCATAGCCTCGTTGTTAATCAGATTTTTCTGCAAGCTAATTAATGAAGGGTTCTCACGTTCCCCGGGATCCCTATCGACCCACCTCAAGCTCCGAGGAGTGTAAATACGACGCGCACAAGGATTGCACGAAATTGGGAATGCAGCCAAAGCTGTCAGCAATTTCTACGCAGTTGCCGATGAACAGATGCGTCCACGCAGTAGAGAAACTGATCGAGCGTACTCGTCAAGTTTGCGAGCGGTCTCCAGTAGGCGAGAGAGAAGGCGCTTGACGACTCCGTGTGGAGAGTCACTATTCGCTGTAACGTACTACATTCTCAAACTTTTCAGCTTCATTTCACTGCCTCGAAGCGTCAACTCCCGACTGCCATGCTGCTTCATCATTATTTCGCTCGCCGTAAGATCAAGTCACATCTGTGGCTTGTCCGCAGACACTTCGGTAGCAGTGCTTTCGAGAGCCGTTCCCAATGGGCAACTAATCCTATCGGCAAAGGCCACGCGTGGTGTAGCAGTCACACAACAGATACTGATAGACGACCGGCCAAGTCACTCATAAATGGTGAAAGTGGAGGCTACTCTCGACATAAGTTGCCTCTCCGCTTCTCCACGTTGACTATGTCGGTACAGTCAGACCAAGCACTTGTCCAAGCCTACACGCAGCTGTAAGCGTCATCCTTGTTTGAACCTCACGACCAGATATTCACACATTTATCCTTCAGTGCCGCAAGCAACGACGTCGCCGTAGCTGCCGCGTGCAAGTGCTATTAAGTTCTTCGCTTCCCATTGCATCGCTCACATGGTATCTGCACCTCAGGCCTCGTGTTATATGAGCTCCTTATCACCATTGGTGACGAGATCAATGCCGTCTGGAAGAGGCCCATCACTGCATCCGCCGTACTCCTCGGCTCGGTACGCTGGTGTTTGCTCCTCACGGCCATCCTACAACTTGCGCCATCAACTCGGAATGTAAGCATCGAACGTTTTTGATCAAGTATCACCTGCAACAATGCCTGTTATAGGAGTAAGTGCACTTTTTCCGGGACTCTGAGTGACAGGTTACTCATCGAGACCCAACATACAGCTGCCCGCCGCTTGATATCCTCAGCTTAGTGCTCAACCTCATTCAGTACTTACAGGTTGCACGTATGCCTCACAAAGTTTGCTCTAATCAAATTGTTCACTGACTTCCACGTGTCAGTCTTTTCCGCCCTGCGTATCTTTGCAATCTCGGATAGAAGCTATGCCTGGTCGCTGGTAGTGTTCGCATTGAGCATGGCGCCGTTCGTGACGAATCTGGTGCGTATTACTTCTGCTTGCACCCCTCGTATACCACAGCTCGTGCCACTATTCAGTATAACATGGTGAATTCGAAGTACGGATTCTTCATCGACCCGTTCGCCGGAACGACATGCATCGAGGCGCCCAAGTTCTCTACGCGAACATATAGCATGTAAGTGTGCATATTCTACTGCTGCACTTTTAGCATACTAAATTTTGCAACATAGACGTGTGTTATGCAATCAGAGAATTATAACACGCCGATGATACTAATACTGTTCGCGCACAGTCACATATACCACACGTGGCTCACTCGTCCTCGCCGATACCACCGTGCTCATCCTAACGTGGATCAAAACATTCGCAAACTGGAAGAGTACACGTCGTCTCAACATCAAGGTGTCGCTGACGACGTGTCTGCTGCGTGATGGTCAGTACTTCTGTGCACACCATCGCATTTTCTGTGCTGAAGCTTAGCTACCCATGCAGGAACTATGTATTTCATGTGAGTGTGACAAGAAAGCCGCATCACAAGTAAAATCTCTCAAAGGCTGCGATGGTCAGAGCTCTATTGGCGATGAACATCGTCCACTTACTAACCTTCAACTACTCTGCGGTGCGTCCCCGACATGGGCACGTAGGTCGATAACTGATCTCGAGCTTAAGACCGTATCGATTTCGCTCGTGGGCACACTGACGGCAACCATGGTGCGCTCTCGAAGTTTCGTTCGCTCTTCTCATACTCATGGGCTGGCCATGCAGCCCCCTGTTCTCGTTAACCGCTTCATGATCAATCTGCGGACGGCCGGCTCGGAGATGTCAGAACAATCTGTGTACATGAACGATCGGCAGCAAGGCCAGCCGACACTACAGTTCAAAAAGCAAGTAGATCGGCTGGGCAACATTGGGGGAACGCTCCAGGATGTCTGGAGCGATGCACCCTGTGACGTGGATGATGATGCCGCAGGAGTGGACGAGGAAGGACGTTGTGAGACCAGTGCTGAAGCGTGAGTCGGCGTCGGTGATTGGGCTAAACTCGGAAGTATGGTTTGCTTCAGACGGACAGCGGCATTTGTATTCTGTTGCGGGTATGTTTTGAGGCTTACGACGTCGAATGATCCTTCCGCACAAGTGATGTGCCATTGGGCCTCCCCCAATGCGCTTAGCAGCGAGTCACGCTGCTGAAGCTTCATGGTAATTTCGCCTATCAGGGAAACAATATTAAAGTATGCATTCCATAGACATGTATATCAGTGGATGAAGTAAGTCCGCACATACAGAGACCCAGATACAGGTATGGGCCATATGGTAGTTCGACTCTGATGAAGTTCAAGCTGCGCATGAGGCAAACGAACGTGATCTGATCCTCAGTGTTCCAGTCGCAGAACGCATATAACGGTACCAGATCAGCGGCATTCACCGCCATGGGCTGCCGGTCCGCATCGTTGGATTCATTGTCCACCACAGCAGGTTAGATGGCGTGCTGGACATCGGGATGTTGTCTTTCTTACCGATGACGAGTCCAGAGCCCATGTGGCTTGGTCGTCGGCATCCGCTCCGGGTGCAGGTCGTACGACGGGTGGGCCACCGCGATGTTGAAGCGTTGCATGAGGCAGAGGAGGGTGATCTTGCCAAGCAGAATGGTCGGCCTTGCTGACCGTGCGTGAGAAACGAAAGAGGACTCGTCACTCGAGGAGAGGACCCCTGACATTGGGTGGAGAGGCCTGATCCTGATTTTCGCCTGACCCAACCTTTTTATCCGCACAAAATTTTGGCCCTCTGGCTCAAAAAAGTACGGATTTTCCTCCGGCCCCGGCCCAACAGCCGGGTTTAGATGCGGATTAGGCACCAAGCCTCTATATCTTCAATAATTCGCGCCGTTTTGCGTCCATAGGTACCCTGTAGTGCAAGTAACATCTCTATGTACAATAGACTAGGTTCCTGCTTCGCCTTTGCCACTATCTTCCGCTGCTACCGCCACCGGTCTCTTCTCCCCTCGCTTCCGGGAAGTGTCGAGGGCCTTCACGGTAGCTTCAGTGATCTTGGAACAGTAGAGGGTAGTGTTTAGCTCACAGAGCACTTTGTTTGCGATGCTGACTTCACTAGCAAGGGTGCACAACAAATAATTAGATGAGGCGTGAAGGAACAAGAGTGTCTGCATCGAGACGACGCGCTGATGAACGGCACGGAACTGATTGGGCTCGAGGGCTTGTTATACACCTGCACAACCATATTGGACAATAGACGTCGAGTAGCATGCGATTGTGTAGACACAGGAAGAATATTTTTTATTTGCGCCCTCGCTTGCATTCTTCACTCTTACTTGCCAATCGTAGACGAACGCGGACAGCGGTGCGGTCTGAATAGCCACGAGAACGATTCCTGATTGAGGCGCACTTTGTATTAAATACCGCACTAGATATGGAAAGGTTACCGATGTTGACAAGAAAAGTGTCTCAAAGACCTTGGCCATCAGCCAAATGGGGCGACCAACATGCCCCAAAAATCCGTATACGGACGGTCCTTAGGCCTTGTAGAGCGGCCGCTGGCGCGGTGCGGATTATTCCTCCGGCACCCCCGGGTCCAAGCACGGTTTTGGATGCGGATTGCCTCAGGCATGGGGGGTCCCGAGACCCCGTTTTGGATGCGGATTGTCCTCAGGCCCCTCCGCCTAATGTCAGGGGTCCTCCGAGGAGTGGTTTGTCCTGAAAGTCACGTGAACATTTCCCAAAACAAGCGCTACGGTAACTGCCGTACCGTCAACTGGAAGCGTTTTGGCTTGTTCTTACTCGTTGCTCAGGCTCAGCGCAAAGATGGGGGACAGACGGCCTCTGATCTCTTACGACGATATCGCATCACCGCAAGCTGCAAACTCAGCACAGTTAGGTCCGCCCCTTCCCTCCACGAATCAACCCCCAGCTAAAAGGCGGAGGACACACCAAAAGGCACCTCCTAGACGTACACCTCAACACGTCCAGCACTGGGACGATCCGGGCAACGATGCAGGCGTTATGAGCTACAGTAATGGCGCTAGTGGTGCTGATGAGTATGAAGACCATGCCGAGGAGGAGGAAGAGTTGACGCATGAAGATATTTGGGATGACTCTGCTCTCATCGACGCGTGGAATTCAGCGACGGCCGAATATGAGGTAAGCAATTAGCAATGTCTTGCAGCTCTCACTAATGCATATTGTCAGGCCTATCATGGAAAGACGAAGAAGTGGAAGGAAGAACCCGTTAAAAGGTCGCCGTTGTGAGTCTCTTATAGTTCACTTTGACTGTGACCAACACTGCGCGCAGGTGGTATAACGTCCCACCGAGTCCATCTAAACTTGCCAATAGCAAGGGGAAATCCGGGAAAACGAGTGCCGCAGTGGCTGTCTCCCAAGCAGTTGATGCCGCAGACTCCAAGCCAGTGGACTTCAACACTTTTGTCCCCTCGCACGACCCAAGTCTAGCGAGGACTAGTGGTACCGCGCAAGGAGCAGAGTCCCTCGCCGATCACTCTCAGTCGTATTTGCCGGGTCCCACTGGTCCTATCGTCGGACAAGACGAGGCATTCGAGAAAGCGCTCTCTGCCATGTATTGGAGCGGATATTGGACTGCAGCGTACCACGTAAGTCATGTTCTGTTTACGCGACATTCCTTTACTTATTGCCTCACTTCAGTACCACGGACATTATCAGAACCAAGGCGGGCCATCTCAAGCTGACGGTGAAGCAGAAGATGAAGCCAATGACGAAGTCGATGAGGTCGACGCTATGATGGACGATCTTATTGAGACGCAGCGTTAGACCTTGCTTTGACTTGGCTCAGCACTACGCTGCCTCACATGTAGGTCAGCGTGCATGACATGAGTGCGAACATCGTCAATATGCCAGGGTGAACAGATGTATCTTGACTGAATATTTCCTCAGCAACCTTGTTCTTTTATTTGGCTGAACGTCGGGAAGCCCATGACAGCGCGGAAGCGAAACTTGGGACGTCCGACTTCGACGTCGAGTGTGTATTGGTTGTCAGTTATGGTCAAAATGGAGTCAGCTCCTGTGTTGAAAGCTGGACACTTTTTGACTCGCAATTTTTGCATCCTACTAAGCTCTATATCTCTTGGTTGATGTTCAAGCGACACGAAAGGCTTTACTCGACGGTACGCGTGACACACAGGAACCGAGCAGCTACAGCGGTCACAGTGACATCTCGTCACTTCACTCTGCAAGCAACTTGTGTCCGTCCATCTCCTCCTCCCTTCATGACTACTCCTAAATTTGACGGCGATAACCCCCAGCGGGTAAGGCATTCGGAAAGGTTAAGACTTGCAGTTGTATGCGCCGCACCTCATTCAGGCCCCATTTACGCTCACAGAATCGTCCTAGGCATTAATTGCGTTGCGACAGAAACCTGCAGGCCAGTCGTGTGCATGTGCGTATAGCGTATGGCGTGCTTTAATATTATTGACGTGCGCAATTATAGCATATGTACTCGAGTTGCAGCAGAGGTTTCCCCTGCGAGATGCTACATCCGCTTCCGCAGCTGCAGAGACATCTGAGCCTTGGCGCGCGCGAGCTCTAGTGCTAGAAAAAGAGCTTCGGGTGCTCCAAGCAAAGTATGATGCTCAATCCTTAGGTAGCTATTTGCCTTCGCCGGATATTGCATGTGGAGAAGAAATCACTTCTCCTATACCTAGATTTTACAGCATCCCGCACGACTACCAGAGCCTCTGATGACCACGAGGCTGCTTCATCATGCCCAGCACCAACCCCTGTGTCCGGGAAGAAGAAGTCAAAGAAGAGCACTTCGACATCGGCAGTCCAGGGACCACGGTCGGGAGATGGACACCAGCAGGTTATTCCTCAAGGTAGACTTTCCACTATGCGCAAAAAATTCTTGTTGGCTGCATATATGCGCTCTGTCAATCTCGACTGACCCACTCTTGCATACTCAGAATTTTCTCTACCAGAGCTTTTCAAGCCGGATAGCCTGCTGAGCGCTTTTCAAACTCTGGATGCCCTGATCGACGCCAGACGACAAACGCATTCCGTTGTCTCGACTGAGGCGTGTACTCTGGCCGCCAGCAGAGCCCTGGATTCCCTAGCTGCTACAATGGCTTCTCTGTTGCCGCCTGCAACGCTCACTAGTGCGTCTTCTGGTGTTATGCAGACGTTGTCTGCTCTTCTTCGTCGTCTGGTACTGTTCGCTTTGCCGCTCCTCTCTCCGTCTCGTCGGAAAGAAAACTCAACTTCTCGCGCCCAAGCTGATGCCCTCATTGGTCGATTGGCGACATCGGTTCTTATTCCCCTAATCTCAAGCTTCTATCCGCTCTCATTGGCTCATCTGTCTGCTATCTTCTCATCCGACATCACCGTTAAGCCGCCTTCTGGACGCCTCAAGAAGGGACTGTACGACATCCGGCCAGACGTCCTGAATTTTCTACGCAATGCTCTGGATGCTCTGCAAGAACTTTTGCTCGGCCCTGGAAAGCCTGTTCTCACTGCGCCCATCCAAAGCGCCTTTGAAGCGCTAATCCTCTCCGCAGCACGCGAGCTGGAGAAACTCTACCCACCGCTGCTGTCAGCCGCAGACGAGCCGAACAGCAGCCCAACTATCCCGAGTGATGTCGGAGAAACATCCAGGGCGAACACTCCCCTCCCACAGGCTCGACTGTCGCCGCAACTCTCGCGTCACTCGCAAGTGCCGACGCCGGGCGAGAAGCCAACGTCCGCGGCGAAGCCCCAACGCGCGCACGGCGATGCCCGCACGCAGGCGCCGCGGCCGCCCGCCGCAGCGGACCGCATTGCGGGCCTGGCGCGCAAGGACGCACTGTGGTATCTCTGCAGCGTGCTGCACATCACGATCCCGCCTGCCGCCCTGGGATCATCGCCGCCACCGGGAAGTCCCAACACAGGCCTCCCCCCGCCGGATGCCAGCACGCTGCTGCGCGAGGGTGTTTGCACGGTACTCGCGGGCCTGCTTCGGAGGACAGTATCTTCACCTAGGATCCACGTGTCTCGAACTGCCCCAGCTAGGGAAGGCGACGATCCTAGTAGCGAAGTCTTGACAGAGGGCGGAGAAGGCTGTAGTGATCGAGGGTTGCGAGAGTCACGCTTTAGGGGCAGATTACCGCGGGGTCTGTTGGGAGCCGTCGAGCGGGAGATGCTGCTGGCGGTAGCAGAGAGATTATGGCTGTCACAAGGCTGAATCTAGGTGAGCATTGTGATCATGATCCGCCTGGACGTGTGTGAGTACTATACCCACTTTCGCTTGCTGATATTTTCGAATGCTTGCTGGGTGGGCTATTTCGTGGCTTTTTCGTTCGTGGCCGCCGTGGTTGTACCCATATTCCGGTAATATACCAGATGGCCTTCGGACTGACGAATGACGCGGCCGTCGATGATAGTGATCCTCGACATGCTACCGCCTAGTGACCCTTACTCATCGTTCAACATGACCTCGACCTCCGGCTTTCCGATATAGCTCTCACAGTTCATTAAAGACGTAATTCAGTGCCCAATGTTCTGATACCCGACCGTCACAGCTTTCTCCACTTGCTCCTCGAGAAGTTGCAGCCCAGCCGTTCATCCATGCTTCGCTCATGCTCACGAGACCTCTGCAAACGCACCGTACCTCGCACTACCTACGACTCTGCTAGACGTAATATAGTGCTAGTCCGAACTCTAGCACACAGGCCCTCGAATCATACATAGTCTAGCCCTTGGGTTCAACAAGGGGCCGTCGTACCATTGGCGACGTTTCGAGCATCATCAGAGCGTTTACGTTTCGGAGGGCGTCCATCCCAAGCCCGACCTGATCGACCTCATCCTTACGTCTCCACAACGCGCCAAGTCATCCATCGCCCAACGCCCTGCAAGCTCCATCGCAGACATGATTGCGCACCGCAGTTTGCCGCCGTCCTATGTTCTGTGCAATGCGGGGCTCCCAGGGATCGCGTCCCTTGCGGGTTTCGCACATCTATCTTCGGTAACGCGCCCGTACATCCAACACTCCGACATCTGCTCGCATCCGCCACTTTCATCACGGAGAGCGGCGGAAACGCGTGCCACCATCGCCCGTTTGCGATGCCCCGACATGTTGGCGTTGAACCGCAACCGCCACAATGGCCCCGCCACGCTGTCGCCGGGGCTGTGCGCCTGGGGGTCCGGAGCGCACGGTCGACTGCGAACTGTCCGCGGGTGCCTGTGCACTTGACGGGTGTGTGTGTGTGCGCGCATGCGCGCCCTCGGGATTCGTGATAAAAGCTTACGATATGTGGGGTGATTATGATGCCCAATCCGGCCCTTTCGCCATGTCGACTAGCATTTTGGGCGACAAGGAGCAATGAATGTCCGATGTGAACATCATCCGTGCACTTCATGCTCCGTGCGGCCGAACACACCAAGCCCTAGGCCCTGCGAGCCTTCTGCCTGCACACGTTCCCCAAGCCTCAGCACATTGCACACCGCCACAGCGCCGCAGAGTAACACATGTCTGGCCATGTCTAGAGACTTGACCCGGCGTCGGCTTTTGCCCGCTGACTCCTGCAGGGGTGCGCCAGGGTGCAGCCAGTTCTGCGCGAGAGGCGTCCGCTTTGGGGGAGGAAGAAGGTTTAACGTTTAGCGTTGGCGCGTCGACACCAGGGGCCACGCCGCTCGCAGCGTGCCCGCGCGACTCGCCGGATGCGGCTCCGGCGAGCCCACCGTCTGGATGCAAGTGCTCTATCCCGCCGCCTTCTCCCTAGGCCCTCCCTCTAACGCGTTCCGAGGCTCTCTGACCTCGCATCTGCACAGGCCCGTGCTCCGCTGAACTGTGCCGTGTGTGCGCAGCCTACCCAGCGCCACGCCCGGCAAGGCCGGCCCTGTCGCGACGCTGGCGCGTGCACTGCGACTGTCTCCAGCGAAACGGCGATCTTCCCCTCACCCGTCGCAACAAGACGCTTCGCACCTCCGACGTCGCGCACGGTGAGTAGGAGGTTGGTGCTCCTGCACGCTCCTCACGCACGGGCCCCGGTGCCGCGGCAACCAAGAAGCAGGCCGGCGCGCGGGGCGCGCGCACGTAACTCCCGCGTAAACGGCGCCACCGCTCGCGTCGCGGCGTCGAGACCCGGTCGGCGACGCTTCCAGGCCGCACCCGCCGTCTCCCCCCTCACGACGCACGAGGGACGCGCTTTACGTCGTTGGCAGGCACTACCGGTGTCCCTCGCAGAGGCCGGGTGCACAAACGAGAGGACAAACGGGGACGGCGAGCCTCCCTTGTCCTCGTCCAGGGCCCTTTCCCGCAGATAATTAGCCACTTCTGGCCGCGACGTTATGGCAGCCTTCAAGGCTTTCAAAGCCACTTTGTTCTCATTTATCTCGGACGTGCAAAAATGAAACCATGCCGTTTCATGACCTGTGGGACTGGCGACTTTCATCGATAACAGCCACGCTGCGAAAGAACCCACGTCATGATTATACCCATGATGAGCTCTGTGTTTGAGATCGATCGTCGCCGGAGGCATCATAAGAGCATTAATCACACATGCAAGCGCAGCGGCGGCAGTAAGAAGAGACGCAAGAAAACCATATAATTCTATGATCGGTAGCCGAGAGAGTATTCCTACAATTACAGTACTATATACCGGAAAAGCAGCCAGACGGTGGATGCAGACGAGAGCAATAAGGATAAAGTGACATATAACAAGGTATAGCGGAGCACGGATGGTATATGTCAGTGCCGTCGCAAGTCACGATGGGCACTGAGGAAGAGGATGGAAGGGGGGGGGGGGGAATGTAAAGCGAAGTCCGTGGCAATAGCATAGACGATAACAAGGAGCGAGTAGGACAACGAGAGGAAGGGGGCATGTGCAGCATATTAGAGTAGGCAGGGCATGGAAAGACAGGATGGCAGAAGCGACACCTCAGAATGTCGAAAGGGTAATCGGCCCACCGAGAGAGCGCGGCTCAAACTCGCGCGGGGCGCGCAGCTGGAAATCGCCGTCGCGGATAATGGGATTCGCCTTCAGGCGGCGGAGCTCTTCTTCCTCCCGCTCCAACTCGATCTCGTACGCGGCCTTGCGGCCGGGGAGGCGCATGCTGACGTACTGCATCACGGGCTTCGGCTCCCATCGGCCGCCGCCAGTGGCCTTGCAGATCGCAGAGGAGTGGCAGAGCGGGTACGCAGCAAGCTCCTGGGAGATGCCAGGCGGTGGCGTCGGCGGTCTCGAGACCGTTGGAATGCGTGGCGAGGTGTGTGCACGGAGCAGGGGACGGCGGACTGGCGGCGGTAAGAGAGTAGAACCATCGAGAGGTGTTGATGGAGAGCGGGGAGAACTCGAGGTTGATGATGTGGTGGAAGCCGAGTCGGCCTCCCACTGAAGCGACTGAGAGCGCTGCTTGAGCAGGGTCGACCGTGATGTATGAGTGCCGTGGATCTGATCGTAGCACTCGTCGCAGACACGGGAGAGTGCAACGGGAGATTCAAGAGATTCGAACGCCTTGACAGAGACGTTTCGGGGCGGACTCATGAATGGAAGATTCGATACGTCCAAGAGTTGGGTCGAGCGAGTGGAGCATGCCGAACAAAAGATGCCTCCGCACTTGCGGCAGTGCTGTCGAGAGCGATGAGCACGGAGCGCTTAGCAGTGATTGAGTTTTATCATGTACGTACATGTTTGCGCTCCAAGATGGAAAACTTCTTTGAACAGAGGAATGTGTCGCAGCGGGACGCCTGGGAGTCGGGCTGTTTGTTGCGACGGAGATTAGATTGGATGCATGCTAGGATGTCAACGCGTGATAGAGACTTGCCTTCCATAGGTCTTTCCGGAGAAGAACTGCGAGATGCTCGTTCCGCCGCAAGCCCTCTGGCCGGAATGGGGTGGATGGGATGTCGCTTGGGGAAGAAGCAATGGCGGAATCAGACACCACCGAGCGGGTGTCGTATGGCTTCGAAGAGCTGCTCGCAGCAGATGAGTAGGTATCTAGAGGGCGATGTTAAAAGATGAAGGACCTGAGCATTGACGAGGACTCACCCTGTGCAGAAATGACACTATCATTGTCGTCCGACTCGTGGCGAAGAAGAGAGATGCCGGTCAGGCGAGAGGTAGCCGAGGACATTGCAGTAGGCGTCGTGGTCGGCGGCGGTATGTTGTACAACGAGGATAAGTTATGGAATTATACAAGTCGGAAGGTGGTAGGGATAAGAGGCCGTGACGCGGAGTCGAGACACTGAGGCTCGAGAGTAGCGGATCCCGGAGAGGCAGCGAGAGTATATGTAACCCTCGGCCAGGCGCCCATCGTCTTCGCGATTGGTTCGGTTACTGTTGGGATCGGATTGGTCAGATCTGACATCAAATCTCGATCCGGGCCACGATGCACCTTGGCCGGATGCTGTCCCAGTTAGACTTCATCCCGCCTGCCGCCTTGTCTCCGAAACTCTGCCGGCCAGGCCGGGCGGTGGCCGCCCTGGGCCATCAAGCCCCTCCGGCGAAAGTACGGGGCGGATTTCCCCTCCCGCCTGCTCCCCTCCCACCTGAGTTGCATCTCCCGAAAGCCACCGCTGGAGCATGGGATGGTGCAGACGGTGCGCAGGGGACCGGGGAGAATCGTGCGGCCGCTTTGCGAACAAAAATAAAAATTACAAGGACAAAGTGGAGGGCAAAGAAATCGACACCTAGACGTGCGGGCAAACGGTTTATGTCCTCCGCACCAGGGAGCCACAGCCATTGGCCACGACTGAGACCGCACAAAGGGCCATGGCTTGTGAGTGGCCCCGTCCACGGCATCCGACCAAAGAGGACCCTGCATGCTCCCACGTCACCGTCTCCGACACTGATAGTAACCACAGACATATCAACAAGGCACATGCATCCTACGTATGCGTACGTACACCTCGATAAGCCGGCTTTGTAGGCCATTCTCTTTGCCTTCGTGCATGCACCTGACCTTGCAGCACCTTTTCATTTTATGCAGGCGCGCGTGGTCTCGAGTTCTGGACAGAGCTCCTGGGGCCCATCGATGGCATAGCTCGGTTCGAGGGGGCAGCACCAGGGAGCGGCGTCTCTGTCGCGTGGCAACAGTGACACGAGGGGATCAGATCGCACCGTGCTGATCCCGACCCTGCCGCCTCTTGCGTACGAACGCAGGCGCGCGGGCAATGTCCCCCAGCCAATCTGCTTCCGCCGCGCGCAGCGCTCGCCTACAATTGGCTGCGGCTGCTCGTCTGAAGACCGTCGTCGACAGCGGGAGCATCCTGCGCGCGTCGTAGGCCAATCATCACGGCATGGTGGCGCACGCCAGCTCCTCAGCGAGCCACTCTAAGCGTGGGCTAGCTCGTTGACGATCCCACGCCGTCGACGACCCTCGCCAAGTTCGACGGAAGCGGAGCTGCCTCTGGCCACCGTCCCGCGCCTATTGTCAGGCGCGACGACGGCGGCCCTGTGCCGACTCCTCCTTCCCGTGCTTCCGCGCACTAGTGCATGATGGCCGTGGTAGGGACATCGTTCCCTGTGGCGACCGAGGCTCCTCAGCGCGGTCGCCACGCCAGCTCATTGGCCGCCGCCCGTGGCGCGTGCGCTTCCCCGTTTAGAGTTGCCTGCCACGAAAGGCAGTCCGCGCTCAGCTCGGGGTCTACCGGTGTTGACCGCGCCATGTTGGCACTGCGACAAGAGTTTCGTGCGCCACACGGGCCTGGCAGGGACGCGTCGCGGTGTGCAACTGCGTGAGCGCCCCTCGATGCTCCCGAGGTGCGTGCACTCGCGCCAGCCCGTCGCGAGCGAGCGAGCGAGCATCCGAGCGACGATCCGCTGCTCCTCCGCAGGCCCCCCACAGGTCCCAGCAAACGCACACCGCGCGCGGGGAAATCCCCGCAGTCAGCAGGTTCGCATCGTCGTCTCCTCCAAGACAGCGCATCAGAACGCGCTTTCGTGTTCGCCTCGCTTGCACTCTCGCTGGCTATCGGCTCATCCTCGGCAATCGGGATCGCCGTCGACCGCATCCAGACACGTCGCTCGCACGGCCGCCGCCGGCCAGCGAACAGGCGTGCGCGCAGTGGCTGATTTTAGCGCAGCCAATGTACTTGCCTGTGCCTCCGACTTTGTGACGAAGCGAAGTTGTGCGGCGGCCATCGTCATGCGCTCGCACGAGAACACGCACGAGCATCCCAGCTGCGCGCGCAGAAAGCTGTCGATGTCGCACATGCACGTCCTTTCCCAGGGCTAACCCTTTCTCAGCACGGAGCCTCTCGCAGCCTATGGCAACAGGTACCTCTCGCAGCCTATAGCAGCATCTCTCTCGCCTTAGTTATCACAAGCACTACACCCATCGGCTATCCGGGCCAGCCCTGGATCGCCTGTACTTCGCAATACACTCGTTCTAACCAGACCCTGTCGTCAGCTGCACCGAGGGACAGCCCCTACACACACATACGTGCTACGTCCGCCCAACCTACATACCCCGCGCCGGCGAATTCCACGCAATGCGTTGCGTTTCTCGCCCGCGAATTCGCAGACATTTACAGGCCCGCCGCACTGCATCCGATACACACATCCCAGCGACCCGGCCGCGCGCTGCCGTCGCCACACGATACGGTAAATAAAATGCCTTGCTCAATGAACAGGCGCCAGCCGTTATTAGGCAGGGCGAATAATTAATATAAAATAATAATGAAAACGCCCGATGTACATCCGCCACCTCGGCGGGGTGATCTTCCCCCAGTACGCATGATTGCACCAGGGCGACCAGACTCAGGCACAACCTGCACCGCCGCCGTGGAGGACGTTGTGGCAGCGGCGGTGGCGGCGGCGGCGGCGGCGTGTGTGCGGGCGCGCGTGGCGGCCGTAGACGCGAAGAGCCACTACCGCTGTTCCGAGGACATGTCTCGAGACATTTTGCTGCGCAGGTGCACGCAGCCGTTGTGACGTTGCGGGCTAGGCTAAGGGGGGTTCAGAAGGGTGCCTCGGACCGCGCGCGCGTGCCAAAAAAAAAAAAAAAAAAAAAAAAAACCAAATCGGCCAGCCATCCACACGGCATCAGTCGCCAATCGAGGGCCGATCGCGAGGCTAATCAGTTGGATCGCAAGTGGGATCGTGTGCCACCGTCCGTTGCAGCCCCGTGGCCCGTGATGCGCCTCTCGTCCGGGACACTGTGCCTCGCGGGCGAGCATAAACACGTGCAGCCGCGGTCGAGCGTGTCTCGGGAGTCGGGGCGCGCGGCAGCCAATCGCAGCGCAGATATTTTGTGCAGGTGCTGCGATAGAGGACATGCTCCGCGCCGTAGTGGCTCATACAGCAGTGAAGAATATATGGCACGCGTGTCTTTGGTGATAGCTGTCGGATCTTGGGAGATGGCGAGGGATTATTTCACGGGGATATGGCGTTGTTGTGGAACACTGCACGGGTCTTGCGAGGACGATCCTCTGAAGAAATTTGTGCACGATATGGAAAACAAATTGCTGCACCCGCGAGAGGCTACAAACGGCGGGCAAATCACTACACACGATCAGCGCCGCATACGACCGGTCCTGCTCTGCGAGACAACTGCTGAGACAGACTCACTTGAAGTCCCAGCAAGAGCGCGACACCATTCTAAGCCCGCGCCAGGCGCGTCCGTCCCTGCACAGAAAGGCGCATACGCCCGCGCCTCGGACCGCAGAGCTCCCACCCCTGGGCGCATCACGGCCCCCGAGCCAATCACGCAGCGCCGCCCGCGGCCAATCAACGCTCAACCCTCGCGTGCGTCACGCGGGCTACTCGAGCAGGACGAGCTAGCATGTCCCAGTCGATCATAGACATAGTTTTTTGCATTTTATTTTATTGATCTCGAGGACGCTCGTAAGATTGGTGATTGGGTCTGGAGGACCCGTCGTGTGCACTAGGGCGCACGGCAGAGCCTTGAACCGCGTCGTCCATTCGCAGACGTCGGCCGCAGTCCCGTGCAACGGTGTACCGCTGCCTCCGCATCCGCCTCCAGGGCTGCGCATCGCCACACGGATCGCCTTTTTTTCAGCGATCGTCCACGTGATTGGCATTCCCCAGAGCTTGGACGAGGATAGCGCCTTCACCGAGGCGCAAGAAAGAAAAAAAAACTACGCCGCGGCCATCCGACCGGCGCTGGCAGCGGCGCGGATCCGACAGCTTGGCCCGCACGTCGGGAGGTCTGTAGTTGGGTGTGAACATTTGGCGTGCCGCCCCCGCCAAACGCGGGGAAGCCATCTGGCGGACATCCCCCTCTGTGTGTGTGCGCCGAGGAGATCCGTCGCCGCCGCCTCGCGCCGCAACACGTGCAGAGCTCTCCAGAGCTCGGTGCCGCAGCGGGAGGCTGCATGCACCTGTTGGCAATGCGTCGGCGTGCCCCGAGCACCCGCCCGTCCGTGCCGTCTACCGTCTGCCGCCCTGGGGCACCACCTGGCATCCGGGGACGATCGCTTTTCTCGCGCTCTGCCCGGACGAGGCCCACGAATGACGACGGCCGATGAAATTCGTCGTTGGGTGCGCAGCCGTTGTTGCGTCTGCGTCTGTCCATGCCAGTCCCCAAACTGTCAGCCTCTTCATTTTACGCGGCAAGTTTCTTTCCTCGCCGTGGCGGCGAAGTTTTGCATTGCAAAAAAAAGATACGGCATGCGCATGAAGATTCTCCCCTTTCCCTCTCAGTCAGCGCGCGCGGCCCTCGATGACATGCAGCTTGCTCTTCTGCCCATCAGGCCGGCGCCGATCGATTGCTTCCGCCCCTACCCATATTAGGCCGCAGGCATGCTTCGGGCGAGTCCGCTGTCGCGTTGCAAAATGAACTGTCAGCGAAGCCCGTCGTTCGAGGTTAACAACGTGCGTACCTGTCAAAACGGAACGCCTCGCTTGCCGCCTGTCACGTCGTGCGCGACCAGCTTCGAATTCGCCGCAAGCTCTCTTTCGCATGGATGAGGAGGAACACGTCTCGATTTGGGCAGCGGCCTGCTTGTTTGGGGGCATTTGTCTATATCGCTGATCGGGATCACTCGACGCCGCGTCTCGACGTCAAGTTCGGAGGCTTTCCCTCGCAACACGGAGTCAAACCCTCCGGAAGAAAAAAGCGGAGCTATTTAGCGTAAAGGTGAGCAATTTGCTTTGCAAAAATGAAAAGAGAAGCAGGCGGCGGACGGTCGGCGCTGTGGTAACGGCGGGATGTGCGCCACACTGCGGAGCTGCGCTGTGTGCAAATCGGTTCGGGATGCCCTACCAGGCTGAAACATAAGGCAAGTTGTCACAAAACATGACTGGCTGAAGGAACGGGTTAGCCCGCGTCGACCATTCCGAGCGGCGGCGCCGTCTGAAAAGAGCACCCGACGTCGGGCAACTCGGGCCTGGAGCAGACCATTTTCACATGTAAAGTCTCGCAGCATTGATCCTCTCAGGGAGCGATTGCGACTTGATAAAACATATATAGCGTACCTAGAGAACTCGATCGCAGGCATGCAACGTCGGCGTCCGTCGAGGCGGGTTTGACTGTTTTGCCTCATATTTGAGGCGCCTGATGAAAAGCGCCCAGATTCGGCGCTGACGCAGGGCAGCTCGGCGCTGGTATTCAGTACTCAGGAGGTTGATGCTGCCTACGAGGTTCGTCTCTGTCTCAGGCGAACCGACCTGTTGTCTGCCTGTACTGTATAGGCCCAGAACCAACGCCAGGTGAGACGTCCGTGGCTGGAGCCCGCGATCTAGGCTGATTAAGCGCGCGAGAGCGCTCAGACCCTAGAATGCAACCGCAGCACAAAAGGAATGGGGCAGGGACCCTAGTTGGAGGGTGCAACGGACCACGGAACAGACAGCGGAACAGACACAAAGGCCCTGGCTGGCAGTGGAAGAGACGCACCGGTTGCACAGCCGTGACGATGACAGAGGGCTAGGCCCAAGCGACTACGACCCCGGGTCATATGACAGGTTCGCGAGACAGGACAGCGGTGTGGTGGCGCGCGTCCTGTTGGCGCGGCGGGTCGCGTGAAGGTGGTCTGAGTAAGTGCGTGCATTCAGTCTGGGGGCGCCACGTTAATAACGGTGTGGGAAGGGACGGGCATGATCAGATCCTGCATCGCGTTGTGTCGAGGGACGGGTGCGAGTGCTTGTGAGCAAACCCTTGATGAGCCTGCGCCTCATGCGACGTGTGCTCGTCAGCATTTGGACTTAGTGCTCGAGGGTCTGGGCTCTGTCGATGGATCGATAGACAACTATGGCTACATACTGGGTCACGCGACGTCCAAATGTTGAGATGTTGCTGTAATGGACGCGCCTTATAAGTGGCTCTCGGCGATCCGAGGGTCCAACGCTCGCAGAGCATGAGCTCATGCAGCCGTTTCCCAGCTCGCGACGGCGACAGCTTCGAAGGTACCCCTATCAGAGCTTCACCGTCACCCTACATGTGCTACCAAACTATTAGCCGGTAGCGTTCTGAAGATTCACGACCTCCACAGACCGAACGAACGCCAGCACTTGTGTGCAATCTTGAGCTGCTGGCCCCGGCTCCACAGCGCAGGACTGGACCTCTGTCTCGTCAGTTGCAGCCGAAGTGTCCCAGTGGCGCCGGGGGTCCTGACGTCTGTGGCACACGCTCGTATCGAGCGGGATCTCAGAGGTAGAGTTTGTTCCGATGTCTCGGCTCGGACGCCAGGACATAGTTTGTGTCGGCCTAGCAGGATACAATAATGTGCCTGGGTCTGGGCTGGTGAACGCAGAGGGATCGCACAAGACGGGAAGCTAGCGTCCCTACTCCAGCTGCGCGCGGGCCCAGGCCTCGCAGACAGACGTGTCGCCCAGGAAGGCGACCGAGTCCCAGGGTCACGCCAGGAGGATGCCAAGCGAAGATCAATGTATCGTCCGACTGGTCGCGTGAATGCAAGGCTAGGGTGGTCATCCAACACGAGTCCAGACCAGCACACTGCAGATAGAGTGGGAGAGACTGTGTATCAGCTGTGCGTATCGCAGATATCGAGGGTCCCGCCGGGCAACGCACGTTCGCTCTGCATGCATCGCACCCCCGGGGTGTGTATGCTCTCTGTCGCAGCAACGATATCCCTAGCGTCCATCGACAGTGGCGTGCGACGACATCGATGAATGGATTGGGCATGGTATTGGGGGGACTTCCGGGCATGTGTTGGTCGTGTGACCCACTGGTGCTCTGCGGCGCAAACATCGAGAGCCATCGATGGCGGTCCAGGTCGACTGTACCGGGAAGTGGGCCTAGTTCAATGCGAGCCACAGTCGTCATGAGAAAGTACGCTGTGATAGAGGACGTCCAGATGATTGACGTCCTACGCCTCGTCTATTCACTCGTGTCAGCAGGCCTTGGGCACTGAACGTAATGCGCGTTTATACCGAGGCGACCACAGATCGCGCCTCGTGCAGCACCTCCAGCGACCCTTTGATGAACACGAGGCGGGGTAGCGAAGGACACTGGTCCAGAGATAAACGCCCTAGGCAAGCAGTGGGTCACGTCGGGGAGTTGTGGAGCCTGAGGTCGCAGGTGCGAGCGCCCGAGGTTCTCTAGAGAGGCAACGGCCGGCGCCATCCCTTGTGGACTATCGCGCGAAGGGCTTGAAGAACAAGACCGTCGCGGGGTGCTCATAGCTGGTCTCAAGAACAACGAATGAGACCTTGAGAGACGCATTACGTGCGGCTGAGTAGCGGGTCCTGCGCAGGAGCAAGTCACGGTTGGCGCTGAGTAGTCTCGCGAGCGTGAGCAAATTCGCGATGTCCTGTATGAAAACAAACGCACCTTGATTTTTCTTTTCGAGCCACCAAGAATTTGTACTGTCGAATGTTGCGCGCATATGCTCGATGAGTTATGAGAGCGATGGCTGTCCGCAACGGTTGAGTGCAGCGGTTGAGAGCTGCATAGACCTAGAAAACAGACTTGGAACTGACGACCAGAGTCGAATTTAGCGCGAGACAAGCACGCCCAGCTGGTACGAAGCGCAGTGCGTACATACATGCACAAGCCTCTGAGACGGCCCGTGCCGCTGCATTATGCGCTTTGAGCCAGGGCGACATCACAGACGGTTCTGCGACAAAACGACATTTACTTCGATCTCGCTAGACAGGTGGCGATCAGAACAACGGTCAAAAAGCATACTGTCCGAGCAGTCGTCCTCGTCATCCTGCTCGCTGTGCTTGGTTGAGGTTGAACTTGGTTACACCAAGATGCAATGTGTGCATATAAGGCAGGTATTTCCCACGTACATAACCTTTGCTGCAAGAGACTTAGCATGAAATATTATGCCCTGATTCTTGAGAGCTTGAGAGGCTGGACACCCAAGTGAGAGGCTAGACACCCGAGCATCGTGAAGCAGTGCGGTGTTACATGAACCGCGTTGGAAGGCGCCACGAAGCTCTTACTGCACGCCACCCTTTGGTCATCCAAAAGACGTCGACGAGATATTTAAATTGGAATACATGCGTTATTACCTGTTGATAGAGCAGTTTGCGCTTGTAAAATTTTATTATTTACTAGCCCATAAGATAAGTCAGAGTACCCAATAACTTGAAAAACGGAGTGATAATCAGTACAAACTTGACGAGCACGATATGAACACTGTCCATATTCCAGAGATAGAGAATACAACAAATCCAATAAAACCCGCTCTTATGTGCAAAGTAATTTTGGAATTTTAACCCTCAATGACCTTCGGGGTCCTCAAACTGCATCTTAACCCACAGCCCGCCCGCCACATAAATCGTCAAATGCGACTTGACGATCACCTTGTCCTGGCCATCCGAGAGTGACGAAACGTCCCAGCCCGGAGGAGCAACCGACTCCGGATTCGCGTCTGGGTGGAGCTCAATCTTCGACACGTGTTGCAGCAAGCGAATGAGCATGAACGACACCTCGTTGTACGCGAACTGCAACAAAGTCGTCAGTCCAGACGCAGGGTAGGAGACAGAAAACGTCTGCTCACTTGTTGTCCCGGGCAGATGCGTGGACCAGCATTGAACGGCAGGAAGATAAACGGATTCGGTGACAAATATTTTTGAAGACGCTCATCCAGGAAACGGTCCGGGTCGAATCTGTCGGCTATCCTGAAATTAGACCCGTCTGTGCACAAGCAAACTGGTGTTCTTACCATCTGGGCCCCACAAGTCCTTGCGGCGCTGCATGCAGAACACGGAGTACAAGCATCTAGTGCCCCCGGGGAAGTAGTAGTCACCCTCGGGCGAAGGCCAGACCGTAGGCGCGGTGGAAAAGCGGACATTGAAGGGGCTGCAAAGAGGTGTGTCAGCACGGTCGCGAAGGCCAAGAGACTGCGGATTTACATAGGTGGGTACATGCGCAAGACCTCTGCAGAGATGTCAGCATCCCGTCTGCATCAGAACACGGTAGAACTTACCATTGATGAACGCGCGCAAGAACTTCATGTCTCGGATATCGTCATACGTGGGCCGCCGCGTACCGACAATGCCAAGGATCTCCTTGCGCAGACGCTGCAGGATGTCTGGGTGCTCCGCTAACATGTATCCAGCCATGGTGAGCGTGATGGCAGTCTAGGCGGCATGTCAGCAACGCCGGACACCGGAGCAGATCAGTGCTCATACTGTATCGCGACTCGCAAGCAGGATATTAACTGTCTCGTCTCTGATGATCTGCGGATCTGCAACGAAGGATCAGCCTAAGGCCACGCCATAATGTCGTCACACCTACCGTCCGTGAGTTTGACGAGATGCTCGAGTAGCGTCGCATTGTCTTCTACGGCCACCTCGACCTTCACCTCGGGGGACTTGGCCTTCCTCGCCAGCGCGTCGTGGAGCAACGGCTGTATGAACTCCTCGAGGACCTCAATGTGCTCGTCCACCTTGCTCTTCCAGAACTCCCACAGCGGCCATGAGGTAGTGTAGCGCGAGCGCTTTGCCGACGCGATCAGGGCCCCGTGAAAAGCGCGGGCGAAACGGTTGGCAGGATGCGAGGCGCTGGTGTCGTGCTGGGCCTGCGGGGACGTCGGGGGATAGGGGAGTGGGGCAGAGAGTGAGCGCACGTCCTTGCCGAAGAGGAAGTCGGTTGCAGAGTCGAGCGTGAAGCGCGAGACGAGGTCCTAGGGAGCACAGCCCTATCAGTATTTCTGCACAGGCAAGGAAAAAAGCGAGCACACCTGCCAGTCGAAGGGGACGCCCTCCGACACACGAGCCTTTGCGTGGTTTAAAGCCTCTTCTGCGTGTCTAGTGATTGCCACGAACATAAACTGAGTAAGTCTCGGTTTTCCCTCAATCAGGAGAGTCATTCACCTGTCGAATACATCGAAGTGCGAGATGCGGTCGCGACTGAAGAATGGGCGCGTCATCGCGCGGTGGAATCTGCAGAACAATCATCGTCTACATCAAGAGATGAAAAGACCATGTGGCTCACTTCCAGAGGTCGCCATCCACATTGAATACTCCAGAGCCCAACAATGACTTCAGCTGGTTATGCCATAATGAACCCTTTTCAAAGCCCTGGAAATCCGTGGCAAGAATCCTCTGGGACAGTACAATTATTAAACAATCTATATGGCCTGCATTCCAAGTGAACAGACTTTGATGTACTCAGGTTCGGCGGTAAAGATCTGTCGAACCTCTGTATGAAGAAAAAGTCGCACAGAAGACAGCGCAACATACCGTATTCCTGAAGAGCAGGCGAAAATTGTATGTCCAGCCATATTCTTGGGCCCACTCAGACAAACAATAACCTTGGGTTGTAGTGAGCGGTGTGTCGTTGCGATACGGAACACGTCGCTCACTGATCACGCGTTCCTAGACTTCCTTGGTGTACTTCGTCAGAATGTCCACGCCCCCGAGGTACTTACACTTCACCGCGCAAGGCAGCTTCGAACCCCGTGCGGTAGCTTCGCGGTAGATTTTGTGGTCGTACCATTGCACGAGTATCGTGAACGCGGCAGGCAAGGACAGGATACACGCCACGGCGAGGGCCCACGCAGGTACGGCATAGCTAAAGTACACCCGGGCAAGATACGCAAGGAGACACACGGTCACGGGAGGCACAAGCAACTGCGGGATTTTCGGCAGCAAGAAGAGCAGTCCAGGAGGGAGGGCCATGTGCGCGACGCTCGAGATGAAGACGAGGTGGCTGCGAATTTCTATTCACCGCACTAATTTATATGGGCGGACAGAGACCGAGTCCGTGGGACCTCAGAGCTTCAGAAAGAGAACTAGAGGAGACTAGAAGCCATCACAGCTGTCTAACGTGTTTGAGGTGAGCGATCGGCGAAGCCAGGTCCCGTCAGTACCATCTCTGAAACACACATTTGATAAACGGGACAGTGTTGATAATATCTTTAACTCCTTCGTTCTTCGCTGTGCGGCCTTGAGCTTTTTTTATGGCTTAGCCGCAAGTACTGTAGTGGTTTCTATCGTTATATATACCCAGTATAGCCAGAGGGGAGCTGATGGGTTTTGCACAAGCTCTGGTGGGGGAGCTGATGGGCTTTGCTTAACTTCTCTGACGCCGAGAATATCGCCACCGGCTGGGTGAAGTATAACGGAGGCCAGTTGAGATCAAAACCACCTTAGCTGAAATGCGGTTTTATCACCGTGACATAGGACTAATGGTCTGTTACCTCCGTACTCTACTACCTCCCGCTTGCTCAGCGTCCTCGAGAATATCTCTAGATATCCAGCAGACAAGCGTTATACACAAGCAATGCCCGCCATCCAGCCACCCACAACAGTTCTCGTCACTGGCGTCTCGGGGTTCAATGGCTTGTGGATTGCCCGCGCCCTCCTCAAGACAGGGTACGCCGTCCGCGGCAGTCAGGTCTGATCATAAGGGCCAGTACCTCGCCATGCTCTTCAAAACACACGGCAGTCGCTTCTCGTACCGCGTCACCTCGGACGCGTTCAAGGTACAGCTTTCCACTTGTTCCCTAGCTTGGACACCTGATCGTATCTCCACATAGCCCGGTGCGTTCGACAAGGCTCTCGTCAGCGCCGTCAGCACCGTTGTTCGTGCGGTACGTCTGCGTCTCCCGTCCACATTTTGTTTTTCATGCGCTGACACTCCCGCCGCAGGCAGGCTTGGCGCAATTCACGGGAGTGGAGTCATCGGGTGCGTGTTCGCTCCTCCCTAGTTGCCCGCGGAGACTATTTACGACCCATTGTCGTCCAGAGCTTGTTCACGCAGTTTCCTCTCCATCCGTTCCTTCTGCCTGGGCTTTGAGGGATGTTGGCGACCAAGGGTAAAGTAGTCATGAAGCGGAAAAGAGTAGCGGAGGTACGTACATGACGTATCTCTTGTGCTCGTGTATCCTAACGGCAGTCGTAGGAAGACAAGGCTGCTTGTTATGCAGGCAAATTGGTGTGTCTCACAAGTGCACCCCATGCTCTACCTCCTAACGGAATGAAGATACAGCACCATTGTGCTAAAGAAGTGAAGAAAGCTGCGAAGAAGGCTAAGGACTTTGAGATTCGTAAACTAGTGAAGCGGCTGAATGGCCTCCGGTATGTTCTCCCAGTATTCTTTACACGGTAGCATGCCGATATTCGACATTACAGGGTGAAGAAACCCACACCACCCGAGCTTAGAGATTTGGAAGAGCAGCTGGTACTGCTGAAAGTAAGTCATCTCCATACGACCTATCTATTATACCCTTATTCCCAACGTACCATGAAATTGATCATGAAACCATCGCCAGCATGGCGTTGAAGACGAAACTGAAGAAGGATAAGCAACTGTCCGAAAACGAAAACTTCGTCGCTGTGACTTCACAAGAGCTCAGATACCTCATTGTACCTGCGCAGCCCGGCTCGAACCTTGCCAAGGTGCAAGGTCGTTTGCTGAGCCACAATGCGACTGAGGCATCCGACGGTGAACTACACGAGGATGTTCCTTTACGGCCCATGAAGAAGGTCAAGATGGTCTCAGCAGACCCCGAGGAGACTGACTCGGGGGATTCTGGCGATGAAAGTTCGCTGAATAATCGAGTGACTATCTGCGATGAGGAAGAGGTTGCGGACGATGGGTGGGATTCAGGGATTGTGCATGGAGAATCATATGGTGAAGAGGAAGAAGATAACAAGGCAGAGGACAATGGGGTAGCGTCCGAAGTGAAGACTGAGCATGGTGAAAGCGATGACGAGGATACAGTCTCCCGTTCAAAGCAGCCGCTGAGGAAGGCTCCGCTTCCGAGAGCCTCCACGAGCAAGCAAGGAGAGTCGAAATTTTTGCCTTCGCTAGCTGTTGGATTCACCCGGGGTGACTCCGACGAGTCTGACTTGAGCGATGCTGAAGTTGCGCGTGCGGAGGGTGGTGCCAGGAAGAACAGAAGGGGTCAGCGGGCCAGGCGAACGTGAGCAACCTACTCTCTTCCCGCTTATTCGTGGTTGTACCAATTGACCTGCCAGCATCTGGGAGAAAAAGTACGGCAAGAATGCCAATCATTTCAAGAAACATGAAATTTTCGGAGCAGTAAAAGGTTACCTGAATAAGACGAGTGACCGAGATGTAAATGGATCTCGCGACAACTCAAGGAAACCGCGCGGCAACTCTCATACTAACAAGGGGCCGCACGCTCAGGCGCAATCTAGAAACGTCACATACTCTTAAAGAGCGTCGAGTTCGCATGTATCATCAGGTTTGCGTGCAATGTATACTCTTCCTATTGTACTCTGCTCATTGCCGGGTCCGTCCACAGTGCAGACAGGTATCGCAACGCGGAAGGAGAGAGACAAGCCGAAAAGATAGACAAGCTGCTCCATCCATTATGGGAAGCACAACGCAAGCTGAAGGAGAAGCTTAGGCTCGCGTCGCATCCCTTACCCAAATGGGATGCAATAAGACGCACGTGGTCCCCCACGGGGCTAGCGAGTCTAGCCTGCCACCACGCGCTGGGCCCTCGCCGCCATGTCTCTTCTTCCCAACCGCCATCTCCCTGCTCGCTCTCTCCCGCCGTCCCATGGACGACTGTCCTCATGAGTCTGCTCGTTTCCACCCTCTGACCCGCAAGCGCAAGGCCGCCGCCGACACAGCGAACACAGACCCCGCCCCACCGGACTCGCTCCTCATGAGCCCAGACGCTACGCCTCGCATACCTGCTGAGCCCGCCGACGTCAGCAAGGCGTCCTGGCTCCTCGAGCAGCATGCCACCACCGTCATCCCGTCCTGGCAGGAGCCGCCTTCCGGGTCGTCTCCAGCTCTCGCAGTGCACACTCGCCAAGACGGCCCGTCCAAGCCAAAGCGATCCCGCATCGAGATACCCCAAACGATACCCACGTCTCCCCGCAAGTCGCGCAGCCGACGCCTCTTATATTCCAGTAATGTCTCTTCTCCTCGCAAGCCTTCTCGGCTACTTCGTCTGCCCTTTGTACGAGACACAGGCAGCCTCGTGCCTCGTGCCTCTCTTATCGAGCCTAGTTACGCGCAGGTGCCCTCGCATCGACCACCCATTAATAGAGAGACCCTGAAAGAGTTAGATATAGGTGCCATACTACGCAATCCTCAGCTTCGTGCGTACTCTGTCTCCATCTTATCTCTGTGCCTGATTTGCCTTGGATTGATCGTATGCAGGACACGATGTCTTGTTCGATCCCGGTCTGCAATTTCGTCCGACCTCCAGTCGACGGAAACGAGACCTCACAGAGAGCTATTGGACTGCCGTCGTGCCAGAGCTCGACACAGGCTGTACCTGTACCACTCTGGGCTTGGAGGGTAAGCTCATCGAACGCCAATGTATCTGCGGCATAATACCTTTGCCTGCGGAGAAGCCCATCCGAGCCTATTCGCCCGCAGGCAACTTCGTCACCGTCAGGTCTCCGTCTCGCCTCAGACCTCTTCTCGCAGAGCTACTCGAGGTGCTCATCTCTATTGTTCGTCCCGTGGTCTTGGGGCCAACTGGCCTTTCCTTGCAAGCAAGCGTCGTCTCTTCGCAGGAACAGGACGACTCCCACGTTGCATATTTACGCTCCATCCTAGACGCAGATCTCATCCAGGAGGAGATTGAACACGGGGTTTTTGACCCCTCTGGTGTGTTCAAGGCGGTTGGCGATATCATGCGATGTTACTGCGCATCCATGAGGGACCAAGCTATTAACCAGATGGTCGCGCTCGCGGAATCATGTTCGCCAGGAGGCACCGGCACCAAGGTGGACGTAGTACGCGTGATCCGGTTGTGCTTCGAGATTCTGGAGCTAATAAAGCTTGTACGTAAAACTGGGTCTGCCTGTCCGTTCATTAAATCATTAATGAGACCTTGATAACAGGACGTGGCCAATAACCAACTTCAGACTCTTCGTCCTTATCTCGTCCGCTCCGCAGCCCAGTTTGAACTCAAAATGTTTCGAGAAAATAGACAGAAGGATCCGCTGCCGTTGAAGACTACACGCCAGTGGCTTCAGGCAGCCTTCGACGACCTGGCAGCGCAAGCAACTGACCCCCGGCCGTCTTCAAATCTTTCCGCCAGTCACTCGAGATACCCACGCTTTTTGCAGATACAGCTCTCCGTCGTGAGGGCGGTCATTAACCTGATATTCGATTCAGCCTCACTACCCTCGCCGCTAGTCTCCTCCCCGACTCGTCAGGGGTACCCAGAGACGCTCTATCTGGATCATACCCGTCTTACCACCCTTCGCAACGATGCGGCAGATTTCACGACGCTTTACATGCTGATGATGCTTTATCGTCAACTCGTCCACTCCGGTTCCACACCGGCAGGTCCGGGGATAGCAGTCTCCTCAGACGACCTCGCCGCGTTCAAAAATGAGATACGGGAAATTGGTCCGGCGCGGCTCGGATATTGCTTTACCCACAGGCCGGCCTCGGGCATCGCAGACTCGGAGTCTAAGCTGGCGGCTTGGCGCAAAGTCATGGACGATGTCGTCTTACAGCTCACCACGAAGGCCTGCGAAGCTCGTGCCCGGTCACGTTCACCCACCGCTTCGTCCTTACCCGCATCTCCAACAGCTCCGGTTCAGCGATCTATACCGTCTAGTGCGCAGGACAGTTACCTGCTGAAACTCGCAACGAGCTGGATAGACTCCCATCTCCTCTCCGATTCGCCTCTCGGTGCCTTGATGAAGAAGCGCACCAAGGAGGCTGTCGAGGATCTTGCGATACCGATCGTCCTCCCGAGCCTGGCTTCGTCTGGAAAGCCGGATGTTCCCTCTGCGCAGGAAGCAGCGCGCGTCGCGAGCGGCCTCGAACCGCTCTTGCCAGAGGTTCAACATCTCGCACGAAGGCTCTCAAAGCTGGTCTCCATACATCTTAACGTGTATGGTACGCTGTACACGCAGTCTGGCTTTGTTCGGGACCGGACTATGCCTGGTGCCTCTTCTCTCTCCGAGTCGTGATAGTGCCACGATACCCCCGTTTGCCCCTTTGTTCAGCTTTGTGCTAACCCTCTCGTACTCCCACACTCGTTTGCACGGGCTATTTGAACGCGTCTTGGTCTCTCGCTTTCATTCACGTCTTATCCACTTAGTATTAACGATATTTTGCACGATACGACGAGATTTACGTCCAGATACCAACACAAAGCTAATACAAACCTTTGCACATAAACCTTTTTCGCGAGAGTGAAAGTGATGCGAACTAGCGGACCTTGTATTTCGCCATCCACCGGCACAAGGAGACCCCTCGGAGACAGCCGGGTTAAGGGCCGCCCGTGGTGGCGTCGCGCCTCTGTCGCAATTTCCTACTAGTCTCCCATGAGCGTGTGCGGGTTCGCAATGGACGAGGCGAAGAGCCGCATTGGACAGCAGTGTATACCAAATTCGCAGGTCAGATCAGCATCGAGGACAGGTGCGAGAGAGAAGACGAGAACTTCGAAGCACTCACAGCGCAATCCTCTCCCGTGTGATGGGCGCTAGTCCGGTGACCCGGCTACCAGATAAGTGCTTAAAGACGTCGACAAGCCTGGAAACTGGAAGGCCAAAGTATTGCAGCCAAGTAGACAAAGGTGTGTATAAGTCAAAAAGTGACACGCTGCAAGACACGTTGTAAGTTTAATGATTGGCCTCAGCCCAACTTTCCCATCATACTGCAACCTCCTCAACGTTGGCGTCTAACCTTAACCTCTGTAACATCTGTTCAACGTTTCAGCATGACCTCAGCCTCCTCTCCCTAACCTCAACCTCGTCTAACGTAGTGTGCGGTTTTGCTGATGGACCTGAGGAAGGTGGTCGTCAGCGCTAATGATCAACAGCAGACATGCACCATACTTGTAGCAGGATAGCTATGCTTTGCGAGCACTCCTTGGAGAGTACAACAGGCCGTATCGTGCATATCTGCGAGGCAGGTCAGGCCAGCGTTGAACCTGAGTGTTCGAGGTCAGACGACAGCAGCAGCGACGCCCCGGTGCTGGAGATTGCGGCAGTCCAGTCGTCGAGCCCCCCCTGGGCGCAGACATACGGCGTAGAAGACATGGCGAAGGACACGAACGAATATTACGACGCAGGTGTCCGCTCGGCTCGCTCGAGCTCTATCTCGACGTCGGCCAGCTCGACGTAATTCTTACACGTCCACTAAAGTAAGGAATACCGTAGCAGACATCACAGGCGTGTGTGAACTTGCGGGCCTCCGTCGACTTCATGCCGTCTGATACCTCGGCGAAAGATGTCCTGAGAAAGTAGAGGTCAGCGTCGGTAATCGACAGCAGGCATGTCGCGCACCTTGGTAGAACAGCCCTGGTAGCTGCCGCCCCTGCTGGCAAAGCGTCTGCTGACTTCTCTGGCAAGCACGGCGGATCCTGCGGTGTATGTTGGAAGTGGCTCGCCGAGGCAGATAACGCCAGCATCAACTTCAGGTATATGACGTCGAGTGTCGCCAGTCGTGACGCCTCGGCATTGTAGATCGCGTTCGCCCACTCGTCTCGTTCCTCCTAGCTGCAGGTAACAGCGCAGAAGGCTTGGCGGAGGCTGAGAACCTCAAAGTGCTGGCGTTCGCTCGGCTCGATCGGCACCCCGGGAGAACCGAACACGCCCTTGACCTCAACCAGCTTGATGGCGACTTTCTGGAGACGCCAACGCCCGATATGCACTTCCTCGGCTGCGAAAGCCCTGAGAGCGCTTGAGTTTTGTAGCCCGCAGAACCGGCAGCGAGCTGCTACGCCCCAGCATTGCTTGCGTAAGCAGCTTCTTCTTGCTCTGCGACCTTGACAGTGTCGGCCGCCTGTTATGTAAGTTGGGCTCTGGGGCCGCAGGACAGCACATCAGCAATTGTCCCCTAACGCTGCTACTGCCCTGAGTCGCATCCTTGTCTATCCCAGAGAGCCAGGTGAGGCAGAAATTCGCGTTCTGGTGGCGTGGATTACTTGACTCGAGGAAGGGTGCCACGCATGAAGAGCACGTTCGAGGTGATAAGATGGAAGGTAAGAATGAGGGAGCCCCGTTGGGTAGCGAGCGAGGCTAAGGCTTGAGCATGCGGTGCAAGGATGCATCGAGTGAATCCGTGACTGCAGCAAGCTGGTGAGCGACGAGCAAATTGAACGGCGGTCAGACCTACTATCGGAAACAGGAGCATATACGGCGACCATATTGATAAACCAGAGACCCTCCCGGAGATGCAGCTAACAAAATCTTAGAGCGACGAGAGGCGTTCGAGGCTCCGTGGCACTATGGCGTTGAGCCAGCCTAGGAAGCCGAACTCTGCGGAACAAAGGGAGCATGTTGACTCTCCAAGAACGACGCGGAGTCGGGGCGTTTGAAGATAATGCGTTGTACGCTTTAATGGAGTCGACAAAGAAGAGACGAAAGGGTACACGGCGATCGGTATGGGAAATGAGAGAGCGAGATCAATCGGAGGGGTAGACAGAGATCGCGCTGCGTCTTGAAGCGGCGAAATCGGCATTAAATAGAATGGCAGAGGGAGGTCTCAAGCGCAGATCGTCGTCGTCGAACGCCGACAGCGTGAGCTCAAGTGTAGTCACGGGTGGATGAAGAGCATCCAGCGAAGTAGAGGTAGGTGTCGGGAAGTGCTATCGAGGAATGAGTTGCCTCGCAACGAATACAAAGACAATACTCACCACTCGCGTTCCTATAGCTCGTGAACAACTGCCTAGCAGCGAAGAGACACGCGTGACGTCAGATCAGTACAGCCGTCACCCCTCACGGGCTCTGGACCGTCACGTCTGCGCGCTCTGCTCACACGGCGCGCCATACAAGCGTGGGGGTTGCACAAGAACGAAAGCGAGACGGCACATAAGAGACCGTGAAATTTCTGATAATTATGATCAAATCAGAATAGACAAGAACACTGGGCATATGAGAAGTAATCATTGGTCAATACATCTTGCTCTTGGAGTCGGAATCGCGCGGCGCGCGTAAACGCCTTCTTTCTCTCTCCCATCCCTGCACGGCAAGGCTGCTCAGCTAGGTGTCAAGCAACTCCGCTTTCCAGTACGCACCACTTAGCTTTGCCCTGCCTCCCCATCCTTCTCGATTAGATCAAATGGCGTAGGCTGCAAGTAACTCCGCTTGCCAGCACGCATCACTTGGTCTTGCCCTGCCTCCACATCCTTTTCGGTTAGATCAAACAGCGCAGGCTGCAGGTATCTTCCGTCTGGCAGGCCAGGGTCATGTTGAAGCATGACGAGCGGACGCGTGCGGTTGTTCATGCCCCCCACGACCTTGTCAGAGAGCGCGCGGAAGTCCTCTTCTGGATAATTCTCCCCGCAGAGGACTTGGAGCTGTTGTAATTGAAGAAACTCGGGCAGAAGGGAAGAGATCTTGGACCAGTCACGAGATAGGAGATATGAGTGTGGTTTGCTGCGGTGTCTGGTTGAGTCAGCTAGGACGATCTGGCAGACAGACCAAGTCTCATTGCCGCCAGCGGGGGGCGCAGACTTGATGACTTGGACCGAGATGTACGCCGTGGCTCCTTCTAGTGATCTCATGGCCAGAGAACCAACAAATCTATAAGTATCTTGAGAGCATTCAGTGAGTACAATGATCTGGTGGAGGGACCGGTTGAGCTCGCCTGTAGTTGCCTCCTTGACGTCAAACCCTGAATTATAGGATGCGCTGTCGCTCAAAAACGTCTGTATGAGCTCGATAATGGCCCACATTTCTGCAGAGACTGCCGGCCCTGCTGTTCGACGTCTGGTGAACGAGTGTCGTGTGCTCGTGGCAGCCAGAATCCACGCGGGCACCGCCAAGTTATTCGTGCAGAGATTTATCTTGACTGTGCGGATATAGCTGAAGGCACCCGTGCAGATATTACTCGCAGTTGTGAGTCGGTCATCCGACCATTCGACCTTGAGAAAATCAACTTTTTCCAAGTAGGTGATATCACCTAGTATGCGGAGCAGGATTCGGAATGACGGGAAGCGGCAATCCCAGAGTGTCAAGGAGGTGATGCTCCGCAAGGAGCTCTTGAGGGCTGCGTTGTGTGACAGCGACACGCGGTCGGACTTGAAACTGAAACTATGCAAGGTATGACGACACGCAGGGAGGAGGCGGAGGAGAGCCGTACAGAGTGGATAACTAGGAGGGCTGATGCGGTAGAATAGCAGCTTGGTGATGTGCTCCACAAGCCAGGCCGACAGCGGGGACCGCACTACGTTGTATAGCATGCGACAGTCCTCTTCACTTTGCAGCGTAAGCCGGGTGAAGAGGTGAGGACGAAAGTGTCGGCACCAGGCTCGCGAAACTAGGGACAGTGTTGAGAGATCGACTTTGCGCTCTGCGCTTGCCAGGAGGTCGTAAACGTAGTCATGCAGTTCAGTAGGGAGTCGCTCCCAGTGGCGGATGAATTGATGAAATGGCTTGGGATCCTCACCTGGAGGAGCGGTATGAGAAGATAGCTGTACAATGTTTCAAAATAATTCCTCACACCATGCATAATGCCCCTTTTTCGTCTCTTCTAGGGAGACTGAGGAGGTAGTAGACTCCGTTGAACTATCTCTGCTGTCTGGATGACTTGCCATAGAGATGGAGCTGCTGGCGTGCAGCCTCTTCCGGGGAAGCTCATTCTTCGGCGAGGATGCGTTTTCAAGCATAGAAAGGGTCCTGAGTGTCGAAGGCGCAGATTGGTGATCCAGCGGATGCTAGTCGAGTATGAAGGCCGGAGACGAGACTTCAGGCTGTAGCAGCGGGGGTTGTTTCGAGTGCAAATCAATGGTGATGGCTGCCGTCGCCCAAGAGGCAATGCGATGGAGGCGGTGATTGCATCGCATTGTAGGGGCGTGGATTCAACTTCGGAAGACTGCGGGCGAGCTGTCTCCCCACGTGACCGCGATAATGCCGTTCACTGGGGTACACCCACCAGCGCTTGGGGACGGCGGCTTTCAAAAGATCTTATCTGCGCTTGTTGTTATCTATCTGGTATCCCGTAATTACTATTTTAGTTTACTATGTCAGCACTTTTTGTGTCATCTTTTGAAAGCTCACCATCCCCAGGCGACTGGCATAAATTATTTAGCGCCATCAACAGCAGCCTCAGCAGACCTCACAGCAATCATTTCTGGCATGGCTTTTTTGAAAAATTGGTCACTCAGCACTAACAGATTCATAGCCAAGCTTCCGTTTGTGGGAGGTTGCGTAAGATGCATCTGCCTGGCCTACAGGAGCATACGACGCAATCAATGAAGTATACCATGGTACACCTTGTTGTTGAACTTGCAGATTTTCTCTATGCCTGACCACAGCCCATATGGCTTGCCAGCTTGGTGGAGTGCATCCTAATCTATGGCAGTGAGCCAGAACATTACAAGGGTGCTGCAAGATGTCTACTCCAAGACCTGCTGATGTCTGCTGATATGTTCATGAATGCATTTTACTGACACCAATCTGTATCTGAGTGGGTATATGGAGTCAATCAAATAGCATGTGCCAAAGAGCTGCAGACTTTGGTCAGGAAGGACAATGGTTGGCACTTAGTGTGCTACATACGCGCGCCAAGCAGATCACTGACTTCAAGCTGGAAACAATGGCAGCATGAGCGCAGGTGCTGGCACCAACTTTATGGCATCTGTTATTGGCCTTAACACATGTGCATCTACAATCAGTGAGCACAGGGTGGCAAGAACAGGAGAGGGATGCCAAGAGCAAGTACCTGGCATGGGTCATGAGACTAGAGAATGAGAATCTGATTGGGAGTGGGCCAGATGTGCAGCACAGAGAGAGTTCAGGAGTTGCCGGAAAGCGGGCAAGTACTCAGACTATAGAGAAAAGACACGAAGCAATATGTGATGTAGTGAGTATATTGCATGCAGTATCTCGTGCAAATGATTTAAATCCTCACAATAACTTGAAATACAGTGACAGCTAGTTATCTTAGCAATCTTCATGCTCACTGTGAATCAGCATTGCAATATGCTACAGTCCATTGTAGGGATCTTTCTGCACAGTCACAATGCTCCTGAAAGGTTGCAGAAGTTTTAAACTGGATGGGTGTCAGTATTTCCATGCCCGCAATCCATACTGCAATCAAATCACTCTCAGATGACGTGATGAAGTACCTTTGGAAGCTTGGCTGGTGACAGCTGGTCACATATTGCTACAACAATTTTGACATGATGCTCATGAGTGCAAAATGGACCCAGGAGGCATTTCGTGTTCCATTGCTGAAGCATCTCACATCAGGTTTATTTATTTTCCTACCTCCTGGCACAGTGAAAGCTGATCTACAGTGCCCCGAGTACCTGTGGCAATGATTGCACCTTAATGATACACTTCTAGACAACCACCCAGAGCTCACACCAACGCCCAAATGTGATCACATGCTCAAGATCCATCTGTGACACTGGGAACCTGACAAGGCAGGCATGACTGGACCAGACAGATGGAATGCGTGGAAATTCTCCGGCGATCTAATCCTTTATGGTTCCAAGTACTTCTGCCAGTTTGCCTCGCATTTTAAACTCCCTGAGGTCATTGACACAGTCCTGCTATTGAAGACCGAATGCACACCTGCAAAAGCCATGAATATTTTCAATTTGACAGTTGCTGGGAATATCAAGATGATCGTGAACTTACTGAAGCAAGGGGGCATATCTTCAACAGTCTCAGTTCCTCTCCAGTGGAACCTGATTGCAGCGGTCAACTGAGAACACTCAGAATACGCAGGACAAGGACAGGAACAAACTTTGTTCTGTGCAGAAGAGTTGATATACATTGTTTGTAAAGTAGAATAAGGTTAATGCATACCTTCGTTCCATGCAGAAGAGTTAAAGGGAATGGAACAAAGGGGAAACAGAATATAAAGCGAACGTGAACAGTCTCGAAGCACGGGTGGGGTCCGAATGGAATTACCAGAAGAGGAAACACTGTGTCCAAAAGAGAAGAGTGTTGGCCGTGGTGGCATGCATGTAACCGCCGGGTTACACCCAGCTGCACCAGCTGCAGCAGCCATCTGTTAGAGAACTGTCAGATGATGATGATGACAATGACAAGATGAAAAGAGCAAAAGCTATTGGAGACTATGTAATCCTGTTTCATGGTGACCTGGGGACCAGTGAATGCATTGCTCAAGTGTTGAAACACTGCACAAATGAGAACAGCCCACAGGACTGACTACAATTTGTTGTCTATGTCTTCAGCCTGTTCCACCTGAAGATGGCCTGCGCTAACACTATCTAGTGTACTGTACTTTTACGACTGTACTGGATGTCACACATCACAACACTTTTCTGCAGACACTGCCAATAATATTCTCTCAATTTATGGCAATTTTGGCAAGTTGTTGGAAAAACTCATTTTGGGCACTTTCATCCAGTATGGTCGTAAAAGTACAGTATGCTCATTCAGCTGCTACTTGCATGGCAGAATGCAACATCAGTCATGCACCATGTTGCCATTCTACAAGAGAAAGAAACTGGTATTATTGGGAAGGACCCAGGTTTCCAGAGGGTACATCAGATGATCACACATGACGGACTGTGTCAGCGACTGCACTGCTGGCTGGCTGAAGTATGCACATGTGGCACACATAAGACACTGGAGGAATGGGTGCAGTCAGGGCCCACGTTTGAAGAGATACAGCAGATTGCCGCCCACCTCGCGATGAACTATGTCGGCACGACCAAACATGTCAGTGCTCTCAGGCTCCAACGCCAGTCAGAGAGAGACAAACAGTTTGAGAATGAATTAGTCATCAACTTATATTACTTGCTCTATAAGTAGAGCTAGATGACCTGTAAATCAAAGGCCGTACCGACGTGTTACTAGTATTCCACTTGCGGTCTGCAGATGGTAATGGTTCGAAGGTAATGCGAGTTTACCCACATAATCTTCACCTGATTGTGACTCAGTGCCATCATATCACAGCTCTCTTCTCCTCTCATAGCGTACCATGTTCACTAACAGTCATGCTGCCTCATAGCACTCCTGGCTCACAGGTAATACTGATGTTGCACCCCTGGCAAGAACAGCGTTTTACCACCATATCAGAGCGCACGTGCCAGTGCACTAGCGCGCATAATCGCGAGCAGTTGCTAGGAGGTGCAGAACTGATATTACGGTGCGGGTGTAGGTAGTGAACGAGTGTGTGCTGGCGTCGGAGTTGACCATATCAGTGACGGCCACACTGAGGATGCGCGGATTGGCATTTGAGGCCCAGTGAAAACCCCGTCCGCCCAAAGCAATCGAGAACTATCTGAGCCTATTGGAAATTCACTAATCTACCTCCAGCAACCTCAGAGAAATCAGCAGACACCGGAGAAGCTCTGACGTCCGCGCCCATTGGTTGCGTCTTCATTGAGTTGATAGCACACCGTGGCGCATTGATGTCACCACGGTCTTTGACACGTCCATTAATGCCTCTCTGACATGTCCAAATGCCACCAGCTCTACTCCAAATCCAAATCCGGGTCCGAATGCGAGGGCTTTGAACTAATAGCTTCAATGTTCTGACATCACTGACCAATGCTGCCAAATCGAAGCAGAAGCACCCTATCCGGATTCCGACATATATAAGGGCACGCGCCAGACAACAGCGCCCTGCCGCTCTCCTTCTGCTGCCCTCACCATGCCCCACCCGTCATGCTCTGCAATTCAGAGGTCTTTGTCCCACCACTGTCTAGTTTGGCAAGCAGGTGAGTATATGCGCATATACTAACACCAAAAGTCTTTGTTGACATTAACTCATGCTTATGACTCTGTTTGATGCTCAACGTCGCAAGGGCAGTTGAGCCAGTTGACACGCTGCTGCAAATGGTCGGGGAGGGAGGCTCAAGGTGCGTCTACGCTCACTCTTTGGACAGTCACGTATACGCGTGCAGAACATGCAGGATCCTGGTACCGTGCGCGCGATGAATGGCGGAATGGTGAAGAAGAAGGCCTGGGTCGCCTTCAAGAAGGATATCGCGCATGTACAGGTATGTAGAGCAATCTCTCACTCGTGCAATTATTTATTGCTGTGTAATAGGCTTTTGTAGATGACGCTATACATAAAGTTAGTCTCCCCCGCCTAGTTTTGCCTGAAAGCTGCTAACACTTCTACAGGGTGTTAGTATCAAGAAGGCACGTGGACGCGCTGCAAAGGCAGCAAAATAAGGTATGACAAAATCTATTAACTCTAGCTACATGGTACTAACTACGATGCGTTGAAGGAGATACATATGGCCTCTGTTGCGAGCCACTCAGCCTCTGGTTGACGTCTGCTCTGCACAAGCCAGTGTATGGGTTCGTCTCTTGTTGGACAGCTGCGATGAGCAGGCGGGAGCAGCGTATGACAGCACAGGATTGTGGGTGGTAGTACATGTGAGAGCGGGCGGCAGTTCAGGATAGCTAAAGGTAGCTGGGACGGTTCAGGCACGTATCTGGCAGATGGGAGCAGCTCGGGACATGTACTGGTAGTTTCGGGCAGACTGCAATAGATTGGCGCATTTTCAGACCATTTTCTGGCGGGCACGCAGGAGAAAAATATTTATATATCTTAATCTACCCTCTTGTGCACATGAAAAGCCTGTTCGAACAAATCTACCCTCCTGACATTCTGGGTGGATCTTAAGTCCCATATCCACAGTGTCCGCGACCTGGATTGCTTCCATGCTATCGGGCCAATCATAGGCAGATTCTGATGAATTCAGGTCGCACCAGGCAGACAGGATTTTCACTGGGTCTGAGGATCAAAATGTGCGAGCATAGAGGCGCTGAGTGCTGAGCGCCCGCACAGTGGATATCTCACTTATGCTCTTCGTCAGCCCTTCAGGGTGTCTGACATTACGGGCATGAGCTGATTTCAGATCACCTGAAATGTCCTGGTCAAGCCATCAAAACTGTTTCATTTTCAAAGGCTTAACCGGAGCTTTCTGGTGTCCCAAAATGATAGATTTGCTACCACTTTTGTAACCATTTGCGGTGCAGGAAAATGACAAATTTTGTGTAGCCTGAAATGAATCTGAAATGACTCAATATGGCTACATTTCAGTACGGCAAAGAGTTCATGTTTTGGGAGGCTTTGTGGCGCATTTCAGGACATCTGAAAGAACATGTAGAAATCATTTCCGCCTCATGTTTGCAATGAAGAAAGGTCTGGGCAAGGAAAACTTTTGATGGTCCTAAAATTACCATTTACAGCAAATTTGTAATACATGTCTAGGACGTCTCTGACTTATCTCAAGTAAAAATCTTCTAGCTCATAAAATAGCTTCAAAATCCATCAGAAATGGCAATTTCAGGACCATCAAAAGTTTTCCTTGCCCAGACCTTTCCTCATTGCAAACATGAGGCAGAAATGATTTCTACATATGTTCTTTCAGATGTTCTGAAATGTGCCACAAAGTCTCCTGAAACATGAACTCTTTGCTGTACTGAAATGTAGCCATATTAAATCATTTCAGGTTCATTTCAGGCTATACAAAATTTATCATTTTCCTGCACCACAAATGGCTATGAAAGTGGTAGCAAATCTATCATTTTGGGACACCCAAAAGCCCCAGTTAAGTCTTCAAAAATGAAACAGTTTTGATGGCTTGATCAGGACATTTCAGGTGATCTGAAATCAGCTCATGCCTGTAGTGTCGGGGCTTGCGTGAATTCCCTGATGAGACGCTGCGGAAGGTCACAACATTTACAGTGAGTTTTAATATGAAACTCCATAACCGTGGTTTTACTCTACATCTGAAAAAGACATTTTGCTGGACCCACCTGCCAGCAACCTGTGCCATCTGGGACCAAATAGACTGGTTTGTATCAGGGGACAAAATACAGATGGGCACATATCAGGGTGCAATGTCTATCTTGGTCTGTACCATTCAGACCAGCTAGACAATAGTATCGATGAACAAGACCAGTAGCAGTGTCACATGGACAGAAATGCTTTGTATAGTATGGGCAGCTTGTTTCTGTGCCCCTTAAAATTTAGCTAACATAGAGTACAAGACTGCTGGTAATATTTGCAGCAAGAATAAAAGGCTTGAACTGTGTCAGTCCAGTTGCTATGCATGCAGCGAGCAAGTGCAGAATTGCCTGCCCTAAACCACTGGCGCGTGTCCTTTTAGTCTGCCATGTGTTGGCCATCTCATCTCTCATGCTCTTATATCTACTCTCTCTCCGAGACCATCAAACATCCAACATGCACTAAACGGTGGAGTCAGGAGGTGGACAAAATGCAGAGATACCATTTTTTGCTCACTGCACCCACTGCACTCGACTGTTTCAATCCCACCTGACTCTTCCCAGCCAGCAGCAACTGCTGGCGGGGTCTTCGAAGCACTGCTTGTCCCAGCCACTGAACATCGCGCACCTCTCGGCATCACTGTGACCAGTCACTCAATGTGACCAAGATATCAACTCACCGTGACGGCGCAGGCTTGTCGGATGGCCCAGTGTTGTCCGAGTCCACCACATTGCGAGCGACCCCGGCCCTGCAGCCCGCGCAGACTCAAAGATCTCGAAGGTCAGCAGGAGGCCGGTTGTGATAACTATATTGTTGGCAACGTTTGAGGTACGTGGCAGTGCGGCTCAGTTGTCAGATTGGACTGACCGATTCCCTAGGTGCAACATGATTCGGTCCCATGAGTAGACGGCACAAGACATGGATGAGCTCAAACTTATCTGTGGTTAAATGGGAGACCCACATTGAAGCCAGTGAGTCCCAACTCCGCGGCCACCACGCCGACAGCCTTTCGTATTCCCCATCCATATTGATCTCGGCGCAGCTACATTATCATGGACCAAGCCGCGTCACTTCTTGGTTCATGTATCATGATCTGTTCCTCCACTGCCTGCCCTTATACCAGTATCTGACTGACCATCTCATTGCAGATTTTGACAGGTCTGCTGGCTCCTGCGGAGAGCCAAGTGCATGGAGATATACGCCGCTGTTGCTAGGTAGGTGTACATTGATACTCTCACATGATCGGTAATACTGTGGCCTGTTAGACCTTTACTTGTACCTTGTTCATATCACCATAATCAATGCAATTTTTTGGCTATCCCAGCGCAAACAACTACAGTGGCTGCTGTGTGAATTTATTACCTAATTGGGAAAGTGGATGTGGTTTCTGCCGCGTTGTCCAAATATGTTGCGGTATAGCATGGCCTAGACATGCATATACCATACGCAAGCGAGTACAGATGACATTAGTAGTGCTATGTTTAGTCCAACACAGTATATACTGGTACGGCATCTGCAGTGGTTGGCCTGGATAGTCCAGCTCAGAGGGTTGTGTCCAGAGGTCTGAGTGGTATGGGCTGGTCTATTTGCCACATTCCACTTCGTGTTTTTCCAGATGTAATGATCTGTGCAAATTCACCATATTTGGCTCTATAATGGTCACAAGTGGTCATGAAGGGTCGCGAGCTGACAGGCACCTCACCTGGCTAGTCTGAAACTGCTTGCCATGTGTGGAGTTTGATACGTAAGGTGGAAACATCATGATCAGAGAGCTGTGCTTGCTCTGTTTTGAGCGTATATACAGGAGTTCCGTTGGAGGGTCAGCTCAATAAATAAACCTCTATGGAGGTTTACCACTCACTCTCGAGGATATCAACTCACTTCCCAACTCCCATCAGATCCTCGCCATCTTTTTCTGCCTTCGACCAAGCTGTGCATGAAAGGTACTATGCTATGCCTGCCTACAATCCGCCGGAGAGCGGCAATTTGAGTGTAGCGTTAAACACATCAGTGGAGTCCACCATTGCTGATGCAGAGCTGGAGAACGGAGCCCCAGTCCACTCGTCTGGAATGAGATCGAAAGGAATATGATTCTGGCTGATAATCCTGGCCATCTGCGTCTCTCTCTTTGCGTCTGCCCTCAAATTTGTGAGTGGCAGATACAATTCTCTCCAGGACCGTAGCTGACACCCTGCCATATAACTTGCCGTAGACCATCATATCCACAGCACTACTGACCATCACGCATGACCTGGATGGCTCAGCAGATTTCATCTAGTGTGCGACAGCCGACGCTCTGGCTGCGACCGCGCTGCTGCCCGCAACGGGTAGCATGGCACAGGTATGTCCACATGTACTTGCTGACCATCTCTTCTGACGGTCCTCAGGTATTTGGCTGGCGATTTTGCATGCTCTTGTTGCCGGCCTTGTTTGCCCTCGGCAGCGCCCTATGCGGGGCCGCCAAGACAATGAACTGGCTGATTGCAGCTCGCAGTAAGTTTGTCCCTAGCTATCAGTCCGACGGCATGCTCTGATATTTGTCACCTACCCATAGCAGTCCAGGGCGCAGGCGGCAGCAGCATCATCACGATCACTGCGATAGTCATTGCCAACCTCGTTCCATTATCTGAGCGCGCACTGTACAATGGGTTTGGCAGCCTGTAAGTCAGGTGTAACATATACTGAACATGGTGGCTTATTTTGTTGTTCTTGGCAACACAGGACATGAGTGGTTGCTACAGGAATGGGTCCGATAGTGGGCGGCGCACTTGCTGACAATGGACAGTGGAGATGGCTGTTCTGTATGTCGCCGATCTGTGCCCTTTATACAGGCTTTATCTAAACTCAATACTGCAGACCTCAATCTCCCACTGGCGGGGGTGGCAGGGTTGCTTGTCATTTCTTTCCTCAAGATCAAGACACCGCAAGGTTCGTTCCATGAAAAGATGGCCCGAATGGACTGGATGTGAGGTTTCTTGTCCCCTACAAAGCACAAAACAACTCAATATCACTTAGTGGTAATGCGTCATAGGTAGCTCCACTGCCGTGGCCATCGCCCTCACGTGGGGTGGTGTGCAACATCTCTGGAGCTCTGCACAGATATTGGCGTCACTCATCATCAGGCTTCTCAATCTGCTGTTGTTCTTGTTGTATGAAGCAAAGGTTGCGAAGCATCCTCTGGTATGTCCCAAATTGTTGCGCGCATGGCTTTGTCTTAGTGCTATGTAGGTTCCCATCTCGCTTCTGTCCAACCATACAAGCTTCAGTGGGTAAGTTGACAACTTCGTCCTAATGCACATGGACTGATGGTTGGCGCAGCTATGCACAGACATTCATGTTACCCATACTGGCCGTTGCGGTGATCTGTAGGTTACATTCTTTCTTAAAAGTTCCAGCACCTTATTCCAACTTCTATTCCTTGCGGAACGCAGACTTTATGCCAGTGCTCTTCCAGGCCAGCTGGGGTGCCTTGCTCATTCGCTCTGGAGTCCTGCTCCTTGGCGTCATCCTGTCTCTCGGCCCGATACTCATTCTCAACGCGATAAGCATAAATGTGACGAAGATGTATCGACTGCAGCTCTGGATCGGATGGGCAGCCTGCCTCGCCGGCAGAGGGGTTCTAGCAACACTGAACGAACACACCGACATCGCACGTGCGATGGGCAGGCTTTTTCTCTTTGGTATCGGCAGCAGTTTCCTTTACTTGGGAACGTACTACCCAGTGCTGGCCCTGCTGCCTGCTACAGAGAATGCCCGCGCAATGGCATTCTTCCAGTTCTGCCAGTCATTCTCCACTGTAAGTGGTCTAGCGCCGCGTTTCAATCGGTCATAAGACTGAGCTTCTCCAGTACATGCAGATCTGGGGAGCAACTATTGGCACAGCTGTTTTGCAGACACAGCTCAAAAAGCGGCTGCCTGCAGAGTTCATAAATGAGCTGCCTGGTGGCATCGCAATTGTGTACTCCGCCATCACTGTCATCCCGGGTCTGCCCAAGCTGCTACACACACAAGTGCGCGCTGCATTTGCAGACAGCATCTGCATACTCTGGCAGGTTTTCGTCGGCATTGGTGCTATTGGTCTTCTGGTGTCACTGCTGATGAAGGGATTGCCACTGCACACACAGATGGACGAACAGTGGGGGTTGGAGGAGAAAGCGAGCAAGGGGAGCATTGGTGAGGGACAGGCTCAGGTCGCAGTTCTCGAGATTGAGCCGGCCTTCAACCACTCAGTAAATTAGGTGGCCTAGTTCTTGGTGACCCACCGCTCATATTCTTCAGATTGTCCTCATGACATCATGCCCACTTTAATACTGACATCCATGGAACTCTTCTAAACTTGCTGCTGCCAGTTACATGCTCTTTAGCCGTGGATGTCGCCAAGCCAATATGAACTGCATTGTTTATTCATTTATTTGCTTCACCTTTTTTAAAATGGGTGAGCTCGTGGGTCTGCAACAGGCTCGTTCCAGAAGACAGCCTCCAACACGCGGCCTGCCGTGTCGTACTGCAACATGCACTTTCGCGTAAATGTTGTTGAGTGCGACGCCTTAATCCCACACTTGTCGACCTGCGTAGGCAAGATTGTCAACAGCAAGCAGTCTTCTTCCTGCATGCTCACATGCCACGATGACTTGCGATCTGTTAAGTGCACGCGCCAAAAGAGGCAACCGTAGTGTGGAATCCGCTGCCTGGCGTAACTGTACCCGTAAGACCAGTCTGGTGGTCATGTGTCACACCGATCTTCCATTGACCCCTCCAATAATTCATTTCTCGATTTTTGAAGAGTTGTCGTAAAATCAATTCAGGCGCCTTCCGCCAAACTCACCTTTCAGATTTTCACGCGCAGTCCACGAGAAAGGTTCCACCCTATGCTACTTTTTGGGCTTTTCGGAGATTCTCGAGCTTGTCTTAGCCACTCTTGGACGCTTCCAGGTGTCTAATCCAGTGTAACTTAATAAGTTCGCGTGTCTGTACTGCTGAACTGACTCGGAATCAGCTCCAGGCTGAGTATTTCCTCCCTTATCTGTCGCGCAGGGTTGCGCCGTGCTGCGTGCGCATGTGTACGAGCTGTGCGCGAACGTCAATGGCGCGGACAACAATGAGATAGTGAACATACCTGAGGTATCTGGAAGTGGGATTTCTTGGGCAGATCCATGGTGTAGTATCTCTGCTGCCGTACCTGAGAGCTTTGCTGTCTGGTCTTGGAGACTCGTTAATATCTCGCCTCCTTGGTGCGCGAGCGCTCCACTGCACGGTCTGCTCATACAGTGTGACATCAGCATTTTATGTGCTGCACTTTCCTATATTTTGTTGTTATTCTCTGTGCCGATCTCATTGCCATTGCAGAACGAAATCTTTTCCGTCTGCCTGGACGATGACAAGTTTGGCGCTCCCAGAGGGCAGCGGTGATCTCCGAACGATTTTTTTTCTGACTAGTTACGTCGAGCCGTGAGAATAGCGGACCACTTTGATTGACCGCCGTCCAGTCGGCGTTTACTGTAATCGTTGTAAGTCGCCGTCTCGTCCAAATATTTGAACGGACGTCCGCACATCACTGGAGGAGACTGCACATGGTCCCGCCCTTTCTCCAGAAAGGGAAATCCCGACGCGCCACTTAAACGGAGCATCACAAACCTTAATGTGCGCCGGCCGTGTACCGCGTATCACTATCCCCGATTCCTCAATGTCCAACTGCAGCGTGGCGTCCTCCCCTCACTACCACCACCACCTAGTCAGCTCGGCCTTTCCGCCGTAGACTCTATTACGTTAGCGGCTGTTCGAAGGTCGGCTGAAACGGGCGCAAGATGTACATCCTCGATACCACGCCTACAGAGCTCGACGGGCTTCTCCACTGGTTTTCTGACGTGTTTCACAAAATATGCGTCTGTCTGACAGCACTCCTTGCGTCTACTGGCATGTTCACGCAGCAGAGCGTGCTGGCGCCGAGTGCAGGGGCACAGACTCTGCCGGGCCAGTACCTGTTAGGCTTGGGTCAGCTATTGTAGTACACCGTCTGTCGTGTCTGGCTGACCAGATCCCGCAGGCATTGCTGATATTACAGGGTAATTGCAGTTGCTCTATTGACGGACTTCGTGCATTGAACGTTCATCGTAGACCGGTGGTTGAAACCAACATGATGGTAAGCAGCCAATCAAAATAAGCACAGCGCAATTGCCCAGTAGTCACACTTGCAGGGTTACGCAAGCCTCCCACAGACAGATACGGGCTTGCACATGCGACAACGAAGCCGCGCTTGGATAGTCGCAGATGCATCCAACCCGTCTGATCGCTTCGTTTATATCAACGCTGGTAAGTGCCGCACATCCTGCTTATTCGGAAATACCCACTCACGTACCTCTATCAGACATTGCGATGGGTGATACAGGCCTTCGCAGGTCCATCGTCGAACAGCTGTCCTCGATGTACCCGGACTTATACAACAATGAGAACATCGCACTAGGATCGACCCACTCGCATAGCGGCGTCGGCGGATACCTCGAGAACCTATTGCCCCAGATTACGTCCAAGGGCTATGTCAAGGAGACAGCAGACGCTATTGTGGCGGGAACCGTGCTTGCGGTCAAGCGCGCTCATGAAAGCCTCCAGCCTGGACAGCTTTCACTCGGAAATACGACTGTGCTAGAAGCAAATATCAACCGTTCCCCGAGCGCTTACTTGACAAACCCTGCGGAGGAGCGAGCCAGGTACCGATATGACCAGGACAAAGAGCTCACACTTCTACGATTTGACGACGTGAGCGGCAATCCCCGGGGATTTTTGAGCTTCTTCCCTGTACATGGGACGAGCATTTACGAGGTATATCGCCCTCTCGTCTGAGATCTTGTGCGTTGATGTCGAAACCCTGCAGAACAATACCCTTGTGAGCGGTGACAATAAGGGCATGGCTGCCTATCTGTATGAAGGTCTGTATGGCTGGTGCCCATGGAAAACGGACCGCCATCTAATGTACCTAACTCAGCTATGATGGAACCCCATGCAATGCCCGGAAATAATACTTTCGTGGCTGGTTTCGCGCAAGGTAGTACGACTGACCATCTTGAGAACATAGATTAGCTAATCGTCATACCAAACAGCGAACGTAGGCGATACAAGTCCAAACACGTATGTCTAGTCTTGTGACTGTTGTTTGACCTTCTAATCTCTCGCCATAGTGAGGGTGCTTTCTGTGAAAGCCCCGGCCAACCATGGGACGGCCTGCCTTGTGAATTCGACCACTCTACATGTGGTAACAGGACGCAAGATTGCCATGGACGGTGCGTGTAGTGCACACTGTTGAGCGACCGCCTCACTGAATGGCTTTTGTCTAGTGGACCTGGATTCCGGATCTCGGATTTTGAATCCAACAGGATAGTTGCTCAGCGACAGGTCGATGGGGCGAAGAAACTGATGAGCAGAAGTCTACCTGTGATCTCTGGTCCTGTGGTATATGTGCACACGTACTTGAACATGTATTAATTTCGTTTTATCTTGTTAATGCCTCGCTCACGTTAGGATGTTCAGGTCCTATCACTCGTTTCAACTCCCGAATGGCACCACAGTTCAAACTTGTCCTCCGGCTTTGGGTACGTCTGTCTCTGCGTGTGGAAGTCCGGTTGTTCAACGTGTCACAAATTTACCAGGTTACTCCTTCGCTGGGGGGACGACTGATGGACCCGGGGCCTTCGATTTCGTCCAAGGAGATAATTCTTCCAGCCCTCGGTGATGTAGATTTTACTAACTTCATCAGTATCTCAATTAACATATGGGCAACAGGAATCCGTTCTGGGAGCTCGTCAAAGGTTGGCTCTGACGCAATACTCTCTAGCCCGGATACACTGACGGAAAGGTGCAGGTGCTGTGACCCCACGCCCACCAGTTGAACAAGCAGAGTGCCAGTATCCAAAGCCTATCCTCTTGAACGCCGTGAGACAGCTCGCTTGATCATCTCATTTACCTCAGTTCTCATTTACAATCTTTAGGGATACGCAAGTAGCCCGTACACGTGGTCACCACACGTCGTTGATATTCAGCTCCTCCGCGTCGGCAACCTCGTCATCCTTGTGATGCCGGGAGAAATGACCACCATGGCTGGGCGTCGTCTCCGGTACGCCTCGACCATTTTACTCAACAGCATAAGTATGCTTACCGGCAGATCCGCAGCGAGGTGGTTCGTGCCCAGCTGATCTCTTCGGGCATCGTGGGAGACGATGCTTACGTTGTCGTCGCCGGTCCTGCGAATACGTACGGGCACTACGTCACGACCAGGGAGGAATACGCAGTACAACGCTATGAAGGAGCATCTACCATCTATGGCCAATGTATGCCACCACTTCCCCGTCTTCTTGAGTGTCCGCTGATTCCCGCTGTGGCTCAGGGACCCTGGATGCGTACATCGACAAGTACACTGATCTCGTCCGATTCCTCAAACCTGGCTTTACCGGCACTCCCGAGTCCAACGATGCCCCGAAGGACCTGACGAGCAAATCGATTACTCTTCGGGTATGTAGAAGTTCAGGTAATGCGCCTCACATATCGGCTGACGGCCTCTTCGATAAGACTGGGGTCATTGTTGATCACGCGCCGCTGGGCAAGCATTTTGGCGACGTCTTGACAGATGTGCTCACGAATGCACCATATCATGCCGGCGATACTGTGTCCGCTCGTTTCGTGGGGTAAGCACGATGATTTTCTGCCAAAACTGCTCCCATTGACTCTTGCCCGGTGAATCACAGTGCAAATCCTAGGGTCGGTCTAGTTTGATGCCTCATACAACGCGCACATTATTGACAAAACATGCAGAATAACTTGAGGCTGGAAGAGACGTTCCTCACTGTGGACCAGCTCATGAACGGACAGTGGATTTCCGTGAGATCAGACTCGCATCCTTCGACACGGTTTGAGTGGCTTAGGACTAGCACAGTAAGCAGCCCTTTCTATGTGCACTGGAAATGTATCCTCATGTCACCTAGACCTTCGGGTACAGCACGGTTAACATATCCTGGACAATCGAAGACATAACTGCTCGTACGTACTCGCTGGAAATGCTCTGTGCAGTGTACTGATAGGATTCCAGCCGGGACATACCGCTTGACCTACCTCGGCGACGCTAAGTCGCTTGGAGGCTCCATCTCACCCTTCACTGGCTACTCGTCAAGCTTCACTGTCTCATGATGTCTTTTTTATGTACCCATCTTGCATACTCCTATTGCACCGTACGGACCAGAATCTTGCTCGTTCAGTATCTAATGCGAGTACGGCTACGCTTTTTGTTAACGCACTGTGTCGCGTCGTCAAACACGCGTAGCGCGAGACAACGTCGTCAGCCCCCGGTAAAAGTGGAACCCGTTACTTAAGTGTGCATTCAACCAGATACAACACGAAACCAGAGAATCCTATGACTTGGAAAAAAGAATGTGAACCAGTACAAACTTGATAAACACGACATAAACACCGTCTATATTCCAGAAATGAATAATACGACTAGCCTTCGCTCTTATAGGCAAATTGGTGCTGGGATTTTTTCCTCAATGACCTTCGGGGTCCTCATACCGCATCGTTACCCACAACCCACCGACCACATAAATCGTCAAATGCGACTTAAAGATTACCCTATCCTGGCCATCCGAGATTGGCGAAACGCCCCAGCCCGGAGGAGCAACCGACTCCGGATTCGCGTCTGGGTGGAGCTCAATCTTCGACACGTGTTGCAGCAAGCGAATGAGCATGAACGACACCTCGTTGTACGCGAACTGCAACATAGTCCTAAGTCCAGGCGCAGGATCGGAGATAAGAAGCACCTGCTCACTTGTTGTCCCAGGCAGATGCGTGGACCCGCATTGAATGGCAGGAAGATGAATGGATTCGGTGTCAGGTACTTCCCAAGACGCTCGTCTAAGAAACGATCTGGGTCGAACTTGTCGGCTACACTCGGGTCAGATGCGCCTGTGCACGAGTAATCAGCTACGCTTACCATCTGGACCCCACAAGTCCTTTCGCCGGTGCATGACGAACACAGAGTACAAGCACCTGGTTCTCCCGGGGAAGTAGTAGTCGCCCTCAGGCGAAGGCCAGACCGTGGGTACGGTAGTGAAGCGGACATTGAAGGGGCTGCAATGAGGCGCGTCAGAACCGTCATGAAGGCCAAGAGGTTACAGACTTACACAGGTGGGTACATGCGCAAGACCTCTGCAGAGATTGTCAGCATCCTATCGGCATCAGAAGATTCGGGACATGGCAGAGCTTACCATTGATGAACGCGCGCAAGAACTTCATGTCTCGGATATCGTCATACGTGGGCCGCCGCGTACCGACAATATCAAGGATCTCCTTGCGCAGGCGCTGCAGGATGTCTGGGTGTTCCGCGAGCATGTATCCAGCCATGGTGAGTGTGGAGGCAGTCTAGGCAGCACGTCACTAACGCTCGACACCGGAACCGATTAGTGCCTATACCGTATCTCGACCCGCGAGCAGGATATTGACGGTCTCGTCCCTGATGATCTGCGGATCTGCAGTGAGGGATCAGCGCAGGGCTGCGTCACACTGTCGTCGCACCTACCGTCCGTGAGTTTGACGAGATGCTCAAGTAGCGTCGCGTCGTCCTCTACGGCCTCTTCGACTTTCACTTCGGGAGATTCGGCCTTCCTCGCCAGCGCGTCGTGGAGCAGAGGCTGTATGAACTCCTCCATGACCTCGATATGCTCATCGACGTTGCTCTTCCAGAACTCCCACAGCGGCCATGCGCCGCTATAACGCGAGCGCTTTCCTGACGCGAGCTGGGCCTGGAGGAAGGCGCGAGCGAAACGGTTTGAAGGATGGGAGGCGCTGTCGTCATACTGCGCTTGCGGGAACGTCGGCGGATAGGGAAGTGGAGCAGAGAGCGAGCGCACGTCCTTGCCGAAGAGGAACTCGGTTGCAGAGTCGAGTGTGAAGCGTGAGACAAGATCCTGAAAGCGTAGCCCTGTCGGGACTCCGCGCGCGTAACGAAAGGAGCGAACACACCTGCCAGTCGAAGGGGACGCCCTCCGACACACGAGCTTTCGCACGATCCAAGGCCTCTTCTGCATGTCTAGTGACCACCACGAACACAGGCTGGGTGAATCTCGACTTTCCCTCGACCAAAAGAGCCACTTACCTGTCAAACATATCGAAGTGCGAGATGCGGTCCCGACTAAAGAACGGGCGCGTCATCGCGCGGTGGAACCTGCAGAACAGTTATCTTCTACGTCGAGAGGTGACAAGGCCATGTGACTCAATTCCAGAGGTCGCCATCCACATTGAATACTCCTGAACCCAACAGTGATTTCATCTGGTTATACCACGCAGAGCCCTTCTCATAGCCCTGGAAATCTGTGGCGAGGATCCTCTGAAATAGTGCAATGGTTAAACATCATCTATGGTCTGCATTCTGGGCGAACAGACCTTGATATACTCAGGCTCGGCGGTGAAGATCTGTCAGACTTCCATGAGAAGAAGATAATTATACAGAGATAGCGTAAACTACCGTATTCTGGAAGAGCAGGCGGAAATTGAATGTCCAGCCATATTCTTGGGCCCATTCAGACAAGCGGCAACCTACAGCTGTGGTAAGCAATGTGTCGCCACCCCTGGGACGCGCTGCTCACCGATAATGCGCTCCTCGACTGCTTTGTCGAATGCCATCAGGGCGTCCACGCCCCCGAGGTACTTTCTCTTCACTGCGCGAGGCATCTTTGAGCCCCGCGCGGCAGCCTCGCGGTCGACTTTGTGGTCGTACCATTGCACAAGCACCGTCAGCGCGGCAGGCCAGGACAGGACGCACGCCGCCGCGATGGCCCACACAGGTATGTTATAGCCAAAGCACACACGAGCAATGTATGCAAGGAGGCACACGGCCATGGGAGGCACAAGCAGCTGTGGAATTATTGGCAGCAGGTAGAGCAGTCCGGGAGGAAGGGCCATGTTCACGCGTACGACGGCCGAGGTGTGCAGGGAAGATAGATGCGGGAAGACGAGGCGGCTGCGAATTTCCATTCACTGTACTAGCCTAGTTTATATGGGCAGATAGGAGCTGGTTCCGTCGGGCCTCAGAGCGAGAACTATGCAGTCATCCCGACTGTCTGACGTGTTTGAGGTGAAGTGAGCGACGAAAGTCCAGTCCAGTACTTATACTATCCCTGAAACACATTTGATAAACGGGACAGTGTTGATAATATCTGTTTACCTCCCTCGTTATTCGTTGTACGGCCTTGAAAGTTTTTTATGGCCTAGCCGCAACGTACTGCAGTGTTTGTCCATGTAGTTGTATGAGCCGGTATCGCAAGAGGGTGTGGTGGATTTTGCCCAAGGATATCGACACCGGCTGAAGCGTTGGAATTTTGATGGGTGAAGTAAGACTAGTAATCGTGCGCAACGAAATATCGACATGTCCACTATACACGACAGTCTCCACCCGAAATCAACTCAGCAGAAATCCTGATAGAGAGCCAGAGATTTGTTACAAGTACTGGACCATTTAACCTTGGTGAGATTAATTGTGGATGCAATATGCAAAATAGTCAGTAGTATAATTCTCCACTGATTGATCTGCGTCCGGATGCAAGGCACTGTGATCCAGAATTCCATGTATAATCGCATTGCAAAATATGATAACATGACAATTGGAGGGAAATACTTGTATTCGCCAACGCCAGCCCTGGCGTAACGATACCTGGTGACAGACACTGACGTGAAAACACGCGCTTTTCAATCGGCGTCAAAAGGGAGACGGCTTCGGACGATTGACTCGATCCGAGAGGTTACATACATACAAAATCATATGACAAGCACATGGAAAGAGACGTACGTCTCATAGCCATGAGTATATAGCGGGATAAGAGACTGAATATCCAAGCCTTTGTCGAAAGCGGTCGCCGGAGCGGTCTACTCATCGTCAGATTCGTCGTCCTCCGCCTCTTCCAACCACTTCAAGAACGGCTCGCTGGCCTTCCTGACCTTTTTGCTAGTCTCCCGGTCAACGTACTTCTTGCTGACGTGGGTGCCCCACTGAGTGATGACGGCTTCTTCTAAGACGTCCGCCTGATAAAACTCCATCAGGATTTTCGGGACGGCAGGGATGAGGTCGGGGTGGGTCAAGCCAACAAGGCGCTCGAGTCCACCGAGGAGCGATTTTTGGTGCTTCTCAGAAGTTACCATCTACGACGGAAACATGAGCACTAGCTAAACCTAAAACACACAAGCAGCGCTTACCTTTTTGAAGAGAGCAGCGTTAGACGGGATCTGCTTGAGGATGTCCTCATCGAACAGACCCTGCACAATGACCTGCACAGCCTTGTGCTTCTTAGCAATACCGAGGTCCTCGGCCTTCTTATAGACATCGACGGGGCCTGCATCGCGATTGTCCCGGACCCAGATGCCGAGCTGACCGTAGGGGCTGTCCACACCTTCATCGTCATCGTCATCGTCTCCCAGAGCGAGGTTGGCCATGAGGCTCTCGGCGGCTTTGGTGCGTGCCTTGACGGCCTCCTCGGAAGTATCAACGGACCAGTCCTCCTTGGCGAGCTTGGACTCGGAGTTGAGATCCGCAGCTTCCGCCTTGATGCGCCTCGTGAGCTCGTCGTCACTCTCACCGTCGAGTTCGCCATCGAGGGGCGGGGTGGCCGCCTCGGCATGCGCGCCGTTCGTAGGGCTGTCCGCACCGCCCTTCTTAGACCTGCCCTTCTTGGATGTCTTGGGCGGGTTCTTGAGGATGAAAGTCGTGAGCTTGTGTCTCATATCGACGCCCGTACGCTCGCCGCAGGCCTTGCAGTCGCGGATAATCTCGTCCTGCTTGGTGATGATGAGGTCCGTTTCGGGATTCTTGCACGACTTGCACAGGACGAACTTGTCAATGAACCCGTCGAGGAGCTCACGGAGCTTTGTCGCGTCATGAGCACCGTTGACAATGTAGCGGTCATTCTTCTCGTCAAAGGAGGTTTGCGCGCCAAGCTCGCAGCCGAAGAACTTCGTGGGGTATGTAGGAGGACGGGAGAGCGCTCGAGCCACGTCAGACATGTTGGGGACCACAGTCTTGATACCGTTACCCTTGCCTTCAATCTTAGTAAGGAGGAGGGGCATACTAGACGGAGGTATCAGCTATTATACGCTTACACCGCGCTCTGGAAGCTTACCGGTAGCGGTAGAACTTGTCGTCGACATCACGACGAATGTTGACAATTCCAGCAGCCATTTTGGATGGTTAAGGTTTAACGCTATAGAAAACGAATCGTAAGCCAAGAGTCTGTCTAAAATTGAGCCCAGGGTACCTACAAGAAAGCTAGAGAGTCGAAGCGGGTGGTTACAGTCTTTATGCCGTGGTATAGCGATTGGAGGCCGAAGCATGAATCCTCTGCTTGCACAGAAGATACCGGGTTGTGTAGCGGAGTAGGGCGAAATCGTGAAGGTCGGTACGAGGGCGACGTTTACACAGTTGTGTAGGGGATGGTGGTGGTAGAGGACGAAGCTTAAGAGCTAATTTTCCACGGGTTAATAGCCTTCGGGATATGCCGGTGCCGATCCAAAAGCAAACACGCGTTCATTCCGGCTCAATGCTCAAATTCATGTATGAACCCGACAGTCTGTCCCAGGGAAGAGATGAGATGCATAGAACTACAAGTATACTCTAACAGTCTAGCCGAGGGATACAGCATCTACCAGAATGAAGAGCGCACACGACGGAACCTAGTCGAACGTGATCTTCGTCGGACCCGAAGGAGTAGGGACGTCGTCACGGAAGAAAGCACCGTACACGCTATGAGTCTTCTTCTTTATCGTCATAGGGAATTTCTGAAGAGGCGTTGTATCGAAGCCACTCTCCCGGAGCACCCTGGCGAGTTCACCGGCGAGGGCTCTCTCATGGGCGTCACCGGTGAAGAACGTGATAGACTTGCCACTCTTGCCACCACGACCTGTGTGCCGGTAGTCAGTAACATGAGATAGATGGGTCATGCGGCTTGACATACCTGTACGGCCGATACGGTGGACGTAATCCTCGACCGTCAGCGGAAATGTGTAGTTGATGACCGCCGCTACATTAGGGATATCCAGACCCCGAGCGGCGACATCAGTGGCGACAAGCAGGCCCGTCTTGCCCGTCTTGAAGTTCTGCAGGGCCTCCATACGCGCGCTTTGCGACAGATCTCCGTGCAGACCGCCTACGCTAAAGCCTTTGCCGCGGAGCATGCTCTCGACGCGGACAGCTTCTTTTTTGTACAGCGCAAAGACAAGAATCCTAGTCTCTTCGGGGCCAGTCTTCTTCTTCGGGATAAGCTTATGCAAGTGCCCGAGTAGCCGTGAACTGTATCATTGTTAGTCACAGAGCACATGTAAATGTCATATAGCTTACTCTTTCTCACGGGAGCTGTCGAAGACTTCAACGACCTGGCTGACTCGGCTGTTCGCGGTAAGATCGTCGCTACCGACAGTGACGCGGACAGGGTCTCGCTGGAATGACGCAGCAAGACGACGGACGGCGTCTGGCCACGTCGCGCTAAACATGAGGGTCTGACGCTCTTCGCCCTGCTTGGTGTGTCCAATGATGGAGCGTATATCATTTTCGAAGCCCTTGTCCAGCATACGGTCCGCTTCATCAAGAACGAGGTACTGCACATTGCTGAGGTCACAAACGCCATCGTTTATGAGATCAAGAATGCGCCCGGGCGTACCGACGACTGTGCGGGTCGTCGCCTGCTTGCCCTTCCCCTTTTGCTTGTTAATACTGCGGAGAGCATCAACCTGATCCTTCTTGCCGACACCGCCGAAGATGGCAACACTGGCGATACCGAAGGGCTCTCCCAGAACAGCGAAGGTATCGTGCGTCTGGATAGCAAGTTCGCGGGTAGGAGCAAGAACGAGGGCAGAGACAGTACTCTCGCCTTTCGATGGCTGTGCTATCGAGCCTGAGAGCATGCGCGCCAGGGCAGGGAGACCGAAGGCCATAGTCTTTCCACTGTGCACGGCGGGTTAGCCTTGTCAAGTCCTGTGCTAGCCCTGCAGACGAACCTTCCAGTCTCGGCAATTCCGACAACGTCTTGCCCGGCAAGCGCGGCCGGCCATGAACAAGCCTGAATGGGAGTGGGCTTTTCAAACTTGTCGCATGCTGCTCGAAGGCCCTCTGGCACGTTTAGCTGAGCGAAAGAGATTATGGGGACGAGCGGTGTCGTTCCATGGATAATGACAGAGTTGTCCGTCAAGAACTGATCGATTTCAGTTTTGGAAGGGGCGGGAATAGCGTCGCGGGATGAAGAGGCAGCGCTCTCCAACGTAGCGTCGTCAGTCTTGCGCTTTGCTTTTTCATCCTTGAAAGCGGGAGAGAACTCTTCACTGGTCTCTGCAGACCTAGACTTTTTCTTGTCCTTTTTTGACTTCTTCTTGGGCTCATCGTCCAGCGCTACTGGCACTCAGTGAAAAGACTGAGCATGCAGAGGAAATGAGGCGTACTGGCTTCGGCTGTGCCTGTCTCCAGTTCTGCAAGAGGCTCTGTGCCATGCTTGGGCTTCTTTTTCCCATTCTTGCCCTCGACTGCCCCGCCGTCCCGCTTGCGCTTCTTCCCGCTATTCTCTGAAGATGGCGCGGGTTCCTCTGAGTGCGTAGTTAGCGACGAGCGCATCAGTGGACACAGCCTGCGTACCTGAGGCGTCTGCGGTCTCTGCACTGGTTTCGACCTTGCGTTTCTTTTTCTTCTCCTTAGGGACTTCCTCTGTCGCATCACCACTTCATTTAACTCTCCAAGGATGCACAACAACACGTAACGTACCTACCGCCTGCTTCCGCCTCCCCGCGGCGATGCTTCTTGGACTTTTTCTTGTGCTCTTTCACGGCAGCGACGATCACATTTTCAATGACCTCGACGGTCATTTCAGATGGAGGTATGAAGGATACGAGAGGAAGGCTGCCAAAAGGCTGCACTGCAATCTCGTGGGCGCCCCGCTTTACGTAGGAGCGCAAGCGCCAATGCCACGTGCGCTCACCGAGCGCATTCACCATCCCAATTAAACTACGCCTCTGACACCAACCTTGACTATCCACGTCGCCGCGGCCACCGCCTTGCCGCCATGAGCACATCCTTCAGCTTCTTCTCAAAACCAAAATCCTCGAAGCCGGCGGGAAGCGGGACGACTGTCGCAGTGCGGACGGTCGTAAAGCGAGTACCGCCGCCTACCGCGGCTCAGGGACCTGCGGAAGGTAGAATCAAGGTCGTCGCGAGCGACGCCACCCCTGCGTCTTCGGTCTCGTCGGGATCGAAACGCAAACTTGAGGTTCCTGAGGTACCGCGTGAGGTGAAGAAACTGCGAACGTCGGCTTCGCCTGGTGTTGAATCCGCGTCGCGTGCTTCAAGCGCGATACCCTCCGCTCGTAGCTCAGTGCCTTTAACCGAGTCTTCGCTCGCACCTGGACCTTCAAGAAGTTTATCTCCTCTAACGTCGGCCTCTTCTCGCTTGACACCCGACGATGCCCTGCCGGTCGCTCGCAGCTGTTGGTCCGAAGAAGACGGCCGCCCAGGTCCTGGCTTCACGAGCAGCGAGGATATCGTGCGGAGAGTTATGAAGGGATATGTTGCATGTGAGTCATACCTAACGCGTATACGCGTGTATAAACTCATATACGCGGCAGTTTTCAAGAACCCGGATGACCCGGAGGATAAGTCTTTCCAGCCGCACCCGACGAGATATCCTGTTGCTGAACTGGAATACCCCAACACCTTTGCTGCTGAAAAGTGAGCTGAAACGGTCTTCAGGTTGCAGTAATCTCAAGACGTTCTTCAGGTTTATATTACTTGAGCCTCGGGACAAGGATCATTATAACCCTGTCGTTGACTTGCAACAGACACTCCACACAATCATTGAACGTAAGTATCTTTTGATATACGTACTCAGCCTTTCTCACGAAGGAACAGAGTATCTTACCCCAGAGCAACAGTCCCTATTTGGAACTCTTCCCGACGACTCAATAAGGCGGACCGTCGACTCCGATTCCGATTCTGAGGGCGAGTCGCCACCGCGGAAAGGTGTAATATTAGGCTCTCCACACTCGGCTGTATCAACCCCCTCTTCTCATAAATCCGATGCTTCAAGCTCATCACTTTCCTCGCTGACTTCGATATCGTCAACGTCCTCCGTGTTTTCTACGCTATCATCTGTTTCTTCGCTGACTTCAATATCCGACCTTGAACATCTCGCAGAGGCTCATTCACATGGTCTTCCCCACGTCAACTATCTCCGACTCTTTCGACGCGCTATCTATAATCATGATGGTCCTCTCTTTCTGAGAGTAATGAACGCCATTAACGCCCTCTTACGTGCCCTCAAATACCCTCAACTTCCGGCAGATGCGTTCGAGCCTGTGCCTGGCAATGCGCTGCGCGACGCTGTCCGGTCGTGGCCTCGAACAGAGATACCCCATCCTGTCATCCTCCGAATAATGGACGAGACGTATCAACGCGCCGTAGGGCCCGGCGCTAACCAACTTAACGTCTACAAGCCCGCTTCTTCCGAGATCTACGGCGAGCTTCTGCCTTCGTTTGTAACGAATCTCATCAAGGATACAAGCCTTAGTGCAGATCACCTCTTCCTCGACCTCGGCTCGGGCGTCGGCAACGTTGTCTTGCAGGCAAGCCTGACGACCGGGTGCCGAAGCTACGGCATAGAGCTCAATTCTACACCAGCGAAACTGGCACGGGATCAACTGGAACAGTTTCGAATACGCTGCAGAATGTGGGGCTTGGCTATGGGCGAGGTTGAGCTCGAGGAGGGCAGCATGCTAACGAGTCAGCGGACGGATGAGCTGATTAGACAAGCGGACGTTATCCTTGTGAACAATAAGGCGTTCGAAGAGACGCGTGAGTGATTGACCTTTCAAAATTCGCCACCAGAGTCTGATTATGCTGTGCAGTTAATGATGCTCTGCGGCTAAAATTCCTTGATCTCAAGGAATCCGTTATCGTCGTCTCGTTGCGTCCATTCAAACCTCCAACACGGAAGGTGAACGATCGAAACGTCAGTCTCGTATTTGCGTCATACTACCTCATACTACCTCATGGCTGATCTCGATCGTCACGATAGATGGGTGATCCTGGTGGTATTTTTAATGTAACGGAGCGCACATACCCTCGGGACAGCGTCTCCTGGACCGACAACGCCGGTGTGTACTACCTACATCGTGTCGACCGGCGACAGCTGCAAACGTACGAGCGAGAAGGTTCGACGACAAGGTCGACAAGAAGCTCGCGTTCGAGAAGGTGATTTGGCGTTTAGACAACAGTTCTAGGACTAGGGACAATTGGGACCCTTGTGGTTTATACGCGCGTCGCTTTCGGATGACATGGTCTACCATACTCGCTATAATTCGCACTATATCTTGCTTGTTGTACCGTGTTACCTTAATACTGACTGTTGTTCTTTGATGATATCCGAAGACTGTAACAATACTGACTTCTAATCACAATAGGCGCTGATATCATCGCTTGCGCCGAGTAGCAACTGTATCTCTGCTCTGTCTGTTCTTTTCAGTCCCGCAGAGCGGCGCCAGTAGGTCGGTAAGAGTTACCTTCGGTCCCTCGGGGGCGCGCCACCAGAGCTCAAAGATAGGCTTTCGTAAATTGTGTCCGCATGTTCATCAATTGCAAGCTGGTAGTGCAGGCACGATCACTTGGGTGTATCTTAGCTTATCTATGAAATTGGATTTCGGTGACGCATATATAAGAGCTCTCGCTCGTCGGACGGCGGGTAAGAGCACCTCATAACAAAATGGTAAGGATCCTGCAAATGCAACGCATCATTCGTCATGCATACAATCAGATAATTTACAGTCCAGCACGGAAAACGTCGACCTCTCGCAGATCTTGACTCTTGACTTGTTTGAGTCGCTGCGTCGAGTGCACCTGCCGTGGCCCGAGGACCAGCCTTTAAACTTTAGCGTTGTCACAAAGCCTAGTACTTTCGTGCTACGCCAGACACGCGCCCTGAGTTCTACAAGCTCGCGTTCCACCCTGCACTGAAGCCGCTCTCTACGCTCGGCTTGGGCAACGTTCCCGACTTGATGCAGTTCCTGCCCCCGCCTGAGGTGCAAGACTTTCCTTCCAAGGCTCTCGGGCTCGTCCTCCTGCTCGACCAGGCCCCGCGCTCTATCATCCATGGCGGGGTCAGCGATCGATACACTTTTAGTTACTTCGACGTGCTCTGCGAAAAGCTGGTGGGGCAGCTGTACACGCTGCCGGCGCATCTCCGGCCGGATAACATGGAGCGGCTCATGTCGCAGGGCTGGGGCTACGGCTACGCGATGGTGGCCCGCGTGTGGTTCCTCGCGCCGCTTGTACACTCTGAGAGCCTCAGCGCCCACGAGAAGGCACTCGAGCTTAACGAAGGGATACGCACTGACGTCGAGAAGCGCGTCGGGAAAACCGACGCCAATCGTGCCACGGATAAGACCTCAACGACATCTTCGCGTTCCCCGTGAAGGTTATGATTCACGCACCCGCCCCCGTGCACGACGGCGCGCGGATCGAGGACTTCATCTTCTGGCTCATGCGCGTCTTCCGCGTGTATTATCCTCTCGTCAAGAAATACGGACGCTATCCTCACTGAAACGGCGCTGTCGGGCGGGCCTCTACAGACGAAGAGATCCGATACATGAGGGGCCCTAAGGGCTTTACGGCATCGCAGGACGAAGAGGTTGTCAGGAAGATACGAGAGGATGTAGAGGCGAGGAGATGGAGCCCTTTATACGAAGAGCAGATATAAAGCCAAGAATACCATGATTAATGCTCTGCCTCTGAGTTGGGGCCCGGAAATTTGTGAGGTTCTTACTAGAGTATTTTGCGCGCCGAAATGATACTGCAGGTGAAGTTTTGTAATTCAAAGTGCCATCATCTGCCACATCTGCATCGTCAAGATGTTGCCCGGTCTTTCCGCGCTTACATTGCAATATTTTATTGGGCATTGAGGCCGAAGATATTGCTGTTTGCGTCTTCAATTGTCCAGCCGCTGACAACCAATACAAAAGTCATATATCATTTATCGGACAGCTTAGCTATCTTGTATGCTATCATGAACGTGTAACTTTAATTTATTACCAGTTCTTGCACGTGCAGGCCTTTTGATCCCAGCATCGCGCACACCCGTTGTCTCCGGCTTTACTCGTCGTTTGCGACAGCGCATACCCTCTGATACCCTCTTGTCGACGATACTGGCGTTGGCAAGCTTTCTGCACGCGTCTTTGGCCTAATACTCGACCATGGCGGCGGCGACTCAACCCCCAGCCCGCCAGCTCAGCCGACTCCAGATCCCACCCCCGGTGGGCCAGCCGCAGCCCTTCGTTTATGGCGACAACGCCCCCGTATTCTCGCCAAGTCTTCCCACCGCAATAAATGTCGGAGCGCATCATACTTTTCCTGCCCCTCCACACCAGTTCCCCCTTCAAACTCCCATGCAAACCCAGTTCTTTCCACGGCAACCTCCAGGAGCACCACTTCGTCCTGGGCCAGGCATGCACCGCGCACACCCAAGCATCGTGCAGCTGGCTGCAGCTGGTATTTTGCCTCCGCAGGGTATGCCCGTCACCCCACTGGGTCAGGCCCGCTTTCCGAACCCCATGGTTCCGCCGTCTCCGCTGCCACCGCCATTTGTCCCACGGAGTAAGCGTACGCAAAGTGTCGCCACGGGCGGGCCTCCAAAGGCTGTTCTGGGTGGCCCTCAGGGCAAAGTCATTGCGAAGCCTGTCGTTGTCGCTGCTGCCGCGCCCCAACCAAAGGTGAAAAAGGTCATCGTCAGCCTTCCAAAGGAAACTGTCCAGGAGGGCGAGCAGAAGGGATCGCGTCAGCAATGGGCGAGAACGCCGCTTCCACTGTCTGAAGTGGTCAAGCACGGCGAAATGCCACCGCCGGAGCTCGTTTCTGCCGAGCCATTCCCATCTGACGCATGGCGAAAAACCATTCCGGTTACAGTAGACGTGTTCTTGCCGGGCAAGGTTGTATTTCTCTGTTATTCACCTCTGACGACGTGTCAATCGCTTAACGGTTTGTTTCTAGCCCGCGTGGAAAATCGTGAAGCAGAAAATGATCGAGGAAAAGCTGGAGAAGCTTGGGGTGGAGAAGGGTTCAGGTAGTTCTGTGCCGCATATACATGCGCCCCACGCACGAGCAGCATCGGTGTGTCCCCTTTTGTGTCTTCTCCGCTTCTGGGTGTGCACGACTTTGCTGAATACATTTGCAGATTTCTTCACCTGCAGACCCGGCCCTTCTCTACTTCAAGCTCAACAAACTACAGCAGTCACAGAATGCTCCGGGATCGGGCCCCATAGCTGTGTCCCCACAGCTACCCGCTGGCACGTCTTCGTCTCCGGGCGGCAGCGTTCCTCCTCGTTTCCAAAACCGTCATGGACATAGTCTGTCGCTTGCCCACTCAGGCACGCTCTACAACCCTTCGGCCGCTTTTAATCCATTTGGCCCATCAGCAACGTTGGGATCTGACCAGATCTTCCAGCGTTCGTCGCCCGGTGCGCCCGGAATCACCGCCAATGCCGAATCTGCGCCGCTGCATGCACCGCAAGGGCGCGTTCCTGCGAACGTCAATTCTCTAGCCGTGCCCGCCCCACTTTCACGTCCGGAAAGTCGACCAGATTTCAGTCGTGGGTTTGGCTTGGACGTTACAGAGGAAGAGGAAGAACCGCCAGAAGAGGAACAGCGCGACGAGGGCGAACTTACCGATGCACTTGCGGACGCGACGGAGACGACTGACGAAGACCCGCTTGCAGATGGTACAACCACGGCGGCGCAAAGCAGGATCCACTCGCGTCACGTGTCTAAATTATCCGCCGCTCTGTCTCTCTGCTCAGTTGGCAGGAATGAGGAGCAGGTCATTCTCAACAGCTCTACACCTCCTATGGCTACGTTGAAAGAGCCAGAAGGAGAACAGGAGGTCCTTGACACGGATGCCGTAGAAGAATGGACCGGTTCAGAAGATATGAAGGAGACATCCGATGACGAGGTTTGTCCGCCTTATGTCCTTCGCATCATTGTGTTTAATGCAGAACTGGTTCCTTCCAGAGTATCGGTGAATGGTCGAACCCTTCCGATGAAGAAAGAGCGCGGCAAGACCGCCTTCATCGTCGTATGCTGCGTCGGGCTAGACGAATTCACCGAGATCTTGAGGCTCCAAGGCGGATCCCCAACTTCCCTCGTCCTCCAGAAACTTTCCTGCCTATATCCAGTCGCTCAGACGACGACGTCATTTCCAACCCGAGTGACGAGGACAGAAGACAATATCTCGGCTATAGTCGTCCGCAAGAATTCATCCAACCGACGTCAAGTCACAGTAGTAGCAAAGGCAGACCTCTTCCGCCCTTACCTCATTCGCGGACCAACTCTGCTCATTTCTCATATCACGATCCAGCTCTTGCACACTCACGGGAGGCGTCAAATTCCTTAAAGCAAGGCGGTGTGCTTTCTCACCCTGCTTCGAATCAGTCTCCCACTCCTGCTTCGAACGTTCTTCGGACTGAATCACTCAATCCGCTTGCTAAGCCGTTCGTGTTCGATATTAAACCAACGTCTTCCACTGTAGCCCCTGCCTCAGCACCTGCACCTGCCGCACCAGCTGCTACCCATGTTCGTGGCCCATCGTTCAGTAAACCACTCAATGTCGCAGCGCCCGAGTTCAAGCCTGGAGGTTTCACATTCAAGCCGCCACCCGGCGTGCCACAGCTTTCCTTCCCTCAGCCCGCGCCTCGCCCACTGCCCACGCCGCCTATTGTATCAACAGAGCCTCGGGCAACTCAAGGCCGGGAGAAGAGGCAGCGACGCGGATCACATGGCTCGTTTGCGGACGACGAAAGCGCGGACGATGCTAACGACACTATGTCGTCATTCAGGTTCCCACCCCCAGCGGACGACGCGAAGGTCCTTCGTCATTCCGCACCTGCGAGCCCGCCGGCTAGCGCTGGGCCTCTTAATATAAATGCCAAGCCGCTTACGTTCTCCGGCTTCTCCTCAGCGTTGCACTTCACGCAGGACGACAGCGTGCTTCCTGCTCCACTAGTGGCTCAAGGTGATGCTCTCGATAGTGGACCTGTTGCTGAAAGTATGCAGAAGCCTGATCATGCTGAACCAGAGGCCGCGACCGAGCTGCCGTTCCCTCCTCAAGCCAAGCCCAAGCGTGCGCCGATTCCTCTGGACTTCAAACATCCTGTCTCGACCAATACCGTTCCCGCCGGTCTGTTCAAGTCAGTTATCAATGCCGACAACGATGAGCGCACCCGCCGCCAGGTGCGTTCCCGGCTCAGCTCCAGAGATATCTTCGAGCACAGCCCACGTCCTTCGCTCGACGACCTTGCCGTCCCTGCAATCGCAAAACGGCCGAATCGCAGGATGCTCACTGACCCTGGCGCGTGGGACCCTGCCGAAGAAGGGGGAGATGAGGAAATCTACAGTCCTCGCCTGCTGCGCCGATCGTCCGCCCCTACACGTCGTGGCAGTATGTCGGAGTCGGAAGTGTCGTTTGGCCCTATCAATGTTTCGAGGACCATTGAGCTACGGCGGTACGAGCAGCGGCTGGAAGCTCTACTAGAAGAGAAGATCGGTTCGATCAAAAAGGCGTTGGAGGAACGGAACGCGTCTGACGTTCCCCAGGCACTCCCCTCTGAGGCTATCGTCGCGGAAGCGATAGCTGCGTTGCGTAAACAGCTGCAAGAATCTGCCATCGCTTTCAGGCCACTTCCTAAGAACGATGGCGATGCAGATGCCCGCGGCGACTTTGACTTCGAGATGCTCAGGGACATCGTATTGCAGAGTCAGGCCGAGTCTCGCAATGCCATCCAGCGCGACCTAGAGGAGCTGTTCACAGCGCGCAGTCCGGCCAACGACTTCCGCAAGTTCGCTGAGGAGCTGAGCGAGCGCACGATGAAGGCGATTATGACGGCGACCTCGCAAGTCACTATGCAAATGCACACGGTGGAGAAGTCGCGCGGCTCGTTCGCAGCGGAACGCGAGAATCTCATTCGGGATATGCTAGCTGCCTTCACGCCCCACCTCACTGCAGTTCGCCACGACCCTATAGACTACGATGTTCTGACTGAACAGTTGTCGCAGGCGGTGAAACCACACATTTCCCAGCTTATTGACCTTGCGTCTGATAAGCGGGAGACTGCCGGACTCATCGTCGACAGTCTAGTTCCTATGCTCTCCAAGATGTACCCGCCGCAACAGTTCGACGCGGACACGGTCGTCAGTCGTCTCTCCAACGAGGTGCGGAGCATCGTATCGGGGCTCGACGCGCACGAGATCAAGGAACAGGTGTCTGACCTGGTAGTTGCTCGCTTGGAATCGAGGTTAGCCGTCCGGGATCGCCACTTTAGCGCCGATGCCGTCGCGGACAGGGTCAAGGAGAGCGTTCGGGGACTGCTACTTCCTCTTAACACGATCCAGAGCTCACTAGATTCCTTGAACGCTGAGACCCCGCAAGCAATCCTCGATGCATCCAACGTGCAGCAGGCAGTTTCTTCCGCTCTAGCAGATCTTCCAGCTCAGCTACGCGCGGTAGTAGAGGCTTTCGGTGAGGTACGGGCGCAATTGAAGTCGCAGCCCGATCGCCAGATCCGAGACGCTGCTTCTGCGGGCGACATGCAACAAGTCCTCGAGAGTATTGAAGATGTCCTTGACGAGCAGAAGCGACTGGTCTCGCAAAACAACGAGTTCTCCGATTTCTGTCAAGACATTCTTAAGCATATCAATGAGCTGCCCGAGGCGATTGTTGAAGCAACGAAGGTCCTCCAGAACGCGCATTCCGACATGTTGTCGCGAGACACCTCGCAGAAGGACGCTGAAGAAATCCGCCACCTCGTGTCGGTCAACGCTGAACTCCAGGTCCAGCTCGCGAAGGCCAGAGGGTCTCATGGGCAAGTTCGGGTTGAGAAGGACGCACTGGCCGATCGGATGCAGGCTGTCGAAATTGAACGGGATAGCTTCCGTGCTAAGCTTGAAGTGGCCGAGTCTTCTAGCGCAGCCAAGGCTGACGAGGTTCGCGCAGCGGAAGCGCGCGCTGTTGAGCTTGGGACGGTCTTGTCACAAGCTCTGGAGCGCGTCAAGTCCTTTGATGATGCATCTCAGAGCAACCAGGATCGTATTCTGCTCCTGGAGACCACCGTGGCAGATCTAACCCACGAGAAGGAGCAGCTGATGTCTCAGGTTCGCTTAACTCGTAAGAATCACAATGGTTTCCTTTTACTAACGCCGTCGAACAGGTCGGCAAGCTTGAGATGAATGCTTCATTCGCCGGCCGCGAGAAGGACTTCCTGACGCAAGAGCTCAGTGCGCTAAGAAAGCGGAACGAGGAATTAGCCACTCAGCAATTACAGTGGGATGAACTTCGCCGCACGTCTGAGCATATGCAGAACTTGGCTGCGGTGATTGGCCGTGCAGATGATGAAGAGATGCAAGAGCTCAAGCACATCCGCGACAACTACAAGTCTTTAGAGGCTGACTACACGGCTCTCCAACGGCGCTTCAAAGATCAAGAAGTCAAGACTGCGAATAACGAGAGAACAGCCCAAGCCGCGCGCCAGAGTCTTTCTCAAGCTCAACAGCGCGCTATCGAGTGGGAGAAACGTGCCAAGGAATATGAGCAGGAACTCGACTCAGCCCGCTCGAGGCTCAGTGAAGTCGAGCAAGTCCAGTCGCAATTGGACGCCGACTATTCCGTGCTGAAACTACAGATGGAAGAAAGGGATGCTGAGGAACGCCTCGCCAAGGTAGGCTACAAACTGCCAGCACAATTCCTCGCATTGACCGTGTGTTTGCAGGACCGCGAGAGCAAGTTACGCGACCAAACTGCCTCTCTTGAGGCACAGCTGGCGCGCGCCCGAGCGGAGACTGCTTCAAAGCCTATCAATGGGACCTCGACACATGCACCCATACCTTCCCGTGTCCGTCAGAACGGCTATACCCGCGCATCTCATACCCATGCACGTCCTGATTCACGTGCGAGTACGGTCTACGGTGATAGCCGAGTCGTCACTCCTGCCGCACAGCACAACGGCTCACACTATGCACCGAACATCCAAGCCGTCTCACCACAACAATCCGTCTGGGATTCCATCCATGCACCGACTGCTAGACAACCGATGACACCGAAAGCCGTCAGGCCGCATTCATACTACCGGCCGCAGATACCCTCACCGACACCGAGTACGGTTTCAGCCGCACCGACGCTCGGCGATGACGGCTGGTGGCAGTGATCTCGCATTAGACTCTGAACAAGACATTAATATTGTATAGCCCGGAGCCTCGTGTGATTGATTCCTTTGTCATTCCACTCTACATCTGCTCGGCAACTATGCGCATCACTCATCTGGGCTCCTACGTCAATACTCACAGCCGCCATTGACTCGATTCGACCGCCGCTTCGGATTTTTCCCTGGACATCCATCACCTTGTTCATTTTCTGCTGATCTTCTTTGCCCCATCATTCTCACCCGGTATACGGGCTGGCCACACTGTTGTTTACGCCGCTGCATTGTACATTGGAATATATTGCACATTAATTTGAGCTTGACGATACAAGAGACAGCTGACGGAGCACACGACTACAATAAGACTAGCGTGATCAGCAAACCAGACCGATGAATACTACCCATCGCCGAGAAGAGTCCATCTGTAGAATCTATGTTTTTCATCCCTCTAAGACTACGCCTTATCTTGAGCCGGAGGCGGTGACCAGATCCACTCCTGCACTTCCTTCTCTGCCACGACTGGATCAGACGGTACCCTGTATAAATGGTTGATCAATTTCATGTCCAACGAGGCAGAACATAGTGAGTTGGTACGTACACAAACTTAGGAATCCAGCGACCGTCCTTATTCTGGGCGAAGAAACGCGGAATGTATGGTTCCGCGTTCTCCTCCCGATGCCGCCTAAGATCGCGCTGGGACTCCTCAACGGCAGTTTTCGCCTCTGTGGCACGGTCCATGTCCTTGGCCAAGATCGCAGCCGTCAACTTCGACCAGAGGCTGTGGTAACGTATGATTTTAATCAGACGGAGCGCACAGCTGCCGAGCGCATAGCACCACGCACCAACGAGACTCATTCGGCTCCTGCTCCTCTTCTGGCGCTACCCACTTCGGAGCAATCTTCTGTCCGTCCTTTTGCACGTCAAACAACGTCCGCTTCTCCCCCTGTTGATGCAAGGTGAACAGAATGGTCAAGAGGTTGTGGCGAGCAGCACGCACCTTGGTGGGCTTGAACTCCATGAGGGAACTCCATCTGCCAGAGATATCACCGAGCTCGGTGTTGTTTGTCGCGCGACGTATACGGCCAGAAATGGCGTTGTACGTGCCGGAGAAGTATCCCTTGGTCTTGAACTGAATGTCGGCGTTGAGACCGAGTCGGTCGTTGCGCGCGGTGCATTGGTCGCCAAGCTCGAGCACCATCTTGCCCCAGAGGATTCCTCGGGCGTACATGTTCGGCATGGAGACCACGTACTCTAGTGCCGGATGAGCCGCGCACGTTACGTAAATCCATACGCCACTCACCGCCGTCATCCGGCCTGCCCATGAGCAGGACGCGATTCTCGCCTTCCATCACCGTAGACACGCTGTTGCCCAAGAACTTGGATTTGGGTCGCAGCTCGCCGAGTATTACCAACTTATTTGCAGGAGAGATGTAGTAGAACGCGGAAACGGGCGGGTGATGCGAGACTACGACATAGTTAGGGACTCCATGAGGCCGGATATCGGGATAATCCGCACCTTGTTCAGCGATGTAGAATCCCCTTGAGCCATCGGGATAGTCGTATCGACAGCGGAAGAACTCGCCAAGAACGGGATTGTATCTATGAAGTCATCGTCAGTTAAAGTAACCCCCTGTCGCGCGCACTTTATAACGAGCGAGGCGGCGGGGAAAGGGATTACACGCACGGCTTCTTCACGCCCTTTGGTTTGATGTGCCAGCCAGCAAGATAGTACTGCAACACGCGTATGAAACGTTCCTCGGGCTCTTCGCAGTTCTCCGCACTGGAGGCAGTCGGGGATAGATCAGTAAGGAGGCGCACGCTGACAGACATTGGAACGCACCCGAAGATGAGATCAGGATGAGACATGAAATCCGTAATACGCTCTAGCATACTCCTTGGCTCCAGCACGAATGTCGGGAAGGTGACCTTGTGCAGGTCCATGCCCACCCTGCGCGCAGTCAGCGTCGCCCTCGAGGGATGTCGTGCGGTACACACCTGAGCTGCGAGATAAGAGACGATATGATAGACCCTTCCTGCTCATCCCTGTACGAGAAATCGCCCTCATCGTCAGCACGACTCAAACGAACCATCTTGGGCGTATCAAATGGGAGAGAGGGACGAACAAGATCGATGTGTCGTCCGGCTCAGTATCCTCAGGGATTTTGTCCTCCAGTGAGGAACCGCGTGGACGCTGCACCTTCGAGGCTGCGTGGTTGAATAGGCCCATCATGGCTAATAATGGAGGAGCAAGTGGTGGATGGACACGTAGGATTGGGGGAGGCAGGAGCGTGGATCAGCAAGAGTCAATTTATGGTTCGGCAGATATGTGTGATTATTATTCAAGGGCTGTGCACGGCGCAGTCAATTTGACAACGGCGTCCGCAACGTTGTGTACGACGAGTTCAACAGCGAGCACGGCAGTGAGGAGAAGAGAGACGGAGACAAGCTGTGTCTCCACTGCTCAGGTGCGTGACGCCGCTCCTGATGACTACCCCGCGATGACAGCTCTATGAGGAGCGCCGGTCCCGTCATACTTTCGGCCGCGTCGCAAGCTTGCCGTGAAACATGTACTATCCGTTTGTAAGCCAGACCGCGACCGATACTAAGTACAGGCTGATATTGTGCCAGCCCCTGCAGACGAAGATCATCGAGTCATTCATTCGAAAAGATAATTTATCAGGCGGCAGACGACTTCAACATTGACACTGTTGCCTATTAGTTTGTACTTGGTCTTGGTAGAAGTCTTTTCTGGCCAAATAAAACTGCCAGCACCTAAGCTTGATGGAGGATCGAAGCAGAACAAACGCAGCAGCTCTTGCGGGGAGAAGTACCGCAGCCGCAAGGGATCCAGTAGTCGAACAGTATCTGCATTGCCTCGCTTCTGCTCGTCTAGGAACCGATCGAAAGTAGCGGTCGTCTACTCATTTATGAGATGCTGTGTGATGATGACAGGGCAAATTACTTACGTCCAGGTCCTCGTTGAGCTGAAGAACAGAGCCCGCCCGTTCTGCAAGTTTCGTATATCCTGAGCACGTAATCGTCAGCTCGGTTCAAACAACCGAGAAGATCAGCCGAAACAGTCGGGTTGACTGGCTAACCTCTCGTAAAGCAGCAGGTGCGCTTCCCGGAGGGTAAGACGATGTCGAACAGGCGTCCCCATTTCTCAAGAACCCTGTCCGGAATCTTGAACTCTTCATTCGTGTCATCCGGATCAAGATACTCGTGCAGCGCCTTTAGGTCGCCAAACAGGACAGGAGCATCCGATGTGCTTCTCGGGTCCGACCAGTCTTCGCCTTGACCTGGGATATGTCGGGCTAATCGTCCGGGCGTACCCGCGTTGCGAAAAGCCAAAGGTCGCCACTTGGCAAGCAAGTAATACCGGAGCCGAGAGTTGGGAGTGCCGAATTGCAGCGGCGTCAACAGAAGCTCCAGACAGTTGTATCCCCGGGCGTCCAGCTGCTCTCTCGTGCTTGAGGCCTAATATCTGCATATTAAGAATGAAATGACTGCTAGAAAAAATTGGCCGAAGAACCTCGAAGCCAGCGACATTCTCTACAAGTATGTATCTTGGCTGCTGGCCCATGTCGACAAGCTCCGGCAGGACGCCCTGAATGAGGTGTGCGAAGGACTTCGCACGCGGGTCTTCAGGGCCCTTCGCCAGCGGGTTTAGCACTGTGTAGGGCTGGCACGACGGCGACAAAAGCCACAGGTCCGCCCGCAGTCCCGCAAGCTCTCCTGCTGTAAGTAGCGATATATCCGCCTATGACGATAGTCACTCATTGCTTCGGTTCGATCGAAGAGGAAGCATACCTGCTTGACTAGACCAGGGCCATAATTAGCCTGATAGACTTGGCATGCAGCCTGGTCCCAATCGTAGGCTCGAATGACACAGCCGTTCACTGTACTTCGCCGCAGAGCCCGATGGAGACCGCCTAATCTCTGGATTGATTGGTAGTATGGCAGAAGACTATTAGCTCACCTATGCCCGAATAAAATTCCACGGCACGAAAAGGAGCTGCACTGGAATCCTCGTGATGTGGCTCAGTCATCTTCACAGTGCCCTCTCGACTCTGAAGCTGAAGCTTGAAGTTAAAGCTGGCCGAGGCAGGGCCCTGGCGCTTATTTACGCTTGCGTGATGATCCTGAGTTTCTTGATGATGCTTACGTAAAGATTTAGCTTCAAGCGATCGTTGAACTGCCCGCTTTGCTGCTGGTCTCTCCCCGCACCTGCCCACTCCTTGACTTCTGCGAAACCTTTTCATTGTATTCTTATCTTCCCAGAAACTTCAAAACCTTGCCTGGAAGGCTCATACCCAGTTCTTTTGCGATATACCTCCTTTATTGCCCCTCTACCATCCGTGGCTGTGAACTTGAAGCTTGGGCATCATGTCTGCACCTGTGAATCCCTCGCGAGGAGCTGGATTCTCTCAAAGCACCAGTGCAAGACATAAAAATGTGGAAAATGCGGTAGCGACGGGTGGGAGAGGGGCAGAACGATTGGGAGACGCGGGCGATGCCATGGACGAAGATGCCCTCGGGCATGCTCAGAGGCCCACCACGTCTCCTCCAGTGGCGGCAAGGTCAAAGCACACGTCGCAGCTGCCTACCCCTCAAAGGTGAGTTTCGTTTGTTGTCAGGGAGGTGACGGGGGAGAAGAAGATGCCGAAGCGGAACACGAGAGCCGCATCGCCCAGCATTGCTAAACCTCGAAGAGGACACTCCTGAGCAGAGTTGCACTCTAGTCCTCGCTTCTGTGAAGGCAAATTTCGGCTGTTCCTGGTGTTTTCTTTCTTTTTGATATAAATTTCGGCATTGATAATACTTCTGGAAGATACAATTTTGTTGATTCTCATGCAATCTCTGCGTTTCCCATCCTTGTTCCTGTCCTAGGTCGACATGTGCTTACCATTGTCTTACAACTAGTCCAAGCAATCCTGGTGCCCTCGCCCAGTCGTTGATCCTCGGCGCAGAGTCGCCGATTCGCGACGGGTTCGTCCGCTTTCGCTCCTCAATATGTCCCTGGTGTGCCTGATAGGTTGTCCGAAATACAGCAACCGTGGGCAACGCTTAGTGGTGATGCAGCCTATGGCACAAGCGCCTCAGGCATTTCCTGCGCGACTGTAAGCATGCAGCACCTGTCAGCAAAGGTGTTAGGGGCTCATATGACACTCAGCGCGAGATTTGGTTCAACGGGATCGTTGATGACACCTGAGTCCAGGTTCGTTCATGTTTCGGATATTCTTGGCCGTGTTTCTTGATGTTCAATCTACAGCCCTACCTTCACTCGGAGACCTAAATCGTCACTTATGTCGTAGGTCTTCTTTATATCTTCCCAGGGTCCCCATCTAATAGCCACGCGCTCAGCTCCATATCACCGCCTAGTACACCCCGAGGTGCCCAATCTACAGAGTGAGTTCGGGAACAATCTGTAGAATTGGTAACAATAGCGTGCTAATCAGTTTCCTTACCTTCCGCGCAGTACCCCTGAGTACCTTTCTACCGTGACACCCCGTCCATCCATTCTACCCACTCCTTCCCCCAGACCCACTGAGCGCACCCCACCTTCGGTATTATCTTCACCATTCATGCAGGCGTCTGAGCTACGAACACCACTGCGGCCGTCTACACGCCGAACCTCCGCGAATAGCCCGTCGCCACCGGCTCTTGCCGATGACATGTTCTCTCCCTCGGCGCCGTCCAAGTCAGAACCGATGCACGCACAGGAAATACACCGTCCAGTGGGCGGCGAGATTCAACGACTCCGAATGCAGATGGCTGCGGATCAAGCGGCCCGAATGCAAGAGACTGAGTCGCGCAGGCCAGAGTACCTCAGGCGCGCCAAACGCCGTCTGTCAGACCCAGACGTCGACTCGTTGCCCACTGGAAACCAAGAGAACGCCGCTCCCAGCCTCGGCGTTGTCGATAGCCCCGCTAAAGGCCGCAGGATCACGCTGTTCCAAGAGACGTCCGAAGAGAGCTTCGAGCAAAGCTTGCTTGCGGGTGGCTACCCCTCATATGGTCACATGCCGTCATATGCTGAACCTTCCACTCCGCCGGCCAATGGCAAGGCAAGCTTGTCGCAGCGCGCCATGGACTGGATTCAGCAGTCGACTCCGGGGTATCGTGCGCCGACTCCTAACAAAACGCATGACACCGAACAGCAGCCGAGCGAAGAGGATGTGCGGAAGCGGAGACGTTTAGAAGCATTCCGCGACTCCAATCGCTCAAAGCCGCTCTTCCCTGTCTACGTCGAAGGACGTGGCAGGGTTCTTCTAGATAGGCCACCAGAAGATCCCTCGCTGTACGAAACCCCGACGAAGAAGCGTAGTCGTAGAAAGAAGGGCGGCGCCACGGACAGCCCTTCAAGGAAGAAGGCGCAGTATATCGAACCAGTTGGAGAGCCTATTGCCCCCGCTCGGCCCAACTGGTTAGATCAGATGTTCCCTTGGTCAATACGGGCACAGGAACGAGCAGAGATTTCGAGGAAGGAGGAGGAAGAGAAGTTGAAGCGGATAGAACGCTACTTGGAGCGTGAGAGTGACGAGGATGAAGAAGAAGATCAGTCGCTCGGACTACCAGCCACAGACGTAGAAGAACCACCCGTTCGTCGAGGACGGGGCAAGTGGGTTCCCCTGCCAGTGAACCCATCAGAGCCGTCGCGCACGCCGACCAAACGTGACTACTACCCTAGCGATCCTGCGGATGCAAGAGCTGCGCTTCTGTCGAAGCGGTCAGTCCGCGCGCTGGCTTTTCGTAGGAAACAGGAACAGGACCAAGATGCTGTATGTCCTGTCTGTGTTGGCAGGGTCGATGGCCAAGAGCTAGTGCAATGTGATGACTGTCATAGGTGGTTTCATGGAGAGTGCATTGGGGTAAACGATCTAGCTCAGCTGGGAAAGGAGGAGGACCCGTGGTACTGCAGAGAATGCCTGGGGTTTCCTCTACCGGGGTCATCTTCTCCTGTGTACGTGCCCACTGACGACCGACCTCTCACCGGTCCAAGACACGACCCGCTGTTTTTTCAAGGGGCCGGGGTACAAGAGTCCCCGCCAGGAATATCATGGAACACGCCGCGCATCCCTAAGACGCCTGTAAGAGGATTGCGCGACTTGACACAGCACATGTCTTCTCGGTCATCATGGGACGATTCCAGTGATGTCGGCCCTCTCACTCCGTCAACAGCCGCCAAGAGTGTGCGGGCGCACCGCGAGCCTTCTGCGTTCGATCCATCGGAAGAGCCGTTCGACCCGACTGCGACGCCGTCCAGAGGTATGCGCTTCAGCGGACCGTTCAGTACTCCGAAGGCGGCGCATATATGGCCCCACCGCACTACCGCCGCTTTCCAGACACCGTCTTACTCTAGCACTGGGCGTCGACGCCATGGAAGTGCGCTTCTGTATCCGCCGCAGTTTTCTGGCGAGTATGACGATTCGCCTGTACGCCACGCGCCCCTCAGAGAGACTATTCGTATTCCCAAGAATGCGGCGGAGTCGCCACTCGCGTCGCGTTCAACATCCTTCCCGCGCATCGAGCGTCCAACTTCACCGCTCGCGCGCATGTCGGGCGGCGGCGGGCGTGCCCGCGCGTGAGCTTGTTGCCTTATTTCTTGATGACTTCTACGAGGGAGCCGAGTTCCTCTTGTTGTAACCTTCGTTGGCGCTCCCTGCTGATTTGGACGCGTGTTGTGTGTACTATCTTGTTGTAGTATGTTACGATATCCGTAATATTTCGTTAACCACGTAGTAGCAGCACAATGTATGCGATATAAATGTGAAAATAAGGCGTACCGTACGGGATGGTCCTCAATATATACGCATTTCGCCCGTCATCCGCTGTATGTCGCGTTGTTGAGGCCGTCTGCAAGAAAGCGGTGCGCGTGACAGTGACCTACGCGTGGGTAACGCATCAGTGATCAGTCACTTTACGCAGCGTCACGAGCTCGCTGGTTGTGCTGTACCTGCATGCATGGTTTGCCAAGGTGACGGATGCTCGTGGAGTTCGATACCTGCACATACATTTCAACTATCGGCTTGGATGCTCGCGTGCACGTACCTCCGACAGAAAAACAAACTCCTCGGCCAACTCGGCTTTGTCTAGATCTCAGGATATACGAATCTTGGCAGTCTGTTTCTCCTTACTCCATGGTCAAGGGTGGCAATAGCGTGAAGTACAACAAGAACAGGGAGGACGGACACGGCGCACTCGTTATCGTTAGAAAAAGGAAACAGCAAGTTCTTCGGCGATGTTAATCTCATTCTTCGTCTGCCAACTTGGTCTACGAGAACATGATTGGCGACTCCCCTCTTTTTCTTCAGTACGTCCCATCGATCATTTACAGCCGTGCTGCGAGCTCATACCTACCATAGAGCCCTAGAACCCACACTTCACCAGCTCCTCACCTTCCTAAGTATGCATCACCTCGTCCGAATCGCATGTAAAAGTATAAGTGTTGATAAGTAACGATACTAGCACTCAGTGACAATACCTTTGCCGAAGCGGTAACTTGGACTCCGCTGCAAATACTGCGTCATGACTGATGACTTGGGGGGCGGGCGCAATGCACGAACGAAGTGAGTATCTTGATGTTTTAGCGCGAGTCGAACATGATACTCTTATAGTCAGATATACTTCTGCGCCCCCTTGTCTTACTTATGCGCTGTCGTGGAGGCCGGGGTTACGGATGCGCAGGCGGTGCGAAAGGCCGCACTTGAGGGTCTTTTTTTTCCTCCTGAATTTAAAGTGCTACCTACAGAGGGTAATGTACACCTGTCTACTAGCGTGCACTTGAGGGTCACCGCTTCGGTCCCCAAAACTTACTTCACCACGCTGTTCCAGGCGACACGAAGGCTGTCCTGAACAATACGCACGAAGTCGCCAACATCGTCGGTACACATGCTCAGGGCGGCGCGTGGGGGTAAATAGGAGTTCGCAAATTGAATCGTGAAGAATTCATCGTGTTCTGATGTGCTGCGGCCCAGAGCGATGCTTATGGTGAAGGCGCTTCGTCGCAGCAGTGGGTGAGCGGCCTTATGATTTTATGTCTTGAGCCTACGGCGAGTTTGATAGGCACGCAAAACCAGAACAATGTACGCGATGAAGACGTGGCAATATAACGTGGTACATGACCCTTGCATGGTATATTTGCTGCCCGCGGTCGTTGTCCTCGTGCGCAACCTGCGTGCCGGTGGCCCATTAGTCACCAGATTATGCACGTTGTCACGAGCCCCTCCCGCCACCTTCAAGCTATCTTCTTCCTCTACTCAGTGGGTCTGTGCCCTTTATGAAGAAAGGCCTGCGCTGTTAGGGCAGGCGCGGATGGATATAGCAGGATATGGCGAGCAGATGTTTACGGTACGATGTCAATTCGTATTTCAAAGCGTTTTCTAAACAAATCCGTCCGCAATCCAGATTGTCACTCGTATAAAATAAGGACAGCCGGGACGCTGTTTGACGGAGTTAGTAGCATAAATGTTCTGCTCAGGTCACAGTAACAGCTGGATACTGTGGCTTGGTCAAATCATGAGTTGCTTCGTCTTTCGTCACTGCAGACTACGAGAGTGTCGCGGTGTTAATTTGGAGCTCAGGTCGCGTTCTTACCTCGTATGGTTGCCTACTATTCGAGAAGCCTTCGGACGCATTACGGTATAGGTATCGTGTCGTATGTTCATATAGTGTGTGTCTTGACGGACAGCTCGCCCGTCCTCTGCTTACTGGATGGAGGACGCGGAGCCCGTCAGATGGGAGGAGCGTGTATGACCGATTTCATCTTGATCGTACTTAACAGCTACATTATGGTTCTTGTATACCGAGCTATCTGTGAGTCGGCCAGCAACGCCCACATTTCTGTGGACTCTGGTTTCTGCTGTCAGCTCAGTGGTCTCGGCCCTTACAGAGGGAGGTCCTTTTCCAGTTTCCGGCAGTCCCTGTCCCACGCTCATACTCCGAACTTTCCTAGCTGCAGTCTGATGCTTACGCGTACGAGGTTCGAGCGGTATTTAAGGCGCTTTGCTGGCAAACTGGTTTTGAGTTCACCTTTGTTCTCTTGGCCTTGTACGCTGCGTCGACCGGTCCTCATCCCAAAGTCTCGCACGACAGAAGCCTTGGCCATGGAGTGTCTCCTTCCACAGATACTGCAAACAGAGGAAGGTTTTCGCTCAGCTTTGAATTTTTTTGAAGCACAGCTCTCAACACGAACCCCGAGAGTGGATCGCGTGATCGAGAGGATCTTACAGCAGGATGCATTACTAGAAAGGTTCCTTTCAAGTAAGTTAGGACTCTTGAAGCTGGCTCGCCTATCGGTATGCTTATCCTTGTTGCCATACGCCAGAAATGTCCCAGAAATCCTTGCAGTCCTTTGGCGCGTACTTGAAAGACCAGTGCCCCGGCGATTCCACGCCAAATTTCCTGCAATCTCTACCTCTCCAGATTCTCCTTCGATTTGAATTCTATCTTGCCTCTTGTATACCCGTCCCCTTCGAAGATCTGGGTGACCAAGTCCGCAAGCATTCTACATCCGTCAAACAAAAGTTGGCGGCCCTCAGAGCCCTGGAGCCGTATTGCGAACTAGGACCGTTGGAAACCATTACTTCATTGTCATCAAGGATGTTCGTCGAGTGCGGCGAGAGAGTACCGAGGACAGGCCAGGAAGCGAAGAAGCTCGGCGAACGATTGGTTCGCGACTTGATGTTTATTCTAAAGGTGTGTTCCGGAGCTAAGCTATCTTGCACTCGTTTCCTTACGTAGGACTACTTCAGAGCTACCTCAATATACTGAGCGATGGAAGGCTTTCCGAGGCTATCGCAAAGCATCAGCTTTCGCTTCTTGCTTCCGACAGCGGACCCAGCGGGACAACGGCCGTTGAGACACCGGAAGATATCGTACTTTTGGACCTCTCCATATCACGCAAGAAGGCTTCTATGACGCTTGACACGATCGACAGGTTTGGCCCTGTGAGGATCACGGTATCTACTCGCTTTATCGACAACATGCGAACCAGTCGAAGGCGGCCGCGGCTGTTTGCCAAAATCAAGAGCACCGTGATGTACACCCAACCCGCGCGTCTCAGCTGAGCCGATTTGTTGACACCTCTTAAACAGGGATTTGGCTCAAGGAGAGATGCAGGGCCAGAATGGGATGATACTAGCGAGATCAGACGAGGGGAATGAAATATACAGCGCATTCCTCAATAAGTATTGTTCAATGGTGGTCAGTAATGCACGACTGGTGGCACGAAAAAGCTTGCATCTGATTATAAAGTCTAGTACTATTGTCCAGAGGCGGACGGTATGTTGGTACCTTATTCTCTGCGCTTACACATTTATTGACAGAATACGTGAAGAAATCCGGATATTTGGTATCTATACGACTGGTCACCTGGAGAATCAGAAGTTCTGGGCCGCCGCAGCGAAGGAATTATTAGTTCTGCAACATTCGTGAGTGTCGTCTCTCCGAAATGTACGATGGGCGAATTCCGACCAGCTATGATCAGAGGTGAGACAAGCGGTTCGCTGGCTGTGAAGTCTCCGGCGATCGAGCCCGAGCTTGCTGATCAGGTATGTAGTTGTAACGAATCCTTTGAGGCCAGTTCTAAGCCGGTGACGCGATACAGATTCGCTTCCTCGTCGTGTGAGTAACTTTTACATATACAATGTCCACTGTCTTTGACAGTCCCCAGCCTTGACCGTTTCATTGAGCTTTCGAAGGTGTGTGTAGTAGTCTATGTTGTCCTGGAACTTTCAGGTGACGCCCCGTCTCTTCTGTAGCCAATCATGCAACGTAGGCACACAGATAAACATAAGATATTCACTCTGCTGATAGCGTTGGACGCGCAGGAATCCAGGACGACAAAGAGATACAAGCAATGTTCGAACTATCGTGAGCCCATACCTCGAGTACTTCATCCCGCGCTATCTTATGTCGAGTCGAAACAGCCCCCAGGAAGAAGAAGTCATCGAACACGAAGGCTCCTGCTACGTCTTGGGCCGCAGCGGGACTGGGTGCGTTTATATGTGCTCTTTCTACTCCTAGGCCTCACCTATTGCTGCAGCAAGACGACGATCATGCTATTCAAGATGATTAACGTGGAACTAGCTTGGTATCAATATGGTGGCGACGTGGCTCTGAAGCCTCGTCAACTATTCGTGACCCGGTCGCAGCATCTTGCGGACCGAGTCAGAGAATCGTTCTCAAGACTTCACGAGACTCACGTCCTAGGTGCTAGGTCTACAGGCCCAGCTCACTCGACTTCTTCCATAGGCACGGATCGGATGTCGCCGGCTTGGACCTCTGAGATTCCGGATAGCTTCGATGAGTTGAAAGTGGAACATTTTCCTTTGTTTATCTCCTACGACAAGGTAATGCACCCTCCTCTTGCAGAATAATTTATGTTAAGTTCTACTGCAAGCTCTGTACCATGCTGGAGACGGCCTTGGGACTTGCAACATACTCCAGTAGCTCTCGCACAGGCTTCTTGGCACTTAACGCGACCCCGCTTACCTACGAAATATTCCTCAAGCAATACTGGGAAGTATATCCCAAGGACCCAAGGCTAAATTTTGGTCAGTGTTTCTACTTCGTCTCCGAAAGAGATTCGTATTCACGATTGTCAGACCCTTTTCTGGTTTATGGCGAGATTATTGGTGAGCACTATGCAGTTCAAAATGAGGTTGCACTTACTGAAAGTGCACAGGCGTGATTAAAGGATCAGAAGAGACACTGGCGTCCGGGCGACGCTTCTTAGAAAGAGCGGCGTATTTAGGACTCGGACGCGGATATAGCACATTTGAGGGTCATCGAGAAGAGCTGTATCTTATCTTCCAGTGGTACAGCAGGAGGCAAGGACAGCTCAAGCATGTAGACATCGCAGACAGGTACTTTCCTCTCTATCGAGGCTGATGATATCCATTCATAGCTGCATAGGACTCATGCTATCCTCGAAGCTTTGCGTGAGCAGAAGCCGTCATTCTTGAGAAGCCTTGATTTTGTGTAAGCCAGTCATACCGTATGCAGCTTCACTGGGTTGCTGATACCCATGTAGATACGTCGACGAGGCGCAGGACAACCTTCTGATTGATGCTCTTGGTATGTACTAGCATGTTTGTCCCAGAAGCCGCATTTGAAACGTTTTCCAAGTGATGAGATTATTGTCCAAAAATTCGGACGGCTTCCTCTGGGCAGGAGATACGGCGCAGACAATCTTCGCTGGGAATTCGTTCACTTTCAGCACACTCAAATCGTTTTTGTATCGGGTAGAGGTCTGTTGGCATATTCGATCAATCAATTCGAAGCTCATCATACCGGGCATTAGGAGAAAGAGCCGGTAGTGTACCGAGCGCGACACAAGCCTGCGTTCTTCAAACTTACGACAAACTTCCGATCATGCGGCGGAATTGTTGCTTGCGGTCAGACCATTCTGGACATCATCGCGTCCTTCTGGCCCTCCACGCTTGACCAAATTCCAAAGGAAGTTAATCTCTCCTGCGGAACTCGCCCGTACTTCTTTAGCGGTGAGGAGGGAAGTCAGATTCAACTAAGAGAGCTGCTGTCGGACTCAAAGTAAGTGCATAGCGCATTCCGGTATTTGGCCTGTCGCGTGATGCCCTTCATATAGCAAGCAACTTGAGTTCGGCGCTCAACAATGTCAGTTCGCTGTCCCTTGTTGCTGAATAGATCTAAAAGGCTGCGGCTACGACAGGCATCTTGGTGCGAAATGACGATGTTCGCGACTCTCTTCGCCCTCATCTCGGAGATTCTACGTTGCTGTTGTACGTAATGGCATCATCATCAAGCCCTGGTTCTGTTCACTCATCAACGCGACTTAGGACGCTTTACGAAAGTAAAGGTCTCGAATTTAACGACGTACGTATCTAGCTCTTTTTTTCTCGTCTGTGTTGCATCATGTTTTCTGTGCAGGTTCTACTCTGGAACTTCTTCGAGGATTCCAGCTATGACAGATCCGATTGGGTGACTATAACGAGGGACGGACTTCCTCCTCGTGGTCTAAGAGGCCCTCCAAAAGGACTTACTATCGAGGTAGGTTATTGACTAGCTTTGAAACGACATGTCATGACGGGTAGTCAGCTGAAATTCTTGTACGTCGCTACCACACGCGCAAAGAATCGTCTATGGATCCTCGATAACTCCGCGCAAGCAAAGGTTATTCAGGTATTGCTTTCGCTAGTGTCTACTGTATTTTTTGCTGAAGACAACGTAGAACATGTGGGCGGCCCAGGGCGAGATCGAGATGGGTACGGACAACCTTGATCTATCTCGGTTCGCCGCTGCTTCGGGACCGGAGGAGTGGGCCCGGAAGGGTCGCGACTTCTTCAGAGAAGCACGGTACAAGCTTGCGGCCCAAGCCTGGCGCGTGGCGGGGCTTCATCATGACGCGGCAGTCGCGAACGCGTTCTACCTCCGGGATCAAGTTGAGGTCACATCGATGACTGGCTCACAACGTGCAAAGGCCCTCCGGGGAGCTGCAGATGCTTTCTTGCTGGTAGCTGCTGAAGAGCCCGTCAAGCCGCGGCAGGACGAGTACTACGTTGAAGGCGCAGGGTGTCTTCTGCGAATCCCCGATACTCCCAAAGCTGCCTTCACCTACTTGCAAGGCTGCGAATACACTCGTGCCGTACGGCTATTCCGAAGTGTCGCCATGTTTGACGAAGCTGTGAAAGTCATTCGTCAGCATTGTGTGGATTCAACGGCAGTGGTACAGGTGATCTACGTCGCAAAGCTGTACTACTTCCAGCAACTTCGTTTGATGTAAGTACTAGATGATTGATGACCCATGTCCTTCTCTCATTTAAGCTGCTTCGCGGTACAGAGATGCGATTGCGCTGCACTCATCTCATCAAGAGGCCTTAGACTTTCTTGATGACCATGGCCTACGCCAAACGAAAGGAAAGGTTGTCGTCCATCTCAGCCTCCATACGCAAGCAGCGGAGCTCCACCTTAGAGCGAACCGCCTCATAGAGTGTCTCAAACATTACCGCATTGCGAAGGAAAGTGCATCTGCTCCTCTCTGTTTCGACACGGACGTTCTTCTGGGATGCCTCTGGCGAGAGCCTGCTTTCTCCATTATGCTCAGGGCGAAGCATGCGGCAGACACACAAGCCTCGGAAAGGCTGTCCAGTCTGTGGGAGCTCGTCAAGCTGTGGAGTGCGGCGCAAGGAGTCGATGAACCTTCTTGCGTCCAAGACGAGGTACGTGTCAAGGTCTACATCGCTCCTGATCTCGGCTGAACTTGCTCTAGATCTCAATGTTCAAGGCTATTTCGTGCGGCAATGCAAATTTGCTCGAGCATCACAGCAACTCGTTCATAACGTCTAGCAATCGCAATCGCGCTGCCGCTCTACTTTGCCTCAGACATGCCCTTCACCTCGCTCCAGTCCCTGACAAAGACTCAAGCGCAGTTGAGGTCTGGGGCTGGCTTCGCCTGAACTCTAAATTTGTCTCTATCATTCGCTCCATCTTGCTCGATCCCGGGTATTTAGAGCATCGCGATATTAGACGATTGGCCGGATTCCGCTCGGTATCTCCAAGAGAAGTCCGTCTGGTACCCCAAAGTCTGGCTTTGAGTCTCATATCTCAAGCGAGACACGTACCGTTGGCTCGAGACGGTCCTCAAGTCATCAAAAAAGCAGACCTCTTCCCAGCAATTGCGGGATACCTTCGCGAACTACTTCTCAGTGCCGTAGACAAGGTCAGGACAGCATGTCAGAACATGCTGTCGTTACACGATATTGGCGGGGGAGACAAGCCCGAAAGACCCACCGGCTTACGTCTCGTGCTTCAGTCGATTCTCGTTGAGGATTCTCTTCGCGGCTTTGAACCTGTGGAACGTCAGACGGCGCGTGAAAGGTAAATCTCCTCGCCATATCTTTGTTATTTTTAGGCTAATATCTCGTAGTTCATGGCTTGAGACCCTATACAATGTCTTCATTCGCAACAGTCCGGCACCTATCCCTTCTGCCATGAAGGCAATACGAGAAGCACCCGAAGGCCAGATCTGCATCCAGATCTTCACTGGTTGGATCCGCAACGTGCTCAAGGATATTCAGCGGATAGAGGGCGAGCAAAAACTCACGGTTCTTGTACAGCTTGCGACTTTGAGCACAATTCTGGACCCCGAGGGTATTGTCGCTCATATGGGTCGGGTTCGATTAATGGGCCTCAACGCCCCGTCCGGGTGGCTGCTCGTGTACCCACCGCATGCGCGATTACGTGACAAAACTGCACAGTTCGTTCTCAACGATCTTCTGGACGCAACAGAGGGCATTCAGCCTTGGTCTCTGCACAGTGGCGTCCAATTCTTGAGGTGAGTCCCCCTGAAGGTTGGTGGTTGGTGATGTCGGCGACTCAGGCTGTTCTCTCGATATTAGGCATTTCGTCAAGACAAAAATCGTGATTGATGCGAATACCTTGTGCGACTTTATCGATTACCTCCTTGGCAGATTCGCGGTGGCTCTGTGTGGGGCTCAGGGCGAAATGGCTGTCCCAAGTAACGGTGCACTGCTCGTGTTGCAGAATCTCGATCGTTTGACAGATCAAGAAACTGACTCGATCTCGGCGCTTTTGGACGTTCTCGGCGATATAATGCGACGAGTGTTAATGCCCAAGCAGAACGGTGTGTTTCGGACGGTCTCTCGCACGCTACTACGTCCCGCTAATATCTACTCGCAGTGACAATACGCTCCGGGGCCGAGCCTTTGAAGAAACATCAGCAGTATGGAATCATAATTAGAATGTACGCCTAATATGTACACGTCTTTTGATGTACTGTGCTAATTTCTGTTATCCACGCAGCTGCCAGAGCATGGGCATACGTACGTCCACTAACACTAACCTGAGTAGTCTACTGAAATGTCTTCCCAGTGGGCTCGACTGTCGATAGCCACAGTCTTCGTCAAGAGATTGTCGCTACCATGGCACGGCTCAGGTCACGCGACATAAGAATCGACTATCCGCCGGCCCTGAGGTTAGTATCGTGCGATGTCTGCGATGGAAGAGCTTTGATGTGAGCTAAGCCGTCGTACATCTGCAGGTTTGCTTTGGCCGAGGGCTGGAGCCAAGTCGCGTCGGAGATTTCCAGTGTGCCTATTGGCCGCCTAATTCCCAACGTCCTCGATAGTGGCGAAGTACACTACACGCTGACCTTTGGACGTCTGTCGCAGCGGTATAAGCAAAAGCAAAAAGACGCGGACGCATCCATAAGAAACGCGAAGGACGATGGGGTGCCATTCGTCGAGGTCACCACTCCCGCCACTATCGAATTTGCAACGCTTTGTGCCATCGACGAGCGCTTTGTCTTCCTTGAACCGCTAGTCAGGAGGATCTTGTGTGCGCGTCTGGCCGATGTAATGGCCTGCGAGCTTCCCGGCTACGACGAAGTCCGGGCTTTCCAGCGAATAAAGTCGTTTCTCCGTCCCCGGCTGGTTCGCAAGAGGAAACTTCCTCGATATGGACTGTGTCACCTTGCGTCAGACCATTTTGAGGCATGCTTCAAACGTTCGCACGAGCTGCAGCTTTTACGCACCGAGCGCCACCTATTTTTGGGACCTCTTCCGCATGTTTTGGCGTGCCTCGATGGCCTACGCATGCACTTCGAGGTGGAGAAAGACTGTCTCAGCAAGAAGCTGCAAAACGCTGCGCACATCGACCTGGACGACGCCGGAGCGAATGTCATGCAGGCGCAGTAAGATATGTTTGTCCGGCATCCGTGATGAAGCTCACATGAATCCATAGTGCTCGCCTTGCAAAGACACTCGAGCTGCAACAGCTGCTGTCGCCACGATCCAGCCTCTACTTACGCACGGGATGGCCTGCCTCATTCCGTTTACATGTCGAACAGGTTGGCAGTCTAGTGAAGGAAGCGAAGCTCGAGGAGCTTGTCCGCCAAGATCTCATGGCAGAATGGGATCTGGTACACAAGGCTGTATTGTACACCGGCAGAAAGACTTGGATACGCTAAGGTAGAACCATTGTTTCGCACCATCTTACTCTTGAACTGTCTGTATTGCCCATCTTAGCTTTTCAATCTACATGCTGTACATTTCTCATAAAGCTGTGGAAGTTTTAGCCAAGACATAGGCAGCGCAAAGCGCGCAGAAACCATATGCATCCTGTTCTACCTTACGTGGTGTATGCCTGAGATGGCCTTGCACATAGGCTATACATCGATTGGCCTGAAAAAGATCTAAGGCGGCTGTGCTTCCAGTGATCAGGGAATGAAAATACGTGTTAGGGGTTACAGAAGGGTTCAGATAGTCACACACAGCAGAAAATCCGTACAAACAAGCAGACCAAGTCTGGGCACATACATCAGCGCTCCAATAATTCTACAACAACCAGCCATACTGTTTTACTCGGCTTTTAGTACATCACCACCACATGCCCGAGTGTCTCTCACACTTAGGCTAGAGCGGCGAAGCCGACAGCATTCTGATCGAACGAGAACACAGTGTAGACGTTCTTCATGAAGCTGTCGCCGAGCAGCCACACGCTCCCGAGTCCGATATCCTGGCCTGCGAGTGCGCCGACGCACTGGCTGCTACCTTGATGGGTCCGACCGAGGTTGAAGCTGCAGGACGGAATCAGCACGGACTCAGGCACAACAGGGCATCCGACCCACTTGGCACTGGTGACATCCCATGTCTTGCCACCCCAGTTGAACCCGACCGTCAGCGGCGAGTTGCACGGATACGAGTAGTACCCTTCCTCCGAGTCGTACAGTCTGCTGCCCGAGACTGCCGCGTAGAAGGTCTTGACCGCGCTCGGCGGGCCGTACATGATCGTCGTGCCCGAGTCGATGACGGTCTCGAAGTCGGTGTTGGGGTTCTTGGAACCGACGACGCTCTTCGCACTGGTCGGCTGCCAGAATCCCGTCGACTGGTCGATGTCGTGGAACTCAATCGAGCCGGTGTACTTGGACGTGTCGGTGCCTCCGAGGAAGAGCTCTGAACCACTGGAGGCGAGCTTGAAGGCAAACTCGCCCGCGCTGACCTTGCCCTGGTCGATGAGCGCGTTGAAGACGGGGGTCTGGCGCGGAGAGCGTCAGCGTGTGTAAAGGAAGTTATTGTAATGGAAGAACCTACCGCGTTGAGGTTCGAGACAGCGGGGTAGGCAAGACCCAAAATGCCGTCAGCAGGGTTGCTCTGGAATGCGCTCGAGAGCGTCGTGACCGGAGATAAGTACTGGTTGGTCACGGTCAGGCCAGCAACGGTTACTACAAGGAGATATTAGCTGGGTTCATGGACGTAAGTTCCAAGAAACCCACCGGTGTCGGTGTAAATGGGACCAGAGACAGTCGAATTATCAGCGTACTTGATAGAGAAGGTGCCATCTTTCTTGGAAGAGGTCGAAGACGAAGAGGCCTTGTACATGTGCTTGCCGCCACAGCTCGAGCAAGACGAGCTGGGGACCCACAGGTCGGACGAGCCGGTGTCGAAGTTGATTACGAATGGCTGGCCGGGAATGCCGATGGAGATCGGGCCCGTCCACAACACATCGTCATCCTGGTCCGTCAGAGGATCGGAACCAGTATCACGCTTCTGCAATGCGGCGGAGGCAGTGCGGAACTCCTTGATCTCCCAGCCCTCGGGAAGGCTGCCTTTGTTTGCCAGCAGATTCCGGAGGTTCTTCTGGTACTTGCTGCAGAACGCACGATGGCGTGGTCAGAACAGAAACGCGGCAGAGCAGTGGACACTGCACTTGTGAGTCTTGATATTGTGCAGGATGGCCTTCTCATGGTCGAAGATACCATCGGCACGAGTCAGTGTGCTGCGTTCGCCCAGCGCAACGCTGACACCAGGAGCGTGGACGACGGGGTTCGCGGTGGCGAGGAGAGCAAGAACTACGAAAACGAGAGTCACTTTGCAGAACATGTTAGGAGGCAGGCGAAGGCTGAAGGAGCAGGAGATCCCGTTGGTCTGCAAACATCTTTTGTCGTGCTTTTATGCGTCCTCGACGCGTAGACCCATGCGAATCCCTTGAAAGGCATGCTGCAGGAAAGCAATACGCTTTAGATCGCTTGTTGGCATCTCGGGACGGGTACGGCTAGCGCGATGGCGGCGCTGGTCAGACGGGATCACACCCAGCGGGAAGCCCATGCACCTGCAGGCCGTTGCAATAAAAATGTGGCCTTCGTTATGGTGTTTCGGAGGAAGCCTGGTTGTTGACGCGCCCCGACGCGCCCCGTGTGCGCTCCCCCATAAGCGCCATATCGCGCCACCACCCGCACCCAGGCACCCGACGGCACAGCAACCTCTTTTTTCTTGCCCTTTTCCGATTGATAGTGCCACCAACGTAGGTTAATTTTTCTCTGTTCAGCAGCATTGTTATGGCGCGTAAATACTAGCATTCGCGAAGGTCCAAAAGTCCTCTAGCTTAGTGGGTGACAATATTAGAGGAAACGGCTGCAGTGTTGACTGTGTAACGTGGAGCATGGCCATGCCTCAACATATTACATAGTGTATAGAGTCGAGGCAGCTTCTCCCCGATCAGATTGAGACGACCAGGGGCGGGGAAAAAATTCCCGGCTGCAGGGTCAGATGCAGATAGTTCAGAGTTTACGTGGACGAGCCTCACTGACACCATTGTCACTCTGCGACAGAAACGATCGTACTCTCGTTCGTATCCCTGCGCCACTAGCCTGTGTTGTCAAGCAATCTTCCTGCCTGTGGTATCAAAACACGCGATTTACTGGCACCGCCGCCCCCTTCGCAGGCAGGCACTGCGCTAGTCCGACACGTCATTCCGTTCGCACATCGCGCAGATCAATGATCTTAGGAAAGTAGCGAAGCTCGACGAACCAGATTGTCGGAGCTTCTTGGCAGGGTGAAATCTTGTGTACAAGTCCGAGTCGATGCTGCGCCCTGATCGTAGACCTCAGATATATCCAAGTCTTCTTGCCCACCAGTGACCGATACTGCCGTGCCATCTCGTTTAAGACAGGTCAAAGTGTTACATTCCATCTAGTCGCCCATTGACGTGTCCAAATGTGATTTATACTTGTTACTGTCCTGCGGCGTGGTGGTGCCATCCGTAGCACTCGTACAACGACCAAGACGCGACAGTAGCGCCCCAAGTGATAGATAAATCAAGGATAAGAATTACAAGCTATGAGCCCAAAATGGTCTTACACACAGAACAGAGTTCGTACAAACAAACAGAGCGAGTCCAGGTGCATACATTAGTGCCACCATAGTTCTACAACATACAGGTTTACCCCAGTTTTAGTGCATCATCGCCACATGCCGAGGTGTTTTTCGCACTTAGGCGAGAGTGGCGAAGCCCACAGCGTTCTGGTCGAACGAGAACACAGTGTAAACGTTCTTCATGAAGCTATCGCCGAGCAGCCACACGTTGTCTCCGAGTCCGACGTCCTGGCCTGCGAGCGCACCGACACACTCGCTGCTACCGCTTTCGGTCTCCCCGAGGTTGAAGCTGCAAGACAAGATCAGCACGGACTCGAGCGGCGCAACCGGGCCATCGACTCACTTGGCACTGGTGACATCCCATGTCTTGCCGCCCCAGCTGAACCCGACCGTCGGCGGCGAGTTGCACGGATACGAGTAGTACCCTTCCTCCGAGTCGTACAGTTTGCTGCCCGAGACTGCCGCGTAGAAGGTCTTGACCGCGCTCGGCGGGCCGTACATGATCGTCGTGCCCGAGTCGATGACGGTCTCGAAGTCGGTGTTGGGGTTCTTGGAGCCGACGACGCTCTTCGCGCCGGTCGGCTGCCAGAATCCCGACGACGTGTCGATGGAGTGGAACTCGACCGAGCCGGTGTACAAGGAGGTGTCTGTGCCGCCGAGGAAGAGCTCCGAACCGCTGGAGGCGAGCTTGAAGGCGAATTCGCTCGCGCTGACCTTGCCCTGGTCGATAAGCGTGTTGAAGACAGGGTCCTGGTACAGAGAATGTGAGCATGTACGCGGAAAGCGCGCGGAGGCGGATTCAAGCGCACCTGTTGGAGATTCGAGATGGCGGGGAAGGCGAGGCCCAAGATGCCGTCAGCCGGGTCGCCTTGGAATTCGCTCGAGAGCGTCGTGACCGGAGAGAAATATTGGCTGGTCGCGATCAGGCCAGCGACGGTCACTACAAAGGAATCTCAGCTAAGCTCGTGATTATAACTTCTGAGTAACTCACCAGTGTCGGTGTAAACGGGACCAGAAACAGTCGATCCATCACCGTATTCGATTGAGAAGGTGCCGCTCTTCTTGGAGGAGGTAGAAGACGAGGAGGCCTGGTACTTGTGCTTGCCGCTGCAGGTCGAGCTCGTGCAGGAGGAACTAGGGACCCACAGGTCGGACGAGCCGGTGTCGAAGTCGACGACGAATGACTGGCTGGGAGTGCCGATGGAGGCCGAGCCCGTCCACTCCTCATCGTCGTCTTGGTCCGTCAGCGGATCGGAGCCAGTGGCACGTTTCTGCAAGCTGGCAGGGACCGTGCGGAACTCCTTGATCTCCCAGCCCTCGGGAAGGCTGCCTTTGTTTGCCAGCAGATTCCGAAGGTTCTTCTGGTACTTGCTGCAGAACGCACGATGGTGTGGTCAACACAGAAACACGGCACAGACCAGTGGAGAACGCACTTGTGAGTCTTGATGTTGTGCAATACAGCCTTCTCATGGTCGAAGGTGCCGTCGGCACGAGTCAGTGTGCTGCGCTCTCCCAGTGCGACGCTGACGCCAGGAGCGTGGACGACGGGGCTCGCAGTGGCGAGGAGAGCGAGAGCCACGGAAACCAGAGTCGCTTTGCAGAACATGATGTGGCAGGCGAAGGTTGGGGGAGCGGAGGGGAGCAGGAGAGCCTGTTGTTCTGTAAGCAGCCCTCGGACAGGCTTTTATGCACCCTCGACGCCTTGACCCATGTGCATGCGTTGGAAAGCATGTTGCAGGGAAGCCCGGCGCACACTATGCCTGAAATCGCTAGTTGGCTGGGTGGATGCGACTAGCACGGTGGCGCTGGTCAGGCGAGATCACGCCTAGCGGCTATAGTAGTCCACCCACCTGCAGGCAGTTGGGTACGACAAGAACCACATGCTCTCCGCCATCCCATAACGATGGAGCGGTCACTCTTAGAACCGCATGCGGAATAAAGGTGTGGCCTCCGTCGTGGGGTTCGGGAGAAGTCTGGTTATCGTCGCCGGAGGCGCATGCACCCCATCAAGCGGTGACTTCGGTGAGCGCGTACGTAATCACAGGCGGGAAACTACCATGCGGCGACGAGAGCGGTAGCCTCTACTTCTATTTCTCTGTCGGTATTAGCATCGCATTGCAGCGCAGATTTTTGTGACGTACACGCGGCACCTTGGCCATTTCATTGCCAAATTCCGGCTCAAGCTTACCCTCGAGAACCGTCGAAAATGCATAGTGCCGGCGGGATAGAAGTGGTGTGCACGTCACCGCATGATTCTATGCCAAACTTTGGCTCGACAAGGCGCAAGAATTGAGTCGTCTGATATTTCCTGGTCTCGCATTGAGCCGGTGAAGGCCGATCAGCATCTATTCCCGCTCCATCTGTATAGCAAATTTGAGCCTTTGTTCTATGATGCCCCACAAGCAAAGTTGAGATGCTTACATGGGTCGCCTCTTGTTGTCTTTCGTACAGCGCGATGTTAGTAAAATGCAGCTCCGAACTTATCTCCGGATGCCACTGCAGATGGTCAGACTGGTCACGGTCGCACTACGTAGCAACAAGCAGGTGGCTGTCATCATCAACTGTCACGGTCCTCATGTTAGAGCTACGCTAGCTATTGGATGTGCCGAGTCTTGGCACGTGAAGCCCAGATGAATGGCCTGCTATGTGAGATGCTGAGAAGCTCGAAGATTTGGCTGAAGTCTTGGCTCTGACGCTATCATGTGGTTGATGTTGGACAGCAGAGATGTGTCACCGCAATTCTGTGAGAATGTCTCTGAAGTAGGGAGTTCTCGCTTCTCGGCGTTGCATAGGCCGCGGGCGACATCATGATGACGGTCGCCGCTAAAGGAGTATTCGCATGTTCGCCTGTAGAATCTGTGAAAACCGTGTAGAGGAGGTACGAAGCGCTTCTCAATGACCCATTAATGTATTCGATGAGTGAAGATGGTTTCGAAGGTCGTGATGGGCTGAAGCAGACTTCTCGTCAATTGCGACAAGGGTCCAGTCCAGATGATTACTGAGATTTCACACGACGACTAGGACTTCCCAGCATGCAGTGATCGATGGAAAGATGCGGGTGGACAATGCAGCGGCAACTTGCAGAACGAGAGGAATGGATGAGAAAAAGAGACAGAGCTTAGAGGGGCCTGATAATGAGGAGAAAAACAACTGTCTTTATCAGGAATCGAACCCCCGACAAGCAGGTACCCAGGTTACCACAACTCTACTGCTTGTCATCGGACGGTCACCATGCACGGGTGGTACCCAACTGACCAGGTGCGTCGATTGTGTCTCGCTCCAAGTCCGTCGATTTTTGCGCCGCTAGATAAACATACGCGTTTACCTATATAGTCTGATGCTCAGCTCGGTGTCAAGCACATCACCATGGTGCTAGATACCAGCATCACAGCCCGATGCCGTGCCTCACCTAAAACCGAAGGGGACGTCGTCGCGGCGATCTTCTTCTGGATTTTAATGCACGGCTCGCACAGATCTGAGGTCACAGGACCACTCCCCAAGTCATCAAGGGTATTCGAACGTGTCAAATTAAATGCCCAGCAACGAGTTTTAAAATCGCATGTTTGTGTCTAGATGAGAACTATGCTCTCTAACGAGACCCTTTCGTCTGTCCTTAGATCGGTTTTGAAACGTAAAACGACATTGCGTGTTGGTATCCCGTCAGCAGCGCCTTTAACACCGCCGGTTTATCGCTATCCACGACAATAAAATTCTATCTCATTTGTGTACTAATAGCTCGCTCGGGCTGAACTTACTGGCGTTGCAGCAGGTCATTGAGTAAAGGATAGGTCCTGGAGGTACGATACTCCATCCTTTGGAAGATGGGTTGGGAAACTGCGAAAGCACAAACAACTGACTGTTGATAGTGACTCTGAAGTTATCCAAACATCGATGCCAAGACGCGCCTCACCTAGAGTACTCGCCGATGTTAGAGTTGGATGGATTTTACTCGGAACAGTACCTGCGTCTGGACCATCAGTCGAGCATCTTCCTGCTGCACGCGTGCTTCATCATAGACATTCCATTTGGTGGACGAAGTATCATGTGAGCAACACGCTTCTCACACACCTGAAGAAGGTCCCACCCTAGACTTCCGTCCGTCCAAGCTGGCTTCTGACCGCACGTTCATGGCGTTATTCACATTGATACATGTCGCGAGATTGCTTTAGGAAGGCCTCTACGTAAGCCCGTATCCCCAATGTTCTGTTCAAAGATGGAAATCAGTGACATTCACATAGATTAAACCTAGAGCTTACTTTGGGGCTCTTCCGTATATAAGAATACGGACGGCAGCGAAAATATTTCGATCTGTGCGTTGATCCTCCTTCTGGTGTCCTTGCTGAAGAAACTGGTTTCATCATGTCGAACTCCTCTACCCTAAATCAGCTATTGATGCGGAACCGTCAATGGGCACAGCTGAACTCGGGGTTATTCCCGAATGGCGATCAGACTCCTAGGGTGAGCAGATCTACTGCGAAGGATATATGATAGGGTAGCTGAATAACGAGCAGATCCTATGGATTGGCTGCTCGGACTCCAGAGTCCCTGAGTCGGTTATTTTTGCAGGCGTACCTGGAGAGGTATTCACGCATCGCAACATCGCGAAGTATATTAACGCGCTAACTCCCTGTACAATTGTACGCTGATATCGAGCTTTTTGCTAAATAGCCAGGTCCAAGCGGGTGACTCGAGCGTGCTGTCCGCTATCGCCTTCGCCGTCACTGCGCTCGGCGTCGAGCACATCGTCGTGGTGGGACACACCAACTGCGGTGGCGTTGGGATCTGCGTGAACAGTGCAGAGGACAAGCCTCGCTGCTTCAATCGGGCGAAGGAAGGATGTGGCCCGACAGAGCCGGAGGAGACGACTCAGTGGCCTCCCCCTCCGCCACTCGACACCTGGCTCGCGCCAATCCGCCAGCGAGCAGAGAAGCTCCAGCCGACGACCGTGCTCCAGCTCATAAAAGATAACGTACAGCAGCAAGTTCAGAACGTCGTGCAGACTGCTACGGTGAGCAATAACTGGGCGGGCCAAGGGAAGGGAAAGCTGCAGGGTGTGCACGGATGGCTCTACCATTTGGAGGACGGGCTCGTGGAGGATCTAGGGTTTAGCGCTAACAGGCCAGATAGATCTGAGTGAATGGACAAGCCTCCAAGTGTTTTCAATCTCGCCAGTTTGCGCGCATCCTAGTTCCTGGGGTATCGATAGGTCAGGTTAGGCCACAGTGACGGTCGGAGGCAAGGGAATATGCGCGCCAGCGTCTGTCTAGTAGTGTCCGCGCTAGTGCCGTGTCTGATCAAGTTGACAGTCATCGCAGTACGACTATTCATATTCATATCTCATCTAAGCATGCAAGTTTCAGCCAAGCGACAGATAGTGGTGGCACGCGCTGTAAACCACCACGCCCTGCCGAGTGAGGCCAAGGAGCTTAAGCTGAGCTAAACGTAGAAAGTAAGTACTTTGATTGGTACGATTCAAACAAGACACCCTGCGTCAGTAGGGATTCCAGCGATGCATCCACGAAAACCATAAAATTAATACCAGGGGGGTTCTAATTAGCCCTAAATGAAATAAATATCATAATAAAATAAAGAAACAAAGCCTTGATACATATAACAGCCTCACCATAATTCTACAATAATCAGTCGTTCAGTGCTATGTACGTCACTGCTACCTGCTCGAGTTATTATGGGACGTAGCGAGGGCAGCAAAGCCGACAGCAGTCTTATCAAACGAGAACACACTGTAAACGTTGCGCATGAAGGCATCACCAATCAGCCAGGTATTAGATCCAAGGCCCACGTCCACGCCTGCGAGTGCACCGACGCACTGGCTGCTGCCGTTGTAGGTTGGACCGAGATTGAAGCTGTGGGACCAAATTAGCATAGACTCTAAGGTGCGACACGCCTTAGACTCACTGGGCGCTGTCGACCTGCCAAAGCCTGCCATCGTCCCAACGGAAGCCGAAGGTCGGGGGACTATCGCACGGGAACGAGTAGTAACCCTCGGACTCATTAAGGGGTTGACTCCCCTCGACCGCCTCGTAGAAGCGCATGACCTCGTTCGGCGGGCCGAACATGTTCGTCGTGCCCGAGTCGATAATCGTATTGAAGTTGTTGTTGGTAACATTGGAGTTGACGACAGCTTGCGCATTGGGCAGCTTCCAGAAGCCCGACGTCTGGTTGACATCGTGGAACTCGATGTCGCCGGTGAACAAAGTATTATCGACACCGCCAAGGAATAGCTCCGAGCCTTCTTCGGTGAGCTTGAAGGCGAATTCGCCACTGGTTACCTGACCTTGTTCGATCAGCGTGTTGAAGACGGGAGTCTGGCGCGGGGAGCGTCAGCGTGTGTGGGGGAAGCGACGGAGATGGAAGACGCCTACCGCATCGAGGTCCGAGAGGGCGGGGAAGGCAAGACCCAAGATGCCGTCAGTCGGGTCGCCTGTGAAAAAGTCGGAAACTATCGTGACTGGAGAGAAGGTCTGATTCATCGCAACAAGGCCACCAATGGTCACTGCAAAGGAATCTCAGCAGAGCTTGAGTATCCGAATCTCGAACAACCCACCGGTTTCAGTGAAAATAGGACCGGAAACACTCGACCCATCGACGTACGCGAGTGAGAAATTACCACTCTCAATGGAAGAGGTCGAAGACTCCGACACTTGGTACTTGTTCTTACCGTCGCAGTCTGAGCTTGTGCAGTCAGAGCTGGGGACCCATAGGTCGGATGAGCCGGTATCGAAGTCGATGAGAAACGACTGGCCGGGAGTACCGATAGTGATGGCCCCCGCCCATTCCGTGTTGTCTTCCTCGTCTGTCAGTGACACGGAGCCAGTGTTACGCTTCTTCAGCTCGGCGGGGACCGCGAGGAACTCCTTGATCTCCGAGCCTTGAGGAAGGCTGCCCGTGTTCGCTAGCAGCTTCCGAAGATTAGTCTGGTACTTACTGCGAGGAGAGGGATCAGCGACCGAAGTATGAAGAGGACAGCGGAGAACGCACTTATAGACTTTGATGGCATGCAGGATCGCCTTCTCTTGATTAAATGTCCCGTCAGCATTAGACAATGTGCTGCGTTTCCCCAGCGCAATCCTAGTACCAGGAGCGCGGGCGACGGGGCTCGCGGTGGCAAGGAGAGCGAGGGCCACATAGGTCAGGATCGCTTTGTAGAACATGACGCTGGGAAACGGGCGAGAGCAGGAGACCTTGATGGCCTGCAGATAGACCTCAGACATGCCTTTATGCGCCTTCAATGTCTTGACTCATGTGCATGCCTCGGGAAACATGTTACGGAGAAGCTTTCGCGACAGACATTATTCCCCAGTAGACAGCCCCCGGAGAGGCAATGCCCAGCAGTCGTTTCAGTTGCAAGCGTGCCTTTATGTGCTAGTGCGATGTTAGTGTTATGTAAGTCTGAGACAACTTCTTTGAACAGGTCCTGGGGAATGCTTACATACGTAGATGCCTGTTGCGTCAGTGTACAGTGCACTCTAGACTGCTTACTGGCATTTTAGGAGCGGGTACGCCCAGCGCGACGGTCGTCCACGCACCTGGTAGTTGTGTATGGCGGGAACCGTATATCATGGTGGAGATCTGTGTCTCAGTACAAGAGCATGTTGGCCGAGATGCCGGTGATGGCGTATCACAGCGGAGTGACTCCGATGGAGGCGGTGCGGGCCAGCGACCAAGTGTCAGCAACTAACAATCCAACTGGACTGAGCTACGACAAAGCTGAGAAGACAGACGAGAGGAATGTGAGTGAGGAAAGACCAGCTCGAGTCTGGCTTGTTATTGAGCAGTACGAGCTCCTTATATACATGTCAGACTGAATATCTAGAGTATCCTACGAATATACAGAGGTGTATAGAAAGTGAAAGAATACTATGGAATCCGGGAGAACCATCCGGATGTGTAATATTCATGACATTACCCCCCCCGTCTAGAATCGTGTCCTCACGATTATTTACCAGTCGATCCAAAGCCTTCCGATCCTCGTTGGGTTTCCGTTAAACTCGACACCTCCTCAATATTGCATGACACAATGCGTTCCAGAATGACTTGTGCGATTCGATCGCCGGCGTGTACCTGAAAAGGTTGATTGGTGGAATTAATCAACACCACGCACACTTCTCCAGTGTAATCCCGGTCTACTACTCCAGCACCGACATCTATTCCTTTGACCGCTAATCCGCTCCAGGGTGCAATTCGCGCATAGGTTCCATGAGGGGCACGCATCGCTATGCCGGTGCCGACAATCTTGCGATCTCGTGCCGGTACCTTAACGCTTTCAGCCGAATAAAGGTCAAACGCAGCGGCTTCTTCTGATCCTTGCTTCAGGAGAATCCCACCCATTCGTTGTACCAAAAGAGTGGTATCCCGCATGAGCATGTGGATGGGTCGTGTCAATAGAGGGGGGATTCTAATTGTCATAGGTGCAGGTTTGTCAGGACGTCTAACATGGAATTCCTGAAGAAGTTCCTGACAATTGGTCAGGTTTGCTCGTGATTCCCAGGAACGGCGATCGCCGTGAGGGCTGTTCTTCCAGAGCACTTGATATTCCAAGTTTCCATTTTGATCACAACGGGAGTCAAGAATTTTTTCGACTTCCCATTCTTCCTCGCCATTTACGAGGTCAGGGACTACCGGTTTACGTCGCTGTGAGGGATACGTGGGTTCTTTGAAGGGACTGAGAAGGCTTTCATTGAAAACAGGGTGTTGTTTCCATTGACGTGGGAGTTCCAATTCGTAGGCGGAAGCACCGACTTTGCGTTTGACCTTGAAGGGTCCATATCGCTTATCGTCGAGCTTCTTCATTGGCCTGTCTGTTCGGATGTTTATCCCTTCTAGCCAGACCTTATCCCCAACCTTGTACTCTGGCCCGCTCTTTCTCTTTCGGTCGTAGAAGCGCTTCATAAATTCCTGCGCTAGACTGATAGCCGCGCTAGTGTCCTCGCGTACTCGATCCATTCTTTCGACAAATTGTTGGACGTTTTCACTTAGTCCCTCTCGTACCGGTTGGGTTCCTTCATAAGGGTGGTACCCTTTATTGACGAAGAATGGAGTATACCCGGTGGATGAATGGACTTTATTGTTGTATGAAAAGGCCGCGAGTGGCAACCATTCGGCCCAATCGGCTTGTCGGTAGTTAATGAATAATCGGAGGTATTGTTCTATTTCACGATTGATACGTTCCGTTTGTCCATCAGTCTGAGGGTGATACGCGGTAGAGGGGTTGGCTTCGATTCCAAGCAATCGGTATAGTTCGGAGATGAACTTGTTCTTGAATTCAGTGCCTCTATCACTGATGATCTTTCGGGGTAGTCCGTGATGTGCCACCACATGGTCGCGAAGTGCTTTTCCCCATCCTTCGGCATTGAGTTCAATGTCACTTGGTATCGTGATTATCTGCTTGGAGTACATGCAGACGACTACGAGAATAGCGTTGTACCCAAAGGACTCCAGTAATACTTCTATCTTATCTACAGAGATTATTTCCCAGGGTCGCGTAGGGATTTCGTTGGGGAAGAGAAGTCCAGTAGGCCGTGTGGTGTGAACTTTGGTCTTCTGGCATTTTTCGCATCCAGCAACGTACTTTCGGATGTCTTCTCAAATTCTAGGCCACCAGTAGTTACGCGTGACCATTTCGTGTGTTTTGTATTGACCGGGGTGTCCTGCCAATGGGGTATCATGGTGATGAACAATGATCTGTTTGCGGAGCTTCCTATTTACTGATATGTAGATACGGTTCTTCCATGTCACGAGTCCGGTGCTATCTTCGTTCCAATCTTTGTCCTTGTTCTGTAAGGCTACGGTAACTAGTGAATCTTGGTTCTTTTTATATTTTTTAATCTCTGCAACCCAGTCCTGGTCGATTCCTTCTAAACTAAATACAGTACTACGAATCAGGGCACAAAAATGTTCTGGTTTTAGTAATATGACATCTGAATTGTCCTTTTTTCCTGCATTGTGCCTCTTTTGGCGAGAAAGTCCGTCTGCTTTGCCATTAGATTTTCCAGGCTTGTGATGCAGCGAGTATTGATATTCTGCTAACTCAGTTACCCATCGGGCCTGTCGCCGGTTGAGCTTCTGCGGCTTCCGGAAGTATTCTAGATTCTTGTGATCCGTCCATATTTCAAACAGATGTATGGCGCCCATGAGGTACTGACGCCACTCATCAAGACTAGTCATGATTGCGAAAAGTTCCTTATCGTAAATCTTGTAATTTCTTTCGGCAGCTGTCATAGCTTTCTATAGATAAGTAACAGGCTTCCATTTGCCATCTTGCTTCTGGGCTAATTCTGCTCCTATGGCAAAGTCCGATGCGTCACATTCTACGCGATAGGGGTCGTTGTCTTTGGGTATGGCCAATACTGGTGCGGAGCAGAGTGCGTCTTTCAGGCTTGTGAACGCTACTTCTTGTTTGATAGTCCATTCGAAGGTAGCATTTCCAGTTAACGAACTAAGTGGCTTCGCTATTTTGCCGTAGTCTCGGATAAATCTTCGGTAGAAGTTGGTGAAGCCGAGGAATGCTTGGATATCTCGTTTGCACTCGGGTCGAGGCCAGTTGACGACTCCTTCTATCTTGACTGGGTCCATGCGGACGACACCCTTTCCCACTATCATACCCAGGTATTCGACTTCTGTCTTCTCGAACTCGCACTTTTCCGGTTTTAGGTAAAGTTTGTGTTCCCTCAAGATTTGCAGAACTTGCCGCGTGATCCGACGGTGTTCTTTCAGATCTTGGGTGAAGATCATGATATCGTCCAAGTAGACTACTACATGTCCTTGACTAATGAGGTCTCGGAATATATCGTTCATCATAGTCTGGAACGTAGCTGGAGAGTTTGTGAGACCGAAAAACATGACTAGTGGTTCGAACAGTCCTCGATTGGTGAGAAAGGCGGCTTTTTCTTCATCACCTTCTTTGATGCGAATATTGTTGTACCCCCATCGGACGTCTAATTTCGTAAAGTACTGTGCCTGCTTCAACTTGTCTACTAGTTCCTGTATCAAAGGAAGCGGGTAGCGATTATTAATCGTCAGCTCGTTTAGCTTCCGATAATCTTGCACAGGTCAAAGACGTCCGTCTTTCTTTTTGACAAAGAAGAAGGGAGAAGCCCACGGGGACTTTGAAGGTCGGATTCTTCCAGTTCTGAGGTTCTCTTCTATGAACTCGTTAAGTTCTTTTTGTTCGTTCATCGAGATTGGGTAGATTTTGCAGCTGATTTGTTGCGCGCCTGGTGTGAGTTCGATTGCATCATCCCACAGTCGTCTTTGTGGTAAAGAGTCGAAGTCTTCTTTGCTAAATACATCGGAGTAGTCGTGATAGTGACTTGGGACGGTATTTTCAAAGGTCTTGGCTTCGTGTTTCAGGCTTTCTTTGATCACCAGGTCAGTGGCTGTGGTACGAATACGTGCTGCTCCCGTTGCAAAGTATGTTTCGTGGTCTAGGATAAAGATTCTATCCCCTTCTTCTAGGTGAGCCTCTGGATTGCTGGGTTCTTCCTGATCGGCATCAATATCAATTAATTGGGCAGCATATTTGCAGGTAACTGGGCACCGATCAAACTGAATGACTTGTTCCTGCCAATCGATAGATGGATTATGAATCTGCAACCACTCATATCCAAGGAAGATAGGAGTCTTCCCTAGATTGGTAACTGCGAACGGAAGTTGTTCTACATGGTTCTGAATTTCCACCCTTAGTTCGACGAAGTCGGTGATAGCACCGCCAGCATTATGCGTGCCATCTGCATTATAGACAGGGATCAGTGATGGCAGTTTCTTTGTAGCGATGTTGTTATCGCGAACAAACTGCGCATCAATGGAGGATCCAGTACATCCTGTGTCTAATAGTGCTTTGACTGATAAGCGCTGCTGCGTGTCCAGGGTGGTTATGATCATGGGAACGTCCATCTGTGTCCCCTTCCTTCCTTGGATGAATTGAGGCTGCTTTCTCAATTCATTTAAGAAGTCTATAGCTTCTTCTTCTTCCATCTGCCTGATTTGGTTCATACAGGCTTCAGAGGCATCAACACTCTTCTTTGAGTGTACCCATTCAGTCAGCAATCTAAGCGCTGAGGCTTCTTTGCTGATTATCCATTGGCGGATCCAAGCCGCTGTCCAAGGTGTGTGGCGCTGCCACTGCGTAGATTCAGTCTGATGTTCTGGTGTAGACAATAATTTTTTATTCGGGGGAATTAAGCAAGAGGGTTGTGCCTCTCCGCGCCGCTCTGCAGATGCCCCTTTTCCCGGTATATACATAGCTACTCCAAACCAAGAACATAGATAGTTTGTAAAGTTACGTTCGGTCAACTCAGCTACACGCCCGGCTGACCGCTTGCAAAACCCTTCATGGCCGCGCGAATTTCTTCGCGAATTGCCGTTTTCCAGTTGAATGGTTCTGCCGTCGCGGCAGGAGCTTCTTGGAGCAATGCGAGGGGTGTGAACGCGTTGGTAGTGGGAACTACCGGGGTTTCTGCGGCTCGTACTGTTGAGCTTGTTGCCGATTGGGGCAATTGTGCGAGAGGTGTCCCTTTTCTCTGCATCGGAAGCAAAGACCCAAGCATCGTGCCTGGTCTAGCTCCATTGGCTGGCCTCCGCCACCGAATGTGACGCCTGTCCCATCGCAACGTGTCTGGACCGGTGCGCTTGCAGTGGGCGTGGCTACGTTAGCCTGTGCTCGTGGCGCACTTTGTGCTTGCTGCTGCCGAGGCTGGAATTGTCCTTGTCGCTGGGGCTGTGGGTTTCGCCGATGGTACTGCTGCTGATTCAGGTCGATGCGTGCGATCCGTTGTTTGTAGAGTGCGTATGTAGCGGGGAGTTCTTCTGATGAATTGTACAGAAGCCAAATGATGTCGGCCCAGAGTGCTTTTTCTAGAAGCGACTTGAGTTCCTGGAAGTGCGCTTCGAAGTTGTGAATATTCGCCTGGAAGGCGCACAATTCAAACTTCGAGAAGAATTCTTGCGCCGATAGCGCTCCCATCTGCATTGCCTGCAGCCTATCGTACGCTTCTGCCTGTTCATCGATTAGGAAGTGTATATCTAAGTCCTTCCATAAATCGTTCGTAGTCTGGATCACGGCATCTTCATCCGTGTCATACTTCTTCATGTATGTGGCGATGTATTCACCCGCATGTCCTTCTTTCATGTACGACAAGATCATAAGGACCCTGTCGAATTGTTCTGGTAGCCGCTTCCTTTGTGTGACTACATACAATTTCATTTGCGTTTTCCAAGCGATGTACTTGGATTTTGTGCCGTCAAAGGCGTCAGGTTTCATCGCGCTTCCATTTAGGAACGCGGCACTATCTTGATTCTCGGCCATTGCGCCGGGGTCAGATGGAGATGCAGGTGGAGTGGGAGAACGACGAGAAGGTGGATCCAAGGTTTCAGAATCTTCTACTGCTTCTTCCAGGGGGTTTGATGGACCCTCTGGTGGTGCTTCAGATTCTCCGAGGGTGATTGAGCGGAGGTGGTCAGTGACCGATTCGAGAGTGTCTCGTTTGGTTCTGGGTTCTGAACTAGATGCTATGGTTTGCGGGACTGCGAGAGATTCTGAGGGTGCTCCTGTGGGAACTCTTTGGAGCAGTTCTCCACGTAGTCCTTCTCTGCACCGGAGACAACGACTGCTATTATCCGGAGAGTGTGGGCACAGTTGTTGCACACAGTACCGTACATTATCACCATGTATGTAGACGGTTCTCCCTTCTATCTCTCGATGCATATGTCCTCTACAATCACAGGAAGGTGTGATCATAGGTTGTCGGGTCCGTGAAGCTTATCTTGCAGCAACTCTGGGACCAATCGTGTTGGAACGACCAGATCAGAGGTAGAATTTGCCAAGATAGTGAATTGGTCGGTGTATATACGGAATTTCGAATTTTTTACAGTTCTACGATATAGTTCAAAGCCCCAAGAGAGCAATTATGTCTCTCTCGGTCTGACGCCTGGGGTAGGGATTGCCGATACGAAGCTTTGTCTCTTTTCCGATGCCCAGCCTCAGCCGGTTGCCATGTCGTACTCAGGATAACCGTGTGCACTGCGCAACACGTTTAGCGCCAGCTATGGTAGGCCGGGGCACAAATCCAATGCAAACACGACCTGGTCGAGCTCCAACGGAGCAAGGGATTACCAGGGATCGGATAGGGAAGTGGTTATGTGCAAGTGCACGGAGAAAGGTTCCCGGGGTCTTGATGTGGTAGAGTCGATAGGGTTAGGTTTGGGGTGAGATTTCGGTTAGGTGATATGAGATGGATCGTCATGTGGAGATGTGTGATGGTTGGTGTGAGAGTGACGGGGATCGTCGTAGGGCAGTTGGTGGAGACTCGAGCCAACGTCAGCAACTAACAATCTAACTGGACTGAGCTACGACAAAGCTGAGAAGACAGACGAGAGGAATGTGAGTGAGGAAAGACCAGCTCAAGTCTGGCTTGTTATTGAGCAGTACGAGCTCCTTATATACATGTCAGACTGAATATCTAGAGTATCCTACGAATATACAGAGGTGTATAGAAAGTGAAAGAATACTATGGAATCCGGGAGAACCATCCGGATGTGTAATATTCATGACACCAAGTTTGATTTCTGCCCCAGGCGTGCCGTCAGTGCAGACTCGAGCGGCAGGGGTGTACTCATATATGGGACGGTGAGAATGCACACTGGCTCAGAAGCAATGTCTGACTTCGGCAAAAGGTCGTAGTATGAACGCGTCTACTGGCCGCGTATCGGATGAGACTTTGGGTTTGACGTCTCGTAACAGTGTTGGCACTCTCTGCTACCGCGCGTAATGAGAGGCCTGTGCACCGCACACCCAGCCAGCCGGAAGTTGGCGGTGGGCGGCGCAAGCTCGTGTATGGCAATGTTCCGGGAGTCGGTGCGTGGACTGCGGGCAATGTGGGCAAACAAAATCTAGGCAGTGGAATTTTATTGGCAGGTACTGCCAGGTAACATTGCTATGTATGGAATTCCTATAAACCACGTCTGATTGCTGATAATGCTCTCATTGCCACACAAATGAAAGAAGAGGAAATTAGGAGACAAGTTCCGCTCAGCGAAGCCGGAGAGAGGACGCGGACCGATCGTGCCAGCGGAGACGATTTCCTTCATCTCTTGACACTTTCCTGGTGCTGATCCTCCGGCGAGCAGAGCCAGTATTACTGGACAAGGAGATGGAATGAAGTCACAGGGCGTGCACTAGTTGCTATGTCGACCGGAGAATAGAGCCATGCGCGATCTGGGAATTCATCTATGCGGAACGAAGCTATCTAAACGAATGGTTAGCTTCCAGATTTCTTGCTCTCGCCGGTTTCTGCGCACCTTGGACACAGTGGCCCTAACGGCACCGCGCGCGCAGTAAACTCACTATCAACAGCGCTGCATTCTCTCCACATCTTGCCATAGCGGAAATATGGCTGCTCCGCAGGCTGAGCTGTGACTGAGCTACAGTGACGGTCGGAAACAAAAGTAATATGAGCGCTGGCGTCTGTCTCCCGGTGCCTGATTTCGGCAATCGTCGTAGTAGAATGGCAGTCGACTAGTGGGGTGTCAGTGACCATAGGCATATAGAGCGACAAGAACCATTCTGAATATTTCATAAATGTCTTCAATAAGCTGTGTGGATGGTTGGAACTGCGCGTTGGTCCAAAAAAGAGACACGAAGCGTGATGCAATAAATGAACTTTTAAGATAGAAAAGAGTTAACATTACAAAAGGGTTTCATTGCGAAAGAATTCAAAGCATATTGCACTCTACGAAGAATCCGCACAAACAAACAGATCAAGTCAAGCCTGTCCAGGAACATAGAACAGTGCTACCATAACCCTATAAGAATCAGCTACTCAGGTTCAGTCAAGCTCCCACACGCGACCGCCGCACACTCCGACAGGTGCCCTTGGCGCCTAGGCGAGGGTGGCGAAGCCGACGGCGTTCCTGTCGAACGAGAACGTGGTGTAGACGTTCTTCATAAAGGCATCGCCGAGCAGCCAGGTGTTATCCCCTAGACCGAGGCTCTTGCTGGCGGCGGCAAGCGTACCGATACACTGGCCGCTGCCACTTTCGGTCTCGCCGAGGTTGAAGCTATGAGGCATGATCAGAACGGACTGCGATGCGATAGCTGTGGGGTCAAACACACTTGTCCTCAGTGATCTCCCAGGTCTTGCCGCCCCAGTTGAAGCCGACGGTCGGAGGTGAGTCGCAAGGGTACGAGTAAAATCTTTGATCCGAGTCGTATTCGGCACTGCCCGGGATCGCCGCGTAAAAGCTCTGGACTGCGTTTGGCGGGCCGTACATAATCGTCGTGCCCGAGTCGATGATGGTGTCGAAGCCGCTGTTCGTGGTCGTGGAGCCAACGGAACACGCCGCGCCCGTTGCCTGCCAAAAACCTGTCGACGTGTCGATGTCATGGTACTCGATTGAGCCGATATACCTGGACGTATCGGTGCCGCCGAGGAAGAGCTCCGAGTCGACCGAGGCTAGGACAAAGCCAAACTCGCCCGCGTCGACCGTGCCCTGCTCGATAAGCGTGTTGAAGAAGGGGTTCTGGTACAGAGCACAGGAAATGTCAGCTTGTTGTACAGGAAGCGGTGGGGATAGAAGAAGACACACCCCACCAAGGCTCGAGAGATCAGGATAGGCAAGACCCAGGATGCCGTCAATCGAATCAGACGCGAAGGAGCTCGAGAGCGTCGTGACCGGAGAGAAGTACTGGTCGGTGGCGGAGAGCTCAGCGATGGTTACTACGAGAGGATCTCAGCTGAGTACCATGGTCAGATATTCTGGACAGCTAACCAGTGTCGGTGTAGATGGGACCAGAGACGGTCGAATTTTCACCGTACACGATTGTGAATGTACCGCTCTGCTCGGAAGAGGTGGACGAAGCTGAGGCATCGTACTTGTTCTTGCTGCTGCAGGTCGAGCTCGTGCAGGACGAGCTGGGAACCCATAGATCGGACGAGCCGGTGTCGAAGTCAATGTTGAAGGGCTGGTCAGGAGTACCGATCGTGATAGAACCCAGCCATTTGCTGCCATCTTTGGCAGGATCAAGCAGTTCGATACCAAAGGCACGCTTCCGCAAAGAGGGAGGGATTGTGCGGAACTCTTTAATTTCCTAGCCTTCAGGAAGACTACCCTTGTTCGCCAGCAGGCTCCGAAGGTTCCTCTGGTACTTGCTACAGGGAACATCACAGGGAGGTCAGTAACCGAAATATGAAGCAGAGGAGTACAAAACACACTTCTGGGTCTTGATGTTGTTCAGGATCGCCTTCTCGTGGTCGAAGGTCCCGTCAGCACGAGTCAGCATGCTGCGCTCCCCTAGTGCAATCCTGATGCCAGGAGTGCGGACGACGGGGCCTGCGGTGGCGAGGAGGGCAAGAGCCACGGAAACCAGGGTCGCTTTACAGAACATGGTATGAAGGCAGACGAAGGCTGAAGGAGCACGCGAGGACAAGAGATCCTGTTGGTCTGCAAACAGCCCACTGTCGTGCTTTTATGCACCCCATGGCCTTGGTCCATGTTCCCGCCTTGGAAGCCGTGTAGTGTTACAGGGAAGCTTGGGGCATATAATGCCCCAAACCGCCCGTCGGCGTCCCTAGATGGACATGGTTAGACCGGCAATGGCTGTGGTCAGATACAATTGCGCTCCGAGCGGTTAATTGAGATTAGTGCGCCTTCAGGCAGTTGTATATAACAAAAACAGCATGCTCCCTGCTATCCTCTGATGAGCGCGTATGTAACGACCGCGGGGAAGAAACCATCCTGGACTGACATTTGGAGATGAGACAGATAGTCTCCTCTTCTATTTGGCTGCTGACATGAACACCGCATTGTAGCGTAAATGGTATGGGCATACGCGTAGAGTCCGGGTTGACTTGTCACGACTTGTCACAATTTTGTTGGTCTGATTTGATTGTCGAGAATGCATGCTAGTAGGATGAACTAGCATGTGCGTCGCTACATAGCCCTAGGCCGAAATTTGGCTCAATAAGTCTCAAGAAATGAGTAACCTACAATTGCTTAGTCTCTCGCGCTGCGCCCAAGTCGCATCAACAGGCTTATTCGACACATTGCACAAGCATAACGAAGGCTTGCATGGCGCTAGCTGTTTCTTGCCGTCTTCCCCGCCTAATACAACGCGGTCCCGACGTACGGGAAGTGGGGTTCTGAGCCGACCGGGATCCCTAGTCCAAAGACCACCGCTAACCGACTGGCAGAAGTACCTCGACAATGAACAGGTAGTGGTGCCACTGCATCAATTCGGATGTCACGCGCACGCGTCATGGTACTGCCATCCGCTCCGGATTCGTTCGTCCTTTGTTTTGTCACAAGCTACTGAGCCTTCCGCAGGGTGTAAACGTGCGCTGTGGGGAAACATTCCGTCTCGGCTCCGTCGCAGAAGTTCCATTTCCTGGCGCTACGTGGCCGGCCGACATCGCCACCGCCCTATGTCCGCTCGCTGAAGCGGTGAAAGCAGGACAGATGTGGCGTATGCTGCATCTAAGGGAGGCCCTCTAGCCAAGCGCTGAAACCAACTGGTGTCCGCTTGTTATCTCATCTTATCTTGCTCACGGGATCCCGCGGCGCCTGGGAGAGGTTGATTTCAGCGACTGCGATCGCGCCTACCCCTTGTGCTGCATTACACTTCTATCCAACATGTGAGGATGGCTGAGGCTTCAGGGACGGTAAGTTGAGATCGACTCCATATTTTATTTGGGGTCAAATTTACGCATATGTGACCAGGCTTTCCAGGCAGGCGGCGACCATGTGCTGATGGACAGGAAACGCGAGCAGGTATTGTAGCGGCGAGCCGTAAGGCGAAGCAGAAGTTACGACCAAAAATGGGGAAAGCCCAATGATTGGTAACATAGCCGTCTCAACCGAGAATCAAGCTAAGTTTCTCTAACGGAATATCCGCAGTAATATGTGCCGCCACTTAGCTTGATGTCAAGCATATATCATCATAGCGTCACCCGCTACAGGACAATGTGAGAGCCTATAGTATAGCTTAAACCCTTCCCCCACCGGATATCACAGCGCAGGTTTCTGTCTATTGAGCCCGGCACTGATATTCGATTTGGATACTGTGCACAAAGTCTCGCTGCCGTCTCCATTCCTACTACATCGTCCTTCTTCTGAGACAGCTGACCGGTACGCAATCATTCGAGCAATGCACATCAAATACTGACTACTACAGTATATATGAGGCTGTGAGAATATACACTGGCTCAGGAGTAGTGTCTGACCTCAGCAATAGATCGTAGTAGTACGAGCATGTCAACTGGCCGCGTATCGGATGAGACTCTGAGAGTATGAAGCAACAACGCAGCTAATCGACTCGGAACTTGAGACTTAAGCAGGTTTAATTGATGTAGGCGTGCATCAGACGGTGCAAGGGCACGAGACAGCGATGTTTTCGATGATCATTTACAGTAAAAAAGAATATCAGCATTACAATAGCCTATAGGAGTCCTATACAGCAGAGAACTTGCACAAACTGCAAGCAGAGAAGCCTTAACACACACATAAGTGCTACAACAGTTTCAAGAGAAACAACCGTTCCATCTATTCGAACATTATCTTAAGACCTTCACGGCGTCGCTGCAGCATGCTCAGGTGTCTTCGTTACCTAGGTGAGGGTGGCGAAGCCGACGGCGTCTCTCTCGAACGAGAACGCGGTGTAGACGTTCTTCATAAAGCAGTCGCCGAGCAGCCAGGCCCCCAGGTGTTGTCCCCGAGACCGAGGCTTTCACTTCCAGTGGCGAGCACGCCGACGCACTGGCCACTGCCTTCTGCAGTCTCTCCGAGGTTGAAGCTGCAGGGCATGATCAGAACGGTCTACAATGCGACAGCACCTAAATTCACTTGTGATGCTCCGCGTCTTGCTGCCCCAGTTGAAGCCGACGGTCGGAGGCGAGTTGCACGGGTACGAGTAAAGCCCACCATCCGAGTCGAAGGCGGCGCTGTCTGGGATCGCTGCGTAGACGCTCTGGACCGCGCTCGACGGCCCATACATGATGGTCGTGCCAGGGTCGATAATGGGGGCAAAGCCGCTGCTCGCGGTCGTAGAATCGACGACGCACTGGGCGTTCGTAGCCTGCCAGAATTCTGTCGACGTGTCGACGTCGTGGTGCTCGATAGAGCCAGTGTACCTGAGGAGGTCCGTGCCACCAAGGAAGAGCTCCGACCCCTCTTAGGCGAGCACGAAGCCGAATACGCTTTCGTCGACCCTACCCTGTTCGACTAGCGTGTTAAATACGGGGTTCTGGTACGGCCCAGCGAGTGTCAGCGTGCGTAAAGGAAATGACGGAGATAGAAGAAGATATACCTCTCCAGGGTTCGAGAGGGAGGGGTAGGCAAGGCCTAAGATACCCTCAGTGGGATCGTCTTCGAAAGAGCTCGAAAGAGTAGTTACTGGAGAGAAATATTGATTAGTGGCAGTGAGTCCGGCGACGGCCACTACGAGGGAGTCTCAGCTGGGTGCACGGCTGCAAATTCTAGATAGCTTACCAGTGTCGGTGTAAACTGGACCAGAGACCGTTGAACCATCACCGTAATGGATTTCGAAGGTGCCGCTCTTCTGGGAAGAAGTGGACGATCTTGACGCATCGTACTTGCTCTTGTTGTCACAGGTCGAGCTCGTGCAGGACGAACCGGGAACCCATAAGTCAGACGAGCCAGTGTCAAAGTCGATCAGGAAGAGCTGGCCAGGAGTACCGATGGAGATCTCGCCCAGCCATTCATTGTCATTCTCGTCAATGAGCGACTCAACGCCAACGTCACGCCTCTGCGAAGAGGGAGAGATCGTGCGAAACCCCTTGATCTCCTCAGCCTTCCCAGAGGCTGTGGAAATCAAGGAGCTCCGGAGATTCCTATGGTACCTGCTGCGGGGTGCATCATAGAGGTTAGCGACCAAAGCACGAAAAGAGCGGCGGAGGGCGCGCTTGTGGGTCTTGATGTTGTGCAGGATGGTCCTCTCGTGGTCGAAGGTCCCGTCAGCACGAGCCAGCGTGCTGCGCTCCCCTAGTGCAATCCTGATGCCAGGAGTGCGGACGACGGGGCCTGCGGTGGCGAGGAGGGCGAGGACCATGGAAACCGGGGTAACATGATATGGAGGCGAACGAAGGCTGAAGAGTCAAGCAGGAGCAGGAGATCCTGTTAGTTTGCAAACAATCAACCCATCGTAATGCTTTGATGCACCCCATTGTCTTGACCCATGTGCCCCCTTTGGAAGGCGTACAGTACTGCGGGGAAGCTTGACCCATGTGATACCCCAAACCGCCCGTCGGCGTCCCTAGATGGACATGGTTAGATCGACGGTGGCGGTTATTAGATACAATCGCGCCTGGCAGCTGATTATAAACTAGTGTGTACGCAGGCGGTTATATATGGCAAGAGCGGTACGCTCCTCGCCGTCCCGTCATGGTGAATCGTTCATTCATATGCAGAATAATGGTGTGGCCCTCATCGTGGTGTTGTAGAAGAAGCTTGGTCATCATCATCGAACCACCGGCCAAGGGACGACTCCGGAGAGCGTGCATGGGACAGCAACAGGCAAGAAACCGTCGTAAACTGGCGTACTGCGATGAGACGGGCGTTCTTCGCTTCTATTTTGCTGTCAGCATAAGCATCGTATTATAACATAAATGCCAAAGACGTACGCGTAGAGCTCGGTTTAACTCACCACAACACCGTTAGCTCGTGCCGACCGTCAAAACCGTCGAGAACACATGCCAGCGGGATGAACTTGGCGTGTGCATTGTGGCTTTATTCGCCACATTGCACGAGCATAGTTGACGCTTGCTGTTTTCCTCGCGTAGTATAACGTAGCGCCGACTGATGGAAAGTGAGGTTCTGATCCGACTCCTGATCCAGAGACCACCGCTCATCGACTGGTGGAGGTACCCGGACAACGAACAGGGATTACCAGCCATCGATAAGTATCGTCGCACTTGTTCGCTAAATCTACCAAAAGATCTACGCACAGTAATTTGTTGTAGGGGATAGGTCCTCGTATGATGGCGCGGAGCTGAGAAGCGGGCGGATTTGACTAAAGTCTCAGTTCTAGCGATATCGTGTGGTCGACGTTGCTGGGCGGCAGAGGGAACAGAGTATCCAGCTGCGGTGATTTTGTTCCCCAGTGCTGTATGTTGGATCGAGTGTACGAGTCCATCTCGTCACTCGAAGCCTCAGCTCATGGACGGATGCGACCGTGAAAACAGGAGAGGCATGGCGTGCCGCAGTGCTGCTTCACTACTGGGCATGTAACTTGGCTTCCCAGCAGACGGAGGGCGAGCGACGGACGCACTGATCTGTAGGAAGCGCGAGCAGGTATTGTGGTAGTGAGCTGTAAGACGAAGCAGAAGCTATGACCCAAAATGGAGGAAACCCCGACCTGACCAGTTTTCCCTCCAATATGGACTTTTTTTTCCCTGATTGATGGTGAATTTGGAAAGTTGTCGGAGAAATCAATTTGGGCGCTTCTTGCCGGTGGGGAAAGCGATCGAAATCAAGTCAAGTTTTTTTCTAGCGGAATACATTACTCTGCGTTCATCTGTGCCTTCGCTAAGTTTGCTAGCTTAGCTCGGCCTCGAGCATATCAGCATGACGCTACCCGCTCCCGGACGGCATTGCTGCCTAAATACAAAGCGCCGCCTCCACCGGATATCGCCGTGCAGGAACCCGGATAGCGTTCGACACAGGTGCCGTATATGAGGCTTAATAGCTTGAAGTCTCGCTGCCGTCTCCGTTCACACCACATCGTTCTTCTTCTGACACAACTGACTGGTGCGCAAGTGTTCGAGCAATGCACATCAAATCCCAGCTACCGGATCTACCACCCATTCCGGACGCAAACGTCTTCGACCTGTTCTTCAAGGCCCCGCAGGGCGCACAGATCGCAGATTACACTGTCTATGTCGATGCTGCCACTGGGCTCAAACACTCGCTCCGCAATTACTACGAGTTCGTGCGCGACGCAGCGACGGCGCTCGGTGTGCCGCCAGCACGCGGCGGTCTGGGGCTCGGTGGCGAGGCAGGCGACATTGTCGGCATATTCAGCCACAACTGCGTGGTACGTGGGCTCACAGATTCTGCGATTGTATTGCGCACAGCACTGACCGCGGCTATAGAGTTATGCCGCACTTGTACACGCGCTCCTCGCAATTACGACGCCTTTTGCGAACCTGTCGGCGTATGCCACGGCGTATGAGCTCGCGCACAGCCTCAAAACGGTAAAGCCGAATTATTTGTTCGTGCAGCCAGCCCTGCTTCCCACTGCACTCGCTGCGGCGAAGGAAGTTGGCCTGCCTGAGAAGCAGATTTACATTTTGGAAGGTAGCAGCGGTGACGAACGCCTGAGTCTACAAGACCTAGTCAACCGCATCCGAAAGGGCTCTATTTCACGCGAGCCGGTTCGTCTTGCTAATAAGAACACTCTGGCATACTTTGTGTTCTCGAGTGGAACTAGTGGTCTGCCAAAGGGTAGGCCGATATACTGGTTTCTGCTGAATTGCGCTGAAAATCCCGTCCTAGCTGTCATGATTTCGCATGGGAATCTTTGGGCGATGGTGCTCTCGCAAGCAATATGGAGACAGGAGGAGATAAAGTTTCTCCGCGAGGTGCGCCTGAATGCCTTGGCTGTCACTCTTCTGCTGACTCCTCTCCTTGCTGACTATTCCCTAAGCTGACCCCGCCCAAAGCACCGCCTGTTGCCCTGTGTTTTCTACCAATGTACCACGCCTACCCCCTGAACATTGTCGCATTCCGCATGTTTGGCATGGCCCCCGTGACTTTCGTCATCATGGAGAAGTGGGAGGCCAGTGCAGTCTTGAAAGCCATCCCCAAGTAAGACATACTCTTGTCAATCGCTTGAATTGTTTTTATTATTATCTTGCCTCAACGAAGGTACCGCATCGAAGCCCTTGCGCTAGTCCCATCTGCCGTGCACCAGCTGCTAAACCATCCCGATTCCGCCAAAACCGACTTCAGTTCGTTGGCCAGCGCGGGATGCGGCGCGGCGCATCTTCCTACGACACTGCGGGACAACTTCCTGTCGCACTTCGGCAACGTAACGCTGTCGGAAGGTCTGTCCCCGAACTTTTCTCTATGAACAAAATTGTTGACTGCGTAGTAAAGGGTACGGCATGTCGGAGCTGGTGAGCTCAAATTACGACCGTCCGGTCGAAGCATCCGCTGACATGCATTCAGACTTTCGGGATTTCTCGCAAGTCCTTCGACGGCATGTTTGGCCTGAAGGTGCCGGACTCGACATGCGGCCTCATCAACTCCAACGTTGAGGTCCGGACGGTCCGCGAGGACGGCTCGGAGGCGGACGTTGACGAGCCCGGGGAGCTGTGGGTCAAGGCGCCTGTCGTGGCGCTTGGCTACTACGGGAACGAGCAAGCGACGCAGGAGACGTTCGTCGACGGTTGGGTGAGGACAGGAGACCAGATGCGCATCGACAAGGACGGGTTTTTGCAGTACGCATCGCTGTTTCGCGGGACGTCGTCGCCATGCTGACTTCGTACGCTGTTGTAGCTTTGTCGAGCGCAAGAAGGACACGCTCAAGGTCGGCGGAGCGCAAGTCTCGCCGAGCGAGATAGAGAATGTCCTGCACGCGCAGCCAGACGGGCTCATCACTGATGCGTGCGTCGCCGGGGTGTCCGGCGGCAGGACGTCGGACGAGAAGGTTCCGCGGGCTTGGGTTGTGCTCAGCGATGAGGGCAAGCGCAGGGGAGCCGAAGAGGCCGTCAAGGCGTTGGAAGCGTGGACGAAAAAAAATCTCAGCCCGTACAAGTGGTTGCGGGGTGGATTCGAGGTTGTCAACGAGGTAAAATCTCTCTATATTTCGTTTGAAGAATTTTTTTCATGATATGGTCCAAACAGATTCCTAAAAGTCCGACGGACAAGATCTTGAGACGTCTGTTGCAAGAGAGGTTTGAAGCCCAGTATACAGCTAGAGCGAAATTGTAGACTTTTAATTGCAGCTACTGTGCATTACAAGACCGCCCTATAAACGCTATTATTGGACTTGGGATGGCAATCAGGAGCCAGCCAATGCCATCTTACAAACCAGCTGTTCGCATCCCGAGTCCCTGAGTTAACCATTTTGTAGCCGTATATGCGGAGATCCTCACATGTCGCGGTAACGCGAAGGACATGGGCTTCCAGGTGCTCTGTATCATCGCGCACCAGAATTACCCCGCCGAAGAGTCAGGTTCAGGCTGGAGAACGAGCGTGCTGTCCAGTCTACTTCGCTACCACTGCGATCGGCGTTGAACCGTCGTTGTAACAGGGTGGTGGTGGAGGCTGGCGAAATCTGTGCAGACAGTGCAGGGAAAGCCCCTGCCGTTTCGGCTCGGTGGGGCCGGATGGGGCGTGGGATCCGACGAGGCCAGCGGAGGCGACTCGGTGGCCGCCTCCTTAGGCTGTCCCTCGACATTTTCGCTGGTGCCGATCCTCTAGCAAACAGAAGACATACTTCCGCCGACCGTGCTCAACTTACCAAATACAATGTCTAATAACTAGTTCAGGACATCGTGAGGACCGATACGTCAAGCGACTGCTGAACAATTCGGAGAAGAGAGAAGGGAAGGCCGCAGGGCGTGCATCAGTCGCTATGTTGACCAGAGGAGAGGATAATGAGGAATGTGGGACATGATTTCTGCAGAACGAAACTATCCACATGATTGGTCAGCTTTCAGGTTTCTTTACTCTTGCTGCCTAAAATTGACAGGGGCTTCACATCAGGTATATCGTATGATAGCCCTGACTTCACTACATAGTAAACTAATCACCAGCATTAATGCCTTCTCTCTATGTCATACCACAGCAAAATCTAGGCCGTTCTGTGGGCTGAGTTGGGCAACATTGACGGTCGAAAGCGAAGAAGATATACGCACAAGCCGCCGCGTCTATCTGACACTGCAGCATCGGTACATCGAGGCCGAGTCTGATTTGGCACTTATCGTAGTACGAATGTGTCGACTGGTGACGTGTTGTACAAGACCTCGGGCATGTAAAGCAACAAAAATTATCTCGGCTATTTTGTAGATGCTTTCGACGAGCTGTGCGGACAGTGGAGACGCGGCGCGCACTGACCACTCGTACCGTAACAGCCTCATTATACCTTCCGAAGTGCGAGCTAGACCGGCTTAAATGCGGGAGGCGCGTTTATTGGACCAAAAAAATAAAATGAGACGGTGATACTTCCAATCATCATCTGAGACGGAAAGGGTTAGCGATACGGAAGGGTTCAAGACATCACACGCAAAACGTCTTGATAATCTGTACAAACAGATAGGGCAAATCTAGGAACATGGACCATCGCTACTATGGTCCTACTGGTACAGGGACCAATATTGATTATTCAAATTCAGTCAAGCCCTAGCGCGCAACCGCTGCACGCTCCAGTACCCTCGACGTCTAGACTTTGAGGGTAGCAAAGCCGACGGCGTTCTTATCAAAAGAGAACGTGGTATAGACGTTCTTCATGAAGGCGTCGCCGACAAGCCAGGTATTGTTCCCGAGCCCGAGCCTATCGCTTGCGATAAAGAGTGCGCCGAAGCACCGGCCACTGCCTTGATGAGTCTCACCGAGGTTGAAGCTGCATGGGCACGATCAGTACGGACTGCAGTGCAACAGCGCTCGAACCCACTTGGCCCTCGTGATTTCCCAAGTCTTGCCGCCCCAACTGAAGCTGACGTCCGGAGTCAAGTTGCAGGGGTACGTGATCGACCCTTCTACATGATTCCAGATTTGGCTGCCCGGGATCGCCACGTAGAAGGCGTTGACTGCGCTTTCCGGGGCGGAAATAGACGTCGTACCCGAGTCAATGATCGTGTTGAAGCCGCTGTTCGTGGTCTTAGACCCGACAGTGCACTTCGCGCCGCTCGCCTGCCAGAGACCCGTCGATGTGTCGATGCTGTGGTACTCAATGTCGCCGGTATACTTGGAGGTGTCGGTGCCACCGAGGTAGAGCTCCGAGCCGACCGACCCTAGCGTGAAACCAAATTCGCCAGCGTTGACCTTGCGCTGGCTGATCAGGGTACTGAAGAACGGGGTCTGCTACGAGGCGCACAAGATGCGTCAGCGTGCCATGCAGAGAGCGGAGATAGAGGAAGCCCTACCCCTTGAAAGCTCGAGAGAGAGGGATAGGCAAGACCCATGACGCCATCAGTCGGGTCGGTCTCGAAGAAGCTCGAGATTGTCGTGGCCGGAGAGAAGTATTGGTCGGTAGCGGTGAGTCCAGCGACGATCACTACAAGGGATTCTCAGCTGAATCCCATGATTATAATTTCTGGCTCACCAGTGTCGGTGTATATGGGACCAGAGACACCCGATCCTTCACCGTACCCGATTCTGATGGTGCCGTTCTTCAGCGAAGAGGTGGCCGATGCCACCGCATTGTACTTGCTCTTATCGGCGCAGGCCGATCTATAACAGGACGAGCTGGGTACCCACAAATCAGACGAGCCAGTGTCAAAATCGATTTTGAAGGACTGGCCGGGAGTGCCAATTGTGGTCAGACCCAGCCACTCGATTTCATCTTCGTCAACGAGCGCCTCGGTGCCAACGGCACGCTTCTCCAAAGAGAGAGGGATTGTGAGGAATTCCTTAACTTCCCAGCCCTCGGGAAGGCGACCCGTATTCGCTAGCAGGTTTCGAAGGTTCCTCTGGTACTTGCTGCAAAAGGAGGTGCAGAGCGCAGTCAGTAACAACGATGCAATAGCAGAGAACGATATGAAACACACTTCTGGATCTTGATCCTGTCCAGCGTCGCCTTCTCGTGGTCGAAAGTCCCATCAGCACGAGTCGGTGTGCTACGCCCCTCAAGTGAAATCTTAATGCCGGGAGCGTGGACGACGGGACTCGCGGCGGTGAGGAGGGCGAAGGCAACAGCGACTAGAGTCGCTTTGTGGAACATGGTGTGGAGGCAGGCGGAAGCTGAAGAGGCAGGGAGGCAGGAGCTAGAGATCCTGTTGGTCTGAAAACAGCTCTCGATCATGCTTTTATGCACCACTGACACCTTGGCCCATGTGTCCGCCTTGGAAGGCACGTCTTGTCGCAGAGAAGCTCGGTGTACAAATCGCTCGTTGGCGTCCCCGGATGGACATGGTTAGACCAACGATGGTGATGGTCAGACACGGTCGCGCGTGGCGGCTGACTGTCGCACTCACAGGCAGCTGTGTATGGAAATAACAAGACGCTCCCCATTATCCCGTCAAGATGAACTAGCCGTTTATAGAGCTGTATGCAGAATAACGGTGTGGTTTCCGCTGTGCTGTTGAGGGAGAAGCCTGGTCGTCATCGAACCACCAGTCAAGTGATGACTCCGATGACCTTCGCTTCTATTTTGCTGTCGATGTCAGTATCACTTTAGAATGCAGATTTTGAGGACATACGCGTAGAGCCCTGGTCGACTTGCCATAGTTTTATTGGCTTGAACTGATTGTCGAGATTTGTCAAGGAGCCCTCGCTAGCGGAATGGATCTGGCGTGCGTGTTGCTACACGGCCCTAGTCCAAGAACTGGCTCAATACGTTTAAAGAAACGAGTCACCTACAATCGCTTACCATCTCGTGTTGAACCCGAACTGTATCGGCAAATTTGGAGGCCAATCAACACGTGCCTTAGACATTACCTAAGCATAGATAGTAGGCTATCCTTATTCGCTATATTGCACGAGCATTAGCGAAGGCCAGCATGAGTGCTATTCCTTGTTGTCTTCCCCGCCTAGTACAATGCGGCGCCGACGTAGAAAAGTGGGGCTCTGAGCTGATCGTAATCAAGAGATCATCGCCACTGTTCCTATTGGTAGGATTTGATACTACCCGAGTCTGGACTGCTGGCCGCGCATTTCCCTGCTGCACCTGAACTGTAGATTTTTCAATGAGCAGACCCAAGTGTCACGTGGACGATGCGGTCTGCACATACCTAGTGAAAACTCCAGCGTCGGCCTTGAGTTTCGTCCGAGCTACTCACGGCAGGCTTCTGCGCACGCGTTCATAGCACCGTACAAAACCATACACGTTGCGAGATTGCTCCAGAAAGACCTGTAATAGAAGGAGGCCCGCTTCACGTAGGCTCGTGTATCTGATATTTCATTCAGAAATGGGTCATGTCAGCGGTACTCACGCAAATTGAACGTGTATAAGAACATGGCTGGTGAGATGACTATCACACCGGGTGTAGGGGTCGTTATGTAAGCTCGAGGATAGGTACATGCGCGATCCGGGATTCAATTACTCTGGACGCAGCCATCTACGCGGATGATCACTGGCCAACTTTAAATTTCAAAATTTCAAGTTTCTTTGCTCTTGCCAATTTCTGCGCACTTTGATCAACTCCCACGAAAGGACCCTGACGGCGCTGCGCAATGAACTCACTATTAGTAGTGCATTTCTCTAAGTCGTACCATAGAGGAACTATGGCTGCTCTGCAGACTGAGCTGGGCCACAGTGGCGGTCGAAAGCCAGCAAGCTGATCGGCGTCTATCGGAGCGCCCATGCGCTCCGTGTCCGATTCCGGCGATGGTCGTAGTACGAATACGTCGGCGCATGGCATGAAGTTCCGTGCATATCTGGTGACGAAAATTATTCTGGATACCTCATAAATGAGGCCTAAAAAGAGCCATACGGAGAGTGAGCGTCGTTCATTTTGCCTTCCGAAGTGCGTATTCGTCAAAGTTCAAACCAGTCACTTGAATGCAGGAGATACCTTACCATTGGTCGGTCCAGAAATAACACGATGCGGCGATACCTTCGATAATAATATGAGGCAGCAGAGTGTTGGCATTGCGAAAGATTTCAAGGCATCCTGTACACAGCAAAAGATCTGTACAAAGTACAAACAGACAGAGCAAGTCCAGGAACACGAATCAGTACTACTATTGTCCTACAAGAACCGAATCCTCAGTTTCAGTGGGGCTCCAGCACGCAACTGCTGCACATTCCAGTGCACTTGGCGCCTAGACCTTGAGGGTGGCAAAGCCGACGGAGTTCTTGTCGAACGAGAACGTGGTGTAGATGTTCTTCATGAAGCTGTCGCCGAGCAGCCAGGTGTTGTTCCCAAGACCGAGGTTCTTGCTTGCGACGACGAGCGCGCCGATGCACTGACCACTGCCTGAAGCGGTCTGGCCATGGTTGAAGCTGCAGGGCATGATCAGTACGGACCGCAATGCGACAACGCTCAAACACACTTGGCGTGAGTGATGTTCCAGGTCTTGCCACCCCAGTTGAAGCCGACGTCCGGAGGTGAGTTGCAGGGGTACGAATAGTACCCGCGTTCAGAGTCGTAGAGGTGGCTGCCCGGGATGGCCGCGTAGAAGGCGCTGACTGCGTTCGGCGGGGCGTACATGAGCGTCGTGCCCGAGTCGATGATCGTGTTGAAGCCGCTGCTCGTGGTCGTGGAGCCGACAGCGCACTTTGCGCCGCTCGCCTGCCAAAATCCTGTCGATGTGTTGACGCCATGGTACTCAATCGAGCCAGTATACTTGGACGTGTCGGTGCCGCCGAGGTAAAGCACAGAACCGACTGAACCTAGCGTGAAGCCGAATTCGCCCGCGGTGACCTTCTTCTGGCTGATCAGAGTGTTGAAGAACGGGGTCTGCTACGGAGTGCACAAGATGCGTTAGCGTGCCATGCAGAGAGTGGAGGAGATAGAGGAAGACCTACCCCGCGAAAGTGAGAGAGAGAAGGGTAAGCAAGACCCAGGATACCGTCGATCGGATCGGACGCGAAGGAGCTCGAGAGCGTCGTGACCGGAGAGAAGTACTGGTCGGTGGCGGTGAGCCCAGCGACAGTCACTACAAGGGGATCTCAGCTGAATGCCGTGATCATAGACTCTGATGTCCGATCAGCTTACCTGTGTCGGTGTAGATGGGACCAGAGACAGTCGAATTGTCACCGTACCCGATTGTGAAGGTACCATTCTTCTGGGAAGAGGTGGACGATTTTGATGCATCGTACTTCTTCTTGTTGACACAGGTAGAGCTCGTGCAGGACGAGCTGGGGACCCACAGATCGGACGAGCCGGTGTCGAAATCAATGCTGAAGAGCTGATTGGGAGTACCGATGGTGATAGGGCCCATCCACTCGACGTCCCGGTAGTCAGCGAGCGCTTCAGTGCCAACGGCACGCTTCTCTGAGGAGGGAGGAATCGTGAGGAAGTCCTTAATCTCCCAGCCCTCGGGAAGGCTGCCCGTATTCGCCAGCAGGTTCCGGAGGTTCCTCTGGTATTTGCTGCAGAGAGTTGGGCAGAGAGTAGTCAGGAACGACAGCGCGATGCGGAGAGCGATGGCAAACGTACATTTGGGTCTTGATGTTGTCCAGGATCGCCTTCTCGTGGTCGAAAGTGTCGTCAGCACGAGAGAAAGTGCTGCGCTCCCCTAGTGCAATCTTGACGCCAGGACCGTGTTCGACGGGGCTTGCGACGACAAGGAGGGACAGGGTCACAGTGACCAGAGTTGCTTTGTAAAGCATGGTGCGAAGGCAGGCGGAGGCTGGAGAGGCAGGTTAAAACAGGAGATCCTGTTGGTCTGCGAACAATCTTCGGTCACGCTTTTATACACTGCTGACGTCTTGACCCATGTACCCACCTTGGAAGGTATGTATGGCCGCAGGGAAGCTTAGTGCATACGATGCTTCAAATTGCTCCAAGCCGCCCATCGGTGACATGGTTAGACCGACGACGGTGGTGGTCGGGTATAATCGTGCCTGGCGGCTTACTGCTGCGTCCACGAGCAGTCGTGTATGACAGAAAAAATGCGATTCCCGTTATTCTATGGTAGAGAATCGGCCATCTCAGGCCCATATGCAGAATAACGGTGAGGCCTCTATCGTAGTGTCGCAGGAAAAGCCTAGTCCTCACCGTCGAACCACCAGTCCATTGACGACTCCCGTGAGCGCGTACGTAACAACCATGCGCAAGAATTATCGTAGACTGACGTGCGGTGATAGGATGGACAGCCTTCACTCCTATTTTGCTGTCGACATGAGCACCGCATTACAACATGAATTTTCCAGACATACATGCAGAGGCCAGATTCAACTCGCCAAAAGTTTGTTGGCTTGGACTGACTATCTAGAACTGTAGAGAACGCATGCCATCGAGACGAGCTTGGCGTGCGTGTTGCTGCATAGTCCTGTTCTAATATTGGGCTCAATATCTTTCAAGAAACGAGACGCCTGCTGTCACCTACTTTCTCGTACCGAACCCGAATTGGACCGGCAAGCTTGGATTCCAATCAATACGTGTCGGAGATATTGCACAGACATGCATGCCTCAGTGGGTCCTGCACTGCACGAGCATCAATTCCAATAAAAGCTTGTATGCCGCTAGACATTTCTAGCTGTCTTCCTCGCTTGGTACGACGCGGTGCCAAAGTATGACGAGAGAGGCTTTAAGCTGGTCCCTGTTCCATATAATATCGCCAATTGACTAGTAGAACATCTGGATAACGAACGAATAATGCCAGCCATCAACATGTAGCCCGGCATTTCAACTTGAAGTATGAGTCACGCTGATCGCTGCACTTACCACTGAGGCCTACGCACACTGGTTTATCTTATAAGATAAGTCCTTGGATGGCCCGAGGCTGAGAAGTCGGAGGATTTGAGGAAAGTCTCGATTCTGAGAGTGTTGTGGTTGGCGTCGAAGGGCGGTAGAGGAGAAAGCCGAGACGGGCAACGGACGGCCGGGACTACTGTATCCGATTCCCGGCGATGAGTTTACTTATTTGGTAGTGCTATGGATTCGATCGCGGCTCCGATGGGCTCGTATCAGCCTCTGCAATGGCTGAGAGATGGACATTTTAGTTATAAGGGCGTACATTTCAACCTGTTTATGCTACTTCTGTTACGGTCTATAGAATATAGGGTTAATTATAATTACGTTTGGACGAATATTAATTGTTCTCAAGGAAACGAAGTGCACCTGCAGTCAGTTTTCCTTTGGGCACGCCTTCAAGGGACCAAGAGTTTCAGTTCGGCGGCCCAGACACAGGAACTTATTAAGTTACACCGGACTAGCCACCAGAAGCGCCCAAGAGCGGCTAAGACACGCTGAAGAATTTCCGAAAAGCCCAAAAAATGGCACAGGCGGGAATCGAACCCGCGGCCCGAAAGTAACCGCAGCACGCTATACCACTAAGGCATAAGACCTTGCAAATGTGAGGCTGGAATTGCCCTATAGTACCACTTTTCTACCTCAAAGTCTTAGCTGTAATATTGTAGCCAATTATCAGGTATTAAAGCATTGGAATGTAATTGTACAAATGTATATCCTGATGGCGTGGCTAAGACACTGACGTGGCTAAGACACCAGTGTGGCTAAGACATTGGAACATTAAATATTTGCTATTGATTCC